GCATGGGTTTTCTCCATGTACTAGAATTCATTTACACAAGCCAAACATATTCGTGCAATTGATGATCCTTCTGAATTGCAGGGCCCTCCTTATGGAGGAGCCTTCTGAAAAAAGGTTTGAGGACTGAGTGAGCATTTGCAGGGGAAATAAAAGTCATAGTTAAATTTATATTAATAAAACAGTGAGAGACAGAATAACAACAACAAAATCCGGAAAAACGCATGTCAAAAATGTTATAAATTGATTTGCATTTTAATGAGGGAAATAAGTATTTGACCCCTCTGCAAAACATGACTTAGTACTTGGTGGCAAAATCCTTGTTGGCAATCACAGAGGTCAGACGTTTCTTGTAGTTGGTCACCAGGTTTGCACACATCTCAGGAGGGATTTTGTCCCATTCCTCTTGGCAGATCTGCTCCAAGTCATTAAGGTTTCGAAGCTGACGTTTGGCAACTCGAATCTTCAGCTCCCTTCACAGATTTTCAATGGGATTAAGGTCTGGAGACTGGCTAGGCCACTCCAGGACCTTAATGTGCTTCTTTTTGAGCCACTCCTTTGTTTCCTTGGCTGTGTGTTTTGGGTCATTGTCATGCTGGAATACCCATCCACGACCCATTTTCAATGCCCTCGATGAGGGAAGGAGGTTCTCACCCAAGATTTGACGGTACATGGCCCCGTCCATCGTCCCTTTGATGCGGTGAAGTTGTCCGGTCCCCTTAGCAGAAAAACACCCCCAAAGCATAATGTTTCCACCTCCATGTTTGACGGTGGGGATGGTGTTCTTGGGGTCATAGGCAGCATTCCTCCTCCTCCAAACACGGTGAGTTGAGTTGATGCCAAAGAGCTCCATTTTGGTCTCATCTGACCACAACACTTTCACCCAGTTGTCCTCTGAATCATTCAGATGTTCATTGGTAAACTTCAGACGGGCATGTATATGTGCTTTCTTGAGCAGGGGGACCTTGCGGGCGCTGCAGGATTTCAGTCCTTCACGGCGTAGTGTGTTACCAATTGTTTTCTTGGTGACTATGGTCCCAGCTGCCTTGAGATCATTGACAAGATCCTCCCGTGTAGCTCTGGGCTGATTCCTCACCGTTCTCATGATCATTTCAACTCCACGAGGTGAGATCTTGCATGGAGCCCCAGACCGAGGGAGATTGACAGTTCTTTTGTGTTTCTTCCATTTGCGAATAATCGCACCAACTGTTGTCACCTCACCAAGCTGCTTGGCAATGGTCTTGTAGCCCATTCCAGCCTTGTGTAGGTCTACAATCTTGTCCCTGATATCCTTGGAGAGCTCTTTGGTCTTGGCCATGGTGGAGAGTTTGGAATCTGAATGATTGATTGCTTCTGTGGACAGGTGCCTTTTATACAGGTAACAAGCTGAGATTAGGAGCACTCCCCTTAAGAGTGTGCTCCTAATCTCAGCTCATTACCTGTATAAAAGACACCTGGGAGCCAGAAATCTTTCTGATTGAGAGGGGGTCAAATACTTATTTCCCTCATTAAAAAGCAAATCAATTTATAACATTTTTGACATGCGTTTTTCTGGATTTTGTTGTTGTTATTCTGTCTCTTACTGTTCAAATAAACCTACCATTAAAATTATAAACTGATCATTTCTTTGTCAGTGGGCAAACGTACAAAATCAGCAGAGGATCAAATACTTTTTTCCCTCACTGTATCCTTAAAGACAAAGAGTAGTACAGTAGTGCAGTGGTTCGCGCATTGCGCTATGAATCCAGCGCAGCGACCCGAGTTTGATTCCCACTCGTGGCCAATCTCTCACTGCTGCTGGGCCTCCCGTGGGTCTACACAGCCTTAGTTTAGTATTTGGTGCATGTGTAAAGAGCACTGGGAAGATAAAAGCGGCCGGGCGTGGTGCTGGCCTGTGTCGTGCCGATCTTAATGGGTGCTCGCTAACAGCACTTTCCCCAACAGTCTGTTGAAGGCTATGTGGGGGATTTTTGGCTTAACTTTCGTGACTGCAGGAATTAATATTCTTGGTTCTTTCGTTAAAGTGATGTAGATAGAAGAAGAAATAATTAATTTAATTTAATTATTTTTATTTCCCATCTACGGGACTTTACTGAAAGAACCAAGAATATATATGGCGGATCTTTTTGGAGTTTTTTTTAGAAAAGCCTCGTATGAATCCTTGCAGAAACATACCGGCTCTAAGTGATTTATCTCTTATTTTGAAGTCTTTTTTTATGGATGGTCATGTCAGCTGTTATAAACATATCATAAAAAACCATGTTCTCTATATATGTCTCAATCCTGTAAAAAAAAATGACTCGGTGGACCAACAGCGATGAGGCATCATTGATATCTGTGAGCGACCAACTGTAAATCCAAAGGATGTTTTTCGTTTTAATCACGGAAGCACTAATTTCTAATGCAGGCGACACCTGTAAAGGTTTACTTGACATTTTTTTAAAATAAATATTTTGTTCGTGCACGGTGTACACTAGTTTTACTTAAATGGCTTTGTGCGAGGTCCACCGATGATGCCGTAGAATTATTGTACATTTCCGAGGTATAAACACGACCATGGTTGTGTACACGTACGGGACACTCCATGCCCATCTTACACTCGTCACCCAACCCTGCCGTTGCCTAATTTAGTCTGAAACAGCGCGAGACCACACATTGCAGGAGAAAAACCTAAGGGTGGACCCTTAGATTTTTTTCTTTTTTTACAGATAATATTAAACGACAACTTGTAATTGTTTTTTTGTCATTTCGATTGGGCTCCCAACCGGTACCGCTGCATTGACCTTAAAAAAAAAAAATAACTTCTGCCGTGCACTGAAATAATGCGCACAAGACCCCCCGGTGATAATGCCGTGCGCACGACGTCGCCCCAGCGTGTGAGGAGCTGATATGATTATGGTCTCGTTTATGCGAGGAATTTGGCGCATGCTCCGACAATGCTGTTGATAGCAGTTGTCTTTGTGGCGGCACCGTTTGATTGTTTTCGTAGCCGCTGCGGAATGTTAAGTGTCAATTTTCCCCCATTATCCAGGCACCGTTGGACAAGCGCTTAAATGGCTGTCAAAATGGCTGTCAAATTGCAAACAGCTACGGTGTCCTCTGTTTACCCACGTTAGTAGGTCATTTGTTTCCAGCATTAATTCATATAATTGTTTTTGGCATGACATACTTTCCTTTATTTCTTTTTTTATGAGCTTAGCACAATTTTGCAGCATGCACTGGGATAGACAGTCACACATTTTAGCTTCGTAGGGGTTTCTCTTCCACTGTGTAATTTTTATTTTGTTTTAAATGTACTTTTGGAAGGATGCAACCCCCGGTGTAATGCTTCACACGCACTTGACTTGCGATTTAAAGGCCTTCCAGTTCGATCTGCTGGCGCAGCAGTTTGACGCAATTGTGCGAGTTTCTTAAATCCCCCCCCCCCCAACCACCACCGCTTCTGTCCACCCAGCAGTATAAATGGGTGCACCGCAGTAAGTCGTTGGGCAGTTTGACGTGAGGTGGGGTAAAGTGTGGGTAAACTCACCTCCTTCAAGACATCTGGCCAGCATGGAAGGGCATGGCCAAAATAACCTATAGCAGGGTTTTCGAGGGCCCCCTCTAGAGGAGGCCCTTCCACCAGCAGTGGCATGAGCAATACAATGCAGGGTTGTGCCTTTACCCTCTCTATATGTTTGAATTTATTTAAAAAAACGTGTAGGAAAAAAAAGAGGACAATGTGTCTTAAGAAATTGAAAATAGTGAGCAGATCAATGGCTCACTTTATGCTTGGATATTCTGTCTGCAAAGCAACGATTTAATTGGTAGTCCTGAAGGCAGTTGTTTCCGATGTCTGGTTTTTCTTTTCTTAATGCCAAAAAAAACGGAACTGTACCGTTAGGTTTGGTTTCCGTCTCGTGCTAAAGGAATGTTGGAAATACAGTGATGTAATTCCACTCATCGAAAATTTGCTCCAAAAGTCTTTCAGTGTTTTTTTTACTTGCACTTAACTGGAAATTGTTATTAACGACACATTCCATGCTAAAATAAGCACTGTATACATGGAAGAAATGTGTAAACCCTATAAATTTTCACATTTTGAAATCATATCTTTAAAAGTTATGGATACGAGTGACATTCAGAGGAGGTGTTGATTCACCATTGGCACTGTGAAACAGAGTCGAGTGAGATGAAAGCTCGCCCGAGTTTTCCATAAAGGGTTATGTTCATTGTAGAGCAAGGTGCTATTTATGGACAATGTATCGTTTCATCTTCGCCTCTCTGCGTAAATGACCGGGTGCATATTGACAGGTGTGCACCGCTTGGTGGCAGCATTAAGTTGTTGTTTTTTAAACGGCAACAATTTCCGTATATGCAGATCTCCAACATTGAGTGATGTGTACCGTAATACACGATATAAATTATGTAATTTGTTTTATGTCAAGTATTTCCGCAAGGCTATCTGGTGAAGGGTGGGCGCGATCCTTTTAACTTTTTAAAGGCACAAAGCAATCGACATTCTTGACCTCATGTCCAATCAAGAAGGGGCGCCGTTGATTCTTTGCTCTGCCCACATGATTTTTTAAAAAAGTTTGAATTGGTAATTTCAACAATGTCCGAAACATGTTAGAAGCTGCTGTTGTGTTGATGGTTAGCTCCGTTCAGAGATCGATCTCCTGGCTTGGCAGTTTTACTGGAGGCCCTTCTCTGCCCAGATATGGCATGGGCAAGCGATTGCACCGATGCATCTTTACCAAACAATCACGTTAAATCTGCAACTTGCACTCCTTAAAACTTTATTTAAGCAGTATCTTTTACATCTTGCGCTGTTTTACACTACCTAAACTGTCATAGAAATTGTAAGTTGAACTTCTTTCACACCCTGCATAGCCAACCGTGCTAATCACAGGTGAGGTGGAGTATGGCTGTGCGCTGCCTCCAACATAAAGTTCGGTTTAACCTCATTGAGGTTGCGTGCATCCGTGACCTCATCTGACCCGCCTCGCTGGTGTTGCTGACAGATCTCGGAGATCCAGGTGACGGGACAGTCGGAGGACATGTCGGCCAAGGAGAAGCTGCTGCTGTGGTCCCAGCGCATGGTGGAGGTCTACCCTGCTGCCTCGTGCCAGAACTTCTCAACTGCTTGGCGGGATGGACACCTCTTCAACGCCATCATCCATCGACACAGGTATGTGTGCATGTATGTTGAACCTCTTTGGCGCACCGTACGTAGCCAACCGCGCTAATCGGAGGTACCATGTTGGTAAGCCATTGCTCACCAACATGTTGTTTTTTTATTATCTGCTGTTTGGCCATCTCAACCGCTTATTGTTTCTGGGTTGAAGTCTTTATTTTTTTTTCCATGGGTTATTGTCAATAATCATCATCAGCCATGATCAATCCATTGCTAGATAAAGGCCTTCTCAGGCCGTTACCATCTCTCAGGATTTATCGATGTCGCAATCTAGTGGACACCTTCTCGGGCGCGTTCTACATTTTTTTTGAAACATGCGTCTCGATTTTTTTAATTTTTAGGCTGCTATACATTTTCACAAGATAAGCCAATTAGTTGAGCTATTATTTATGGACAGGTCGCTTTTGAAAAATAAGCTAATAGCTCAATGGGCTTTAACTTGTAAAATAAAATAGTTTAGTTTTATTTATATATTTTAGTTATTTGTTTACCTCTCCGATACTTTACACTCCTATTGTGTTTTTGTGTTGTTTGTTGTTGCAACTTTCTGACCCGCCCCTCCTAGACATCTGTGAAAAAAGAGCTTTATAGCTCATCGGATTCCTTCAGTGTAAATACATGTTCTGATTCTATTCCCTTGGCTAGCGACTTTGTGTTTTTTCAGTTTTCATTTATTAGGTATAGCCCTGTGAGCCATGAGGCTCTTGACTCGGGTGCAACCACAACAAGCAAAACATGAACAAAGAACATCTTAAAGTGACGACGCGCAACAGAAACATCCAGGAAAAAACAGTAAAATCTTACAGAAAAAAGCACTGTATATCAACGGTGTGTGCATAAAATCCCAATGGGATGCAAGTCAAACAATAACAACCATAAGACATTTCGATTTAAAGCTTTTGTGACTGCAGGGATTCATCTTCTTGGTTCTTTCGGTAAAATAACCATAAGACAATTTAGATAGTTATCTCCTTACTTCAACAAACATGGCGTAACCATCCTTTTTCGAAATCACCAAAATAAAGCTATAAAAACAATGTAACAGTGATCATAGGAGCTGTGATTCAAATTTAACAATAAACGATATACATAACATGTACGACCAAACTTTGCAGCCATAGATGGCAGCATGAGTCACTCCACAGCAGCAGGAGTATCAGCAGGAGCATCAACATTTTTCCATGCACCTTTCAAGTTCAGCACACGATAATCGAAGTCTACTTACTTAAATTTTGATTTAAAGCTTTCGTACTGCAGGTATTCATATTCTTGGTTCTTTCGGTAAAGTCACTTAGCAGGGAAACAATAAAATAATAAAAATATAAAACAATAAAATTCTCACGATGTTTTGACTGCAACACAAGCAATCATCAGGTGTGAAACCCACAGCAAGAAAATTTGAAAAAAGTGGCGTTTTTTTTACGTTAGCACCACGGAGAGTGATTTGGCAGTTATTCAGATGGACGAGTCCATCTATGTTCGGAAAAGAGGAGGGGGGAGACGAAAATAATGGATGCGGTCTGAAAGCCACCGTAAGCGTGAACAATCAATTAAGACCCGAAATGGTTTATCAAATCCTTCCAATGATTGCTAAGCCAGAATCCATCTTCTCGGTTGAAATTGTCTCTCTGTTTGTATATGTGGATAGCCTCATGAACGAATCTCTCATGGTAGCCCGATCGCTTGCAAAGAACCTCTGTCTTGGAGAAGTTAATGTCATGTGAGCCTACTGAATTATAACAATGATCTGCCACGGCCGAGGTGTTGGTCCTACTGTGTTTTAGGTCTGCTTTGTGTTCACGGATGCAGTCCGAGACATGTTGTTTGGTTTCTCCAATGTAACTACTACCACAGAGGCAACTTAGTTTGTAGACGCCAGGGTACTGTATGTCCGGAATCACATCTTTTACAGACGGATTTTATGTAATGTGTTGAAACGGACCTGGATCTTGTGTTTATTCAAGATTTTGGAGATCTTTTTTGTGATCCCCGCAATGTAGGGTAAAGTGATGGTTTTGAATGGCTTCTCAAGAGGCTCCTAAAAACTAACAACTTAGTTTTTTTACCAATATAATTATGTCTTTAACCTGTTTTTGTTTCTTTCTGAATGTTTATGGAATGCACGGATACTCGGTGCTATTATATTCGCAATGAAGTTGTTGATGCTGTTGCGTGCGTAATCGGAGTAATATAGCAAATAGCCAGGTGAACTTTTGGACTAATTTCTCATGTTGAATTGTCAAATATTAGACATTATGTAAAGTGAGTTAAGCACACGGTCATCTATTTGATATTAGATTGCTTAATACCAGAGCGATGACTTGATTTGAAACAAAGGCAGCATTTTAAGTTATGTATGTGAGAAGAAAATCAAGGCATTTACAGATGCAACTCATTTATTCAGATTCTGTCCGTTTAAATCAACATGCTTATTCAGTTTGCTGACGTTAGCATCTGCTTGTCTAGACTTGCAATCTTGGGGTATATCAACAGTGTTAGGTGTGTATTTGACTATGAGTTAATGAACTTCGTTTAAAGGTTCATCACTTGATTTACCCTTGCTATCTTTACCTTAATGTTTGAGTCGTGTTTAACGACAAATGTCTTTAACAATTAATGCAGTCCTTTTTTAAGGAATCAGCCAATTTCACATTTCAGACCCGATCATTAAAATAAAGGCGGATATGTTAAGCTTTCACCAAACTTGACACATTTAATGTACAGGTTTTTTTTTGTTACCATGAAGTAATGATTCTCCATACAATTTCTTGCAATGTCCCTGTAGTGGAGATTACATTGCCGCCAATAACTGTTGGCTGCGGTCAGTGTGAGGCGTGTCCTCTGCTGACCACTTATTTGAGCCCTAAAGGATTTATCGTTGAGACTTGTTGCGTGAGTGTGGTATGCCGCTCCACAGCCAAGTATTTAGCTGGGGAAGCCAATCTGCAGAACGAGATGTGGCATTGCATTGGAAAAAGTCGCATTGCTGTTTAACCGCAGAATTGACAAGAGTATAAAATTGACTCCTTCGCGAAGGAGCCCAAGAAATCGCAGATGTCCGTAGACCTTACTTGAACCGATATGTCTTCGTACGCACAGCGGTGATTGTAGCTGATGATGTGACACCTGTCTGTGTGTGTCAATGCAAACTCGTTTCAAAATCACTTTCCAGAAGTTGTTCCATTGGCCGTTGCAGCTCTACTTTTCCCAAATAATGTTGGTAAACGTTTTATCGATGGAACTGATTATTTCTTCAGATGCTGTCGGTTTAAATCAACATGCTTTCTCTCATTTGCTGGCATTGGCAGCTGCTAGTCTAGAGTCGTAATGTTGGGGTATATCAGCAGTATCATTTGTGCGCACCATTTTTCTTTGCCGTAGAAACATATTGTTACTCTTTGGTTTGTTACTCGTTGGTTCTTTCGGTAAAGTCACGTAGGTATTTTATTTTATACCTACGTGACTTCACCAAAAGAACCAAAGAGTATGGATTCCTGCAGTCACGAAAGTTTCAAATCAACATGTATTGTTATTTTCCATCTCCCCTGTAATTCTTACACTTCACTTCTCCTCCTTCAACCCCACTGGCTTCCCAGTTACTACACCGCTGTCTTATCAAATACCTGATGCTAGTATTTACATCTCTCCATGGCCTTCCCTCTCATCTCTTTCCAAGTCCCCTTCTCATCTTCTTCATTCCTAATCGTCTCTGTCTCTGTCTGTAAATGAGATGAGATTGTACATTTTATCCCTACAGTATACAAATTGTGGAAATGTAAGTCAACGAAAGTGCAAAAGAAGCATCTTAAAGTGGTTTCCTGCTCCAGCTTAGCATGGTGTGGCACTCCTCTCCTGATTACTTCCATGAGCCTGTGGTGAAACAAATTCCACATTCCTATGACGGGGGTGAGTCTACCCATAGGACAACCACTACTGACTGTAATTAGGTGATGTAATCAAAGTTAATGCCACATGGCGAACTGTCACATCTGAGTGACTTGTGTTTGAAAATAGGTTTGTGGCTTTAAAAAAAAAGACATCTATAAGATGAAGTGAAGTGTAACCCATTGAGTCACTTGGTCCCAGAGGCCCTGGCTGAATGTTGATGGTCTCGGTGCAGAGTTGCTGCTTGTCGGGACAGGACCGGGCTTTGCCACTGGGCTAAGGTTCAGGAATTCAGGGCCCTGAATGCGCGGGTGTCTTTTCAAGTCATCACAAGCATGGCTAACGTGGTGCAAACACGTGATGGGAATTTTAATGGCAGGCCACTAAATTGACTCGCTTGTAATGGATAGAATTTCAGCAGAACGTGGAATTTGCTTTTGTGAGCGAGGGTTTGAAAGGCGTGACCAAAAGCGACTTTCTTCAGTTACGTAAACGTGGAAGCAATTAGCTCTTAATCCCTATTGAAATGTAGTACAGCCAGCCACGTGCAATTACGCGGTTTGGACACTTTACGTGTCTGGACAACAGTTCCGCTGGTGTATTCAGGTTACTGGAAATGTCTTGAAAAATCGCACAAATCTATATAGAAATGATGAAGATGTTGAAATGGCCTTCATTATTTATCCCGTTCATCTTGTATTTAAAACGAATATAACACCCTCTTGAAACATTCGGCACTGCAGTATCATTTGTCAGAACCCATTTTGCTGTACCAAACAGGCTGCAGTACATTCCAATAAAATGCATATATACAGCTGTCAGTGCTCCACACGTGTCAATGATATTATTTGGACTGTTTGAGATATAATTTTCAGTTTTCTGCATTCCACTACTAATTCCGTATGAGGCCAGCTTCCACCCATTTGGAGGAATGTTCTCTGCCTTTTGATTGGATTGAAAAATTGAAACACTTTAAAGACAATGTTTCAGTTTCATTTATTAGGTATAGCCCTGTGAGCCATGCGGCTCTTGACTCGGGTGCAACCGCAACAAACAAAAACATGAACAAAGATCATCTTAAAGTGACTACGCGCAACAGAAACATCCAGGAATAAACAGCAAAGTCTTCCAGAAAAATAGCACCGTATATCAACGCTGTGTGCAAAAAATCCCAGTGGGATGCAAGTCAAACAATAACACTTCACGTCTCCTCCTTTAATCCCACTGGCTTCCCGTTTACTACACCGCTGTCTTATCAATTACCTGATGCTAGTATTTACATCTCTCCATAGCCTTGCCCTCTCATCTTCTTCCATGTCCCCTTCTCATCTTCTTCTTTCCTAATCTTCTCTGTCTTATTGTTGAAGAATAGCAAACGACGTCTCCCGACATTTGTTCTGTCAGTACATTGCATTGGTAGACGGTGATTGTTTCTAATTGATGGGTTTAATCAGAAGTATAAAGCTGCCGTGATAAATGGGTAATGTATGAAGTGACACGAGTCTACTTATGCAGGCTAAGACTTGAATTAACAACCATTCTGTGTTGCGCGGAACTGTCTTTAAAGGCTTAAACACCCAAACCACCAAATCCACGATCATCTCTTTTTTTTTCCGGCTAAGCATCAAGCCTGCATAACCACTGCATAGCGCATGTGGCATGCTTAACAATAACACAATTTTATGATGTGCTGGTTTACCAGCTTGTGCTTCTGGTTGCGTGCACTAAACTGTGCATATTTGATTATACCAGAGTGGAATTGGGTGGTGCGGTGCCACGGCGGATACCGCCATCTGACTTTCATTCACAGCCATGGCTAACATCAGTAGCGATTTATATCTAAACCCTTCACCAGCCCGCATTCACCAGAATGGTGACGTATGGCCGATCAACCCTCTAAACTGGTGTTGTGTGAGGAGGCCTTCATAAGCAATTGGTTGACAAAGGGATTTAAATAATTGTTATTTATGTCACTTACACAAGTGTTATAAATACATTTGACACCCACCATAACTTTGGTTTAGTTTGTTTGCTTTATTACTATTATGTATTTGTCCCGATTATCATGTTGGTGCATTTTAGCAAACCGGTAATGTTTGTAGGCATATTTACTTCTTCACTCTGGAGGTATTGTGCCGAGGGCAATATAAGTGGCTTGTTAATGCCACACATTGTGGTCTCAGTATGATGCCTCTAATGAAAAGGCTATTTGTCTAAAAGCACACGTGGTTGAATTTCTGTTCTTGAACTTTGTTTACGTGCAGTTGTGTTTTTTTTGTGGATGTTGCAACTTTATTCTCATAGGTTTTACCATGTGACAGTAATTTGATTCATAGATCAAAATAGCTTCAGATGTTAAGCAGAACATATTTAACTACGAGTATAAAACACATGGATGTCATGTGAACTCCATGTTGAGGTTGCTTCAAACAAAACAAATAAACCTTTGCAGTACGTATATATGTATTATTATAAAAAAAATTTAGAAAGCTGGACCATCTGTAGATAAATCTCATTCTAGAAAAGCAACAAGCAAATGACACAAACACGAGGGGTCAATCGAGGAGGATTTTCAGTGATACAATGAGAGTGATTGGAGGGCTGGGATGGGTTGCAGCTATGCAGCTCGCGAGGGCATCACCGTGGGCAGTTGCTGTGACGATGGCTGCTGAGTTAGAGCCTTTAAATTAGGTGGGATCATCGGGGGTGGCCAACTGGTACAAAGGGGTCACAGTATTGAGTTGCCACCGCTTGGATACCGGGTTTGAATCTGGGCATCGAGTTAAACCGTAGCTACCTATGAATGTAAAAAAAATACTCTGTTGAAATTGGCAGTTTTTTTATTCACTTGCCTGAATTATAGCTCTGATTTAAAAAATAAATACATACGCATTCGGCTGTCTTGCAAATAAAGTTGCTGTGTGCCGGCACATGATGAAAATATGCCCTCTGGGTGTGTGGATTAAGCTCTCATTTGAAGGTCTCTCAAAATTAGTTGTTTGACTGCTTGTGTTGTGGTTATTGCAAACATGATCCCTTGTATAAAGGTGTCAGTTTTTTTGCCAGCTAAAAGGGTGAAAACCTATCACTATAGTTGTGTGATGTCTGCTTCGGGCAGGTTTTTCTCTAATATATATGGTGATACGTTGGTTTGCAATATTTCTGAATGGATGTTTTCTATATGACGTGGTGTCAATGGTAATGAAATTGAGTTATTGACCCGAGCAATATCATGTATAGGTAGGATTTACAATGTGGTCTTATAACACTGCAGTCTTTGGAAGTTTGTTTGAAAACATGAATTAAAACAAGTGTAGATTTGAAGCTTTCGTGACTGCAAGGATTCATACTCTTTGGTTCTATTCGGTAAAGTCACCTACGTGACTTCGGTATTCGGTAAAGTCACCTACGTGACTTTACCGAATAGAACCAAAGAGTATAAAACAAGTGTACCACAATCGGGAAAAAAATCATAACAGATAAATAACACAGATTTCTAAGATTTTGGGGGTAATTAATCTTCTCACACCCAGTTTTCAAGTAAAATGTTTCATTGGATATTGGAAGAAATAGTGCTTAATCAATTAAAACATATTCTTAGGCTCATAATAATTGCATCGAAGTCACTGACGTTCGGGGAGTGAAGAACAGCTAATAACTGAACCAGCATGCGTAAGCATATTTTATTAAGTTATTAGGTAGCAACCTGGATAATATGCTTACAGCGAATGCAGTTATTCGTAGTTTTACCGACATGTAAACCTTTGTGTGCTCTCCTGGCAGCGTTCATGGCCGAACGAAGAAAAGAAAATAATCTAGGTGGAGATAAAAATGTAACGTTCTAGAGTGGGTTTTCGGGGTGTGCCACGTGTTTGACATGATGCCAAACGACACAAAGAGCGCACCGAAGAGCTATACAGCACAATCGCGAAATCCTACGCATGAAAACCAATGTTGGCATTTCCCCCGTCTTATTACAATGGGATTAACCCGCGTCTCACACATCACGTTTCCTTTGTTGATTCACACTTTGCAGGCCGGATCTTGTGGACATGGAAAAAGTCAACATCCAGAGCAACAGGGAAAATCTGGCGCAAGCGTTTGCCCTTGCAGAAAAGGAACTCGGGGTCACTAGTCTACTGGACCCTGAAGGTGAATCTGTCTGCAATAATGAAAAGAAAACACGTATGGCAAGCCAATGCGGGTTTAATTATCTTGTGCGAATTACTGTTGTAACCAGGTATGTTTAATGTAAACCTGCTGTCGAAGCAAATTCTAGTTTAAGAGTTGCTCTTGAATACTTTTCTGAATTTAAGCTTTCAACAGAACTCAGTTTTTGTTGTTATGAGATGGGTTTTGTTGTTGTTGCAGACATTGATGTTGTATCTCCGGATGAAAAGTCCATCATCACGTACGTGTCTTCGCTGTACGACGCAATGCCTGTTGTCCCTGACGTGTTCAATGGAATCAGTGCGGATGTGAGTCCTTCCTTTTGCCATGCATACACAATATACCTCCTGGAATGAATGCATCCAGTGAATAATTTTCAAAGCAGTTCAAATGTTTTTAACTGTATTTTCACACATAAGATGTACATACTTGTTATTTGTTTCATAATGAAGGTTATTGGGTTATTTCGCATAAATATAAATGTGTCATTAATATACCACCAGCTGATACAGTCATTTAGTAAGATAGTCAATTAGTAAGGTTTGTCACGTGAACAAAACGTGTCAATTAGTTACTACTTCAGCACACCGGTGTGTTGGAGGGTAATCCCACAACATTTACAATCTGAGTAAGACGTTTTGCTGGTGATTACAACGAGTTTCATCAGGCGATTTTCCAGAATTGTGAAGAATTCTTCCTTATCGGTCGCGAAAGCCTACGTGTTAACCTTATTATTTCCTTGTTTTCCTCTTTGCTTATGCTTACGTGCATGTGCTGTCAGCGAGCACCTATTAAGCCCATCACCCCCTCCACAGCACTTGCTGTGAGTGCTAAAGACTTTATGGAGGGAATCTTTGTGTCTGAGTTTAGTGAAAATAAAAACAAAAACTTTCCTTTGAATTGGAGCTTATACGTTTATCTTATTTTACCAGGAGGCCGATCTGAAGTGGTCGGAGTACCAGGAGATGGTGAAGTCGCTGCTGCTTTGGATTTCACGACAGATTGAGATTATGGAGGACAGAACATTCCCTGACGACTTGGAACAGTTGAATGTGAGACACTGCTCCTGCAACTGGTGCCTGTGCCCTGTGGCTTAATTACCACCCCCCCCCCCGAATCATACACTGGTGAAATATAAGTTGACAAATGGATGTTAGATACATTCCTCTGAGATCTGTGTAATCTTTATTTAGAATAATCAATTGTCTTAAGCTTGTTAAAAGCAGAACACACAAATAGCACACTGCAATACGATTTTTCACTCTTGTAAGTTTTAAATGCTTTATATGTGTATTCTCATAAGTATTAAATATTCTTGGGACTTTCGGTAAAGTCACGTACTGTAGAAGGGAAACAATAAAATAATATAAATATAAAACAATAAAATTGTTTAATATAAAACAATAAAATAATATAAAACAATAATATAAAACAATTAAATATAAATTTTGATTTAAAGCTTTCGTGACTGCAGGGATTCATATTCTTGGTTCTTTCCCTTCTACGTGACTTTACCGAAAGAACCAAGAATATAATAAAATATAAAACAATTAAATAGTTTTATATTTTTATTATTTTATTGTTTCCCTTCTACGTGACTTTACCGAAAGAACCACGAATATGAATCCCTGCAGTCACAAAAGCTTTAAATCAAAATAATTTAATACTTAAGTCATCGTGGAAGTTTCTTTCAAATGCATAAGCACAGCACCTTCTTTCAGGAATGATAAACTTTTTTGTGTTGTTCATGTAACTTACTGACAAAAGAAACTACAAACTAAACATTTTTTTTTATTTTACCAGGTAAGCCCCAACTTGAGCAGTATAACTTTTTTTTCAGAATCGACCTAGGCCACAATTGATATCTCAACAAAAAGTGGGTTATCATGTGGGCATTTATTGCAGCCAAAAAGAAGGCTGTGTTGTAACCACAATCTGAAGTTCCTCTTACCCGATGTTGTGTTCTGCAGGCACTTTATGCCCAATTCACCCACTTGAAAAACACCGAGTTCACGACGAGGCTGTCGGAGAAGCACAGAATCCACGAGCTCTACAAGACGCTGGAGGTGCGGACCGCACGGCAGCCACGACGCTCATTGATTTTTTTAAACGACCATTACTGTTTTTTTACATTATGAGACCTCCTTTGCCAGAAACAAGATATAGGAATAGGTTTTACCCTTTTAACTGGCACAAAAAACGCCTTTTGGCGTCTTCTGGTCCAACACCAATGGAGACTAGGCTCTAAGAAAAGCTGTCTCGGGTGTGGACCAATCAAATTCAAGGACAGTGCATATTATTAGAGTTGTCTTTTTTGTTTGCATTCTGACTGCTTGTGTTGTGGTTTTTGCAAACATGATGCCTTGAATAAAGGTGTCAGTTTTTGTGCCAGTTAAAAGGGTAAAACCTATTCCTATACCATTACTGTGCCACACTCCGTTCATCCTCTTCTCTTTTTGCGAGAGCAATTGCAATCGCTTCTGTGCCATTGTCTTGGCAGGGCTGGTTTCAGTCAGGTCGAATCAAGCTGCCCGAGAAGAGCCATCCCAACGATGTGGAGCGGGAGTGGAGCAGGCTCTTTAAAGCAATGGGCGAGCGGGAGACCACTCTGCGATTTGAAATAGCGAGGTCGGTAATGGTTCGTCGTCGTGTTTAAATCGTTAAACCCTCAAGTGAAATATCTAGCTTTGCTGTATTTTATTTCCATTGCTTTCCAGTAGTTTGCCTTTCTGCTTGCCGTGTAGCTTTTAGAATTTTTGGATTTTTTAAATGCGTACATTTTTTCTTCTTACTATTTTGTTTAAATAATATTACTTAGATGAAATTAACAGAAATACAATTTGTTAATTTATTTTGTAACTCATTGGTTGCTTGTCATACAGACATAATAGCATATTCATCTCTAAATATATATATTTTTAAAATGTGTGGTTGGGGTGGCGGGAAAACTAAACTGGCTGAGGAATGTGGCGTAACTGACAAAAATGTGATCTGAGAGTTGCCTGCCGTGTCGTGGCTTGTAAGGCTTGACAATGGTCCGTGGCAAGTGTGGTCTGGATTAATTTCAGTGCACTAAGCCAACGTTTAAGCCCTCCGGGGCGAACTATTACAGGCACGCCCATTGTGGCCGGACCTATCGGGACGTATGGGGAGTTTTACTGTTTGCCTGATTGGCGCGATGCTTCTCGTGGCTGAGGAGAAACTCCTTAAATAGCGCATGCTCGCCGCGAAAAGCTTTCGTTTTTGGGAAGTTCACCTCAACTTGCCGTCGTGAAAGATGTATTCTTAACTGTGGCAGTAATTTAGGATTCTTCGGAGAAACATTTTGGTTGTTTTTTTTTATTATTTTCTTACGTAATTATTAGTACATTCAATCAAGATGGGGTAGCATGTGTTAGCGTCAGTTTGTCATTTGCAGCCCTGCTGAGGAAAGTGGTAAAAATACAGGGATTAGTCAAGGGAGGAAATTTTGATAAAAACAACTGGACTTAGGAGGGAAGCTTGACTTCCTTCAGCACTAGGAGTATGTCGAGTGGCTCTACCGTGCATTATGGCTCCCTGCCACGCTCGTACGCTGGCGGTTTGCATCACATGGTGATGAATGGGGGGCAGTCTCCTGTAGGCATGTCCTACAGCAGTCACCCCGGAAGTACCATGCAGTATGCTTCTCTTCCAAGGTCATTCTCTGGCGGTGGTGGTAGCGGTGGTCATGGTGGTGGTGGTGATGGTGGTGGTGGTTCGTATGGAATGACAATGGATGGAGCACAGTCTCCTGGTGAAATGTTCTACAGTGGACAAGCTGGGAGTACCATGCAGTATGGCTCTCTTCCAAGGTCATTCTCTGGTGGCGGCGACGGTGCTGGTGGTGGCTCATATGGAATGACAATGGATGGAGCACAGTCTCCTGTTGGCATGTCCTACAGCACTCAAGCTGGGAGCACCGTGCAGTATGGTTCTTTTCCAAGGGCATTCTCTGGCGGTAGTGATGGCGGTGGTGGTAGCGGCTCGTATAGAATGACAATGGATGGGGCACAGACTGCTACTGGCTTGTCTCACAACAACCAGGTTGCGAGCGCCGTGCGGTATGGTTCTCTTCCACGAGCTTTCTCTCGTGCTTGTCATAGTGGTTCATACGGAATGGCAGTGGATGGGGCACAGTCTGCTGCCGGCTTGTCCTACAACAGTCCGGCTGCCAGCACCATGCAGTATGGTTCTCTGTCACAGACAGGTGCTGGTGGCTCGTATGGGGGGATGACTTTAGGTGGAGGACAGTCTAGTGGTGGTATGTCCTACAGCAGTCAGCCTGCAGGCACCGTCCAGTATGGATCTTTGCCAAGGTCGATGTCTGGTGCGTCATATGGAATGGTCGCTGGTGGGAGCCAGTCTGCACGTGGCATGTCAATCAGAAGTCAGTCGGTCAGCTCAAATGTTCGTGTTCCTGATGGGGGCCAGTCTGCGGGATCTTTACACCTAAACAATGCCGTGGGCAAAAGCGTGTCCTTTGGAGGGGCCTCTGCTGATCATTTTGACAATGCAGACGTGTACAGAAGCGTTTCTTACAGTAGCGGTAGCGGCCAAGGCCAGACACTTGGCAGAGCCACGAGCCCTCTGCCTTCTCCACAGTACGGTGCTGATGTCGCAGCGAGCGTCATGCGGCAGCGTTCTCCCAGCCCGGCTGGTGTTGACCGTGGACAGGTGGTCGGTCCGGTTCAGTTTGGCAACGTCGTGTTGAGGGGCCAGCCGGCGAGCCTTTCGTCGCAGTACAGCGGCGGGGTCACGTCGCCTCTCGCCGAGCGCGGTCAGTCGGGCGGCATGACGTTATATACCGTCGAGCAGGTACAGGCCTTCGCCCCCTCTTCAGACATTGGCATAGTGGATAGCAGCCAGGTGTTGACCCCGGCGCAAACGGGCGGCGGTCTCGGCAGCGCCGCTCACCTGAGGAGCACCGCCAGCCAGATGGCTCAAGCCAGCTTCGGAGGGGGGGGTGGGCACGGGTTGACAGGCATGCCGGCGTACGGTCAGTTGGTGGACGCGGGTGGAGAGATGGCCAGGTAACGGTGACGACAGCAACCGCGCGTGTCGGTGCCGGTGTGAAATTCCAGCGATTGCTTGTGCGTCGCTGTTGCATAGGTGCGCACGCGTTAATGCATGCATGCCGAGTTACATTGCGCGAGTATGTAAGCATTGTGCATAATGCACGTACGTTTCCACATGTTTAAGTTTGAAGTCGATGTCTTTTAATTTTAATCCCTAATATAATTTGCATACAGTTCTATAATTATTGTCACCATTATCATGGTGACACAAAGATATAGTCGTTTTTTTCAGCACTTTGTTGACAAAAGTTAGATTTCTCAAAAATAGTATAACACATTGCAGTTATATACCGCAAATAGTCATTCTATTTAAATTAAAGAAGTCGCTTAATAAAAACGAACGTGATTAATTACCATATTTTCTTCATTTGGATATTTAACCCGCCGCATGCTTTCACAGGGATGCATGAGCCCCAACTGCTCACACCAACACAAAGCGTTAGCACGTGACTGAGGGATCATTTTACAATGTCGTTTTTGAACAATGACCCAAGGTATATAAATATACCTTACGTAGTAGGTAAACTGCCATGTCGTTCGTGGGCACAAGAACAAAAATTCAGCCGCGCTGAATTAGCTCATTCGCTCTGTGGAAAGGTGACGGGAGAGGATTGCCCGCTTCTCGCAATGGGAAGAACCGGGCATGCAGTTCCAGTTGGAACAGGAGAGACATTTCACATGGCGTATTTCATTTCAATACCGCTGTGGTGTTGCGGTTATGACGCTGGACTTCGCCAGTTCTCTTGAATCTCCCCACCTATATTCATGCAGCAGCGATCTCCCAGCATGGCAGTACCAATGGCGTGAATGGTTTGCATGTCAGTTTGTGGATCAGCAGATCGCACGTGGTACGGTTAAGTGTGGGTACTCTCAACGCTTTCAAGTCGTCTGGCTGGTGTGGACGTGTCGGCCAGATTAACTGTAGCGGCGCTCTCTGGATGGTTTATTTATGTATTATGCTTGTTCACCTAGGCAAGCCCTGCTGAGTCTCATGACAGTTTTTTTTTTCAGGATGGTGATTGTGGGGCTGCGCCTTTATCGTATTTCTCTTGTGCTATCGCCACTCTGCCCTTTGATTGCCAGGTTCGAGGCGCTGCAAAGGCTGGCGAGGACAGCGGAGATGGACACGAGCCAGTGCGGTGACCTCCTGGCCAAAGCGTCGTCGGCCCTGCAGGCCGTATGTGTCGCCCGCATTCTCTGCGCGTCTCTATTTATAGCCTAGCAGTGGAGGACAAAGGGACAAAGGCAGTAGCCTCGTGATGAACTGCACACGGTCCGCTGGTGGCAATGACATTACTACGTGTGCTGTTTTAACGAGACGGCGGTTGGAATCCATTGCTGGCGCCTGCCTAATGGGCGCCACGGTGGCGAGATGTTAACTTCCTCTCCCCTGGAATAGCGGAGGTCGTGGGTTCGAATCCCAACCCTGACGCCCGCATATTTTGAGTTTGCATGGTCTCTCCATGGTCGTGTGGATTTTTCTCCAGGTCCTCCGGTTTTTCTCTCCACATTTATGAACACACTTTTAGAGTATTGGGCTGCTATAAATTTCCACGTGATCAACCATTTGGTTGCGCTATCATTTGTGGACGGGTCTCTTCTGAAAAAGAGCTGTGTAGCTCAGTGGGCCTTTCCTGGTAAAATATAAATAGTTAATATTCAGTTAGTTGTCCCGAATCTCATTTGGATTCTGCAATGGGCTTCTAAAGATGTGGAAATTGAATTTTACAAAGAAGGAAACTTTCATAAGGCACCATTATAATGGAGGTAAAACGGTAACATGTAAATTCTGTGTTAATGTTTTATTATAGTATAGAATCAGTTTCATAAGTTGATTATTTTGTATTTAGTAAATAGTGTTTATTGGACAATTGTTTTTTTTTAATGTATCTTTGACTCTCGTCAATGTCGAAATAATCGATTATCCATGTTTATTTTTTCTTAGGACGCAAGTCGAATTTCTTCGGGGCAGGAACCACAGGGCATGGCTGAGATTGCACAGTATTTAACGGAAACTGAAGTGAAGATCAGCAAACTCTTTGTGGACATCCAGAGTCTCAGAGAAGCAAAATATCTCCACTCGGAGCAGCTCTACTCCAGGTACGACATGTGGCTTCTTTCATTCACCCTAAATGCCAAACCAAAACAAATATCTCTACGTATACTTCCAGGGATGTGGCACGGTTGCCTTCCCGTCCCTGGCCGAGCACCATGGTGGAGAGATGTTAACTACCTTGCCTGGTATACAGGAGGTCATGGGTTCGATCCTGACCTTGACGCCCTGTATATTTGGAGTTTTTCGCTGTAATAAATTTCCACGCAAGGAGCCACCTCGTTCAGCTACCATTTGTGGCCAGTTCCGCTTCTGAAAAAACGAGGTATGGTAGTTCAGCGGTGCCCGTACCTGGTTAAATAAAAAAAGTAGTTTCAGTTTAATGGAGCATGAGCTTTCTCGTCGTGCCGCGGCCGCACAGGGTGCTGCAGCTGCACGAGCAGTTGACGAGCATGCGCGCCGAGCAGGGCAGGCTCCTGGGCAGGGTGCAGCAGCTGCTGGAGGACAAGGCGAGGGACGCGGCCGCCTCGAGGGCGGCGGACGCCGAGCGTGTGCGGGCTGAGGACGATTCCAACCTGAAGTACGCTCGCGAGCTGCTCGCCTGGGTGGAGCACGGCCAGGTGCGTTTGCGGCTACCCGGGGTTACGGCATGGCAGATGAGTTGTGTTCGCTCCTGATGCGCTCGTGGGTTTGCTGAAAACCGTGTGTTTCGGCGGCATAGCGGTTAGCGCGGCCGTGCCATACGAGCCCTGGCCACCCGAGTACGATTCCTGCTCACGACCAACGCCGGTGACGTTTATCTGAACCAGTCCTGGGCCTCCCCCTACGTCGAGTCGGCCTCAAATGACTACCTGGTGCGGTGTGTAAATATCGCCACTAGGGAGAGGAAGGCGGCCGGGCGTGGTGCTGGCCACCCCACCCTCCTCGTGTGGCGTGCCGGCCTTCGTAGGTGCTCGCTTAACAGCACTTGCTCCAACAATCTGTTTGGGCTATACGGGGGCTCTTTGTATTTTGCTCGGCATGATTTTCTGACACGTCTGACATTTGGCTTCGCATTATGCCAGCAGCTGCCCAAGGGCATCGTGCTGTACAACACGCACACATGATCCGCGCATACTCCGGAAAGCCGTACAGCAACACGATCCGTGAAAACCTATGCAGTCGTAGTAGTAGTAGTAATAATAATCATGCTGGTGTCGCAACTTGTACTCAATTGCTGTGTCGGCTGGAAACAAAACATACAAAGTCTGCCATGCCCATCATTCAACAAAGGCTTACAATCTTAAATATATCTCATGAGTGATCTGTGAAAGTATTGAAGGCCATTTTCTAGATATTGTTTGTAATTACATTACTTATTCTAGCCTCTGTTAATACAAGTCCAGTTGCTCCTGTGCGAATACAAATGATATTGACTAAAATTTTATAAACCGTAAATAAGTGTATTCTGTGTGTGGTGGTAAATGGTTGCTGGTCACAAGCTTTGGAAATTCTGCCATTCCACTAGCTTCACATATATATAAAAAATACAAATGTAAATGCATTAACATTACAACTGGCTCGCCCATGATATTTGTGTAACCTACCTGGTGCTTCTGGGTTCTTACAGTTACAAATTGACACGGGTGACTGGGGCTCCGATCTTCCTTCCGTCGAGGCTAATATGGAAAGCCACAAAACTCTACACAAATCCATCGAGGACTTCAGGTCAAGTGTGGAAGATGCCAAAGCCAACAAGGTACGGTTTATTGCACGCGCTTGCCTTCACTTGATTCATTACCACAGCCTTTGATTCCCATTAAAAGGCTTGGTTTATTCATAATCACGTTTTCATGGGTTTGATCACGAAAATGTAAATGTGTCGTTAAACCCACCACCACCCCCGACACGGCCAATTAGTAAGGTTAGTCACGTGAAGAAAACGTGCCCAATTAGTTACTACTCGGCACACCGGTGTGTCGGAAAGTAAACCCACAAGATTTACTAGTTGTCTACTGCGTAAATCCACAGCATTTACAGTTTGAGTACTGTACTCAAAAGCCTACACGTTAAAATGGTTTGTTAAGTTGCACAAATGTGAGTGGAGTGCTACGTGTGTGTGCCATGTCCATTGTTGTTTTACAGAGCAAGTTGTCATCGACTGTGAAGGCCGAGTACATTGGGCTTGTGAACAGCCTGGAGATAAAGTACACGAAACTCATGGTTTGTAACTTGCCTTATGCTTTCACACAGTGCAGCAATGCCTAATGAGTACCCATAATTAGGCATCAGTGTCTGTCACGTAATTTAACTCTTTAATACTTTCTTGGAAATTTGAAGCTTTGCAATGTAGTTCGTGGGTATCGGTTGAAGTAACCTCCTATTTAGGTCGGGATTCTGCCGTGGATAGCGCACCGGACTTTTTTTTTATCTCCTGGCGCAGCGGTTAACATAATGGGTCAAGTTTTCAGCCTCTGTCCGCCCATGAGTATAAACGGGTTACAGCGCATGAAGTAGATCAGCAGGTCCCATGCGGTGGGATAAAGTTTAGGTACTCCAAAGACGTCTGGCCAGCATGGAAGAGATAGGTCAAATACCGTCGAGATAGTCTCTGTAGAGCTTCCTAGAGCGTGGCCAAGAAACCATACGGCTACACTTTGACCTATTAGCTATAGTGATCTCTCTGTAAACACCAAGATTACCTTAGTTTAAAATAAAATTGCAATATTCCTCGTGAAACAATGTAATTTTTGCTCTAACTAACCCAAAGGGCACATACTTATTGACCCACACCCTGTGGGCGATGGGAATTCTGAGCGGTTTCCATTGTGTGCCTTGAATTCAGAACGCGTCACGGAGCAGAGGGAGGCACCTGGACAGCTTGCACAGCTTCATCACACGGGCCACCAAGGAGCTCATCTGGCTGAACCAGAAGGAGGAAGACGAGGTGTCCTATGACTGGAGCGAGAAGAACAGCAGCACTGCCGTGAAGAAGGAGGCCTACGGTGTACGTTTATCCACTGCCCATGAGTCACTCGCACATCGCTGGAGACCGTAAGAGACGGTTTGTTTCACTGGTATATCTGTGTCCGGAAATATGTGGTTCTCAAGGGCCGATGTGAAAATGTGAAAAGCAAAGCAAGCCATGTAATTGTATTTATGCATGTTGAACTTCTTTCGCACCCTACGTGTAGCCGACCTTGGTAATATAATCGGACGCGCAATGAAAACATCATATGATCGTCTTCATCTTTACTTCCTTTGTGCAGGAATTTATGCGAGAGCTCGAGGAAAGGGAATCGAACATAAAGAGTATTCAGGAGAGTGGCGAGCAACTCCTGGCTGATGCCCACCCTGGCAAGCAGTCGATTCAGGTATGCAGTTTTATTTCAAGATGCACATGTGATCATTGGTATGGCTGTAATGACGATTATTTGAGGCTAACCCAACCCTGACGTGTGCCACCACTGAACTCTGCTTTGGATATGGGTTGTTTGACTGTAATTGTGTGTTTCAGGCCTACATTGCAGCCATGCAAACACAGTGGAACTGGGTCCTTCAGCTCTGCTCTTGCGTAGAGACACACCTGGCCGAGAACACCGCCTATTTCCAGGTACGCTTACGGCACTGAGTGACATGTAAGTCGCTGTTATCCCTCTATAACTGCTACGTCTACGATCGTCTACTTTCAAAACTAGGAAATGTATTTGCGTGCACATAGCTACTTCCTATGCAGCACATCTAAACTACGAAATTCTTCGTCTATTATTCTTATCAAGACGGTGCCATGATCATGAACTTCCTTTACACGTTGCCAGTTCTTTCAAGATGCCAAGGAGGTGGAACAGCAGCTGAACAACCTTCAGGACACCATCTGGAGGAAGTATAAATGCGACAAGTCGACAAGTTTGACCCGCCTAGAGAATCTCCTGCAGGATGCGATCGTGAGTACTTTTTGAGTGTTTTGCTGCTATAGATGTCCACATGATAAGCCACTTCGTTGAGCTATCATTTGTGGTCAGGTCACTTCTGAAAAAGACCTGTATCACTCAATGGGCCTTACCTGATCACATAAAATAGTAGTAATAGTTGTACTTTAATTCCTTTTTCATCTGAGATCCTAATTAAGTTGATTACGTGTGCAATTCTTACCCCAGTATTGGACCTTGTGGTTGCCCCTTTTCCATGTTCCTAACCACAATGATAATCGCAAGTCACCTGTGCCTTTTAACACGGGTTAGAATTGGCATAAATATTGTGAGGAAATATCCTATGACTAGAGCTAATGAAAACGTAGTTTGATGACGGGACGCTGCCATGGTACAATGCTTAGCACTCTACTTGTGATCCACCGGTCGCCAGTTCGAACTCCCTGTCACGATAGTGGAAGTTTCTTAAATCCCTCCTCCACCCATGTCCCCACAGCAGCAGTACGAATCAGTTACACCGAGAGGTCAATCTATTGGAAGGGTCGCGTGTGGGTGGGGAAAACAGTGGGTATCTGCCACCTCTTCCAAGACGCCTGGCCGGTGTGGAATAGTCGGCCGATTCCCTTCTCAGAGAGCTCTCCAGAGCTCCCTCTAGTGGAGGCCCATTTTGGCAGCAGTGGGAACGAGCCAAGACATTACAAGGGCCGTTATCCCCCGTTACCTTTTCATCTCTCGGTTTATTGAATCATTGTAGTCCGTGACCGCTTGCTGTTTACCGACGCAGCGCGTTCAATCGGGCTCGAATGTGTGATCGTGTTTCCTAGGAGGAAAAGGAACAGCTCTCAAGCTATAAGAGCCGCGTGAACAACCTTGCGAGCAGAGCCAAGACTGTCGTGCAGCTCAAGCCTAGAAACCCGGACAGTTTCCTGCACGGCACCATTCCTATCAGGGCCATCTGTGATTACAAGCAGCTGGAGGTACGGATGTCCTCAGCGTGGCAACGTGTACTTCCACAGAATAAGTTGCGAACTTTGTGTCGGCGTGCATCTGTTACGTGCAGGCGACAAGGTTGCTTAAGGGACTGATAACTGTCTTATGTTTCAATATATGGCGACGACGAACAGCAGTGCACACGTGTTTTTTTAATACTACGTGAAGGTGTGCCGTGCAGGCCTTCATGGGTGCCACTCGCTAACGCCGCTTGCCCTAACAGGTCTGTTAATAGGCTACGTGGGGGATATCTGTCTTTGTGTTGAAGATCACACTGCACAAGAATGCCGAGTGCGTTCTGGAGGACAACTCGCAGCGCTCCAGGTGGAAGGTGATCAGCTCGAGCGGCAGCGAGGCCATGGTGCCCTCCGTGTGCTTCTCCGTGCCAACGCCAAACAGGGAGGCGATCGACTTGGCCAGCAGGTGTGGCCCAGTGTGCTGTGGGTTCTACCATTGGCAGTTAGGCACGGTGATTAGAGGGCAACGTTTAGTGCAATGGGTGTTGGCGGCAGCCGCACAGTGCGCTCTGAACTTGGCGACCTGTGTTCGATTCCTGGCCGCGGTTAACATCGGCGGTTAGTTCCACCTGGGTGGCTCCCCCTTTCGACCAAATCCACACTGACCACTGTGGTGAAGTATGGTCAGATAGCCCCCCGATTGAGATGATGTGGAAAAGCCTCCATAAAACTTCTGGAAATTGTTGATTTTACTTCGTGTTATTTATAATGGGCATGTATAGACATATGATACCCATTTCATTTTTAAAGTGAGAAATAACCAAATCGTAACCTAAAGTTCTCGCTCATACTCCCTTTTCATATATTACACAGATATGGAATTATAATAAATGGGTTTATGCTCGGAATTCAACAAATGAACAAATAAATTGGATACCTTATTAATATCCCATTATGGAAGTAATTTCCTTTTTACGGTTTTTTATATGTTTTTAGTTTTTCTCAGGATCAGTGGAAATAAAAATGGTGTGTTTGTTGTGCATTGCTGTTTCCATGGATACTTCTGTAACCAATAAGCGATGGTGCGGTTTCTTGGCAGACTTGAGCAGCTGTACCATGACATAGGGACGCTCTGGCACCAGCTGTACACCAATATGCAGAGCGTGTTGTCCTGGCACTACTTTGTGAGTGACATCGACATCATCCGCTCTTGGAACACCAACATGGTATGGCAACACGCTGCGACCTTTAAAGCAATTTTCATGAAATGCAAAGTCCATTGCTTTTGCTCTCGCTAAGAAAGATCAATAGAAAAAAGTGCCATTGTAAAAATTTTCTCGGGCAAACATTAATACAATTGACACTTTTCTTCGGCATGTTAGTTTACAGCACAAACTTTAAACACGATTTTTACCATCGGACTTTGAAATGTAATCGTTAGGTAGTTTCGGTATGGATACGTGTGATAGTTGGATGCACCCCTGCCATTGGACTTTCATTATACTTAGTAGAATTCTGTGACGTAGTTTGCTCCTTGTGAGTTGCTGTGGCTTTGCGCGTTGTTCCGACGTCCATGACAGTTTCGCAACATTTCTCCGGAGGAGCACGCCAACGTCATGCATGATCTGACGGTGCATTACGAGGAGTTCTTGAAGAACAGCCGGGAGTCAGAGGTCTTCACCCCGTCGGAACTCTCTCAGCTGGAGCGCGACTTCAACTTCTGCCGACAGCACTACGAGGAACTGCTTCTGACGGTCGAAAAAGGTAATGCGAGGACAGTTCCTGCTTTGTTGACGGTGCTAATTTAGCAGATCACATTTATCAGCTTGAAAGTACGTCTCACAGTTTTATCTGATGTTGCTGATATTGTCAGAAAATTTGACAAGGTGCTTTTATTCCGTCGTCTATAAACACACAATTTATGCGATGTCATTCATGTTCACATCTGTGGGAAACATCAGCGGCAATCGTGCCAGTTTGGTGTCTGTATGTCTCCAACATTCAGTCTTTTGTTTCTTCTGATACAACGCATTCGGTTGATGTAGGTGCCAAGAAATTTGACAGCCGTGTCTGATTAATGATATTCTCGGCGCCGATAGATATCACTTTCATTTTATTCACAATGCGAGTCCGTCTCTCTCAATCGCGTGTCTGGATGGCGTGCAGAGGACCAGGATGAGACTGCATGTCGCAGTCTGATTGCCGAACTGCAGGGCGTGCAGCAGCGCTTGGATAGCTGCGAGGAGCGCATGGTCCGCATGATCCGCACCCCCTTGGACCAGGATGCCCTGCAGGACAATGCCAACCGCATCTCCGAGCAGGAGGTGCGTGGCTGCATGGCGCTCGCTCACAAGCAGTGCTGCCTAGGTGTCAGTGCCTTCCTTTTTGGGAGTGTCGTCTACAGCCACAATCAGTTCCCTGCCGGATGACGGCGTAGCCCAACCGAGGCCATCTCTCATGCTTCTGCGATGTAACAATCCACCTACTCCTGTGATGTAACAATTCAGCACGGTTGGCCATGTGCGGTGCGAAAGAAGTTAAACGTACATGCATGCATACTTTCTGGAGTGGAAATAATATAACTTGACCAGTTGTTGACAAGTTTAGCGAGCATAACATCTCCTTATTTTTCTTTCGTCTCCGAAGAGTTCAGTGATTTTTTTAAAAATAATAATGTACATTGTTATTTTTATATATTCAAAAAAACTATTATAGTGAGAACTGCATTGCTCAATAAAGTAGGTTATATTTTGTGAAAATGTAATTATTCTCGCTTCAAGAATGACGCGGTATACGATTGCCAAGTGGTGAATTGAAACCGTTGTGTGAGGGACGTGGCCGCGGTGGGGGGCGTGTGGGAACGACAGAAATGTTCTACAGCATTGCGACCGCTTGCCCGTGGCTACCCCAGCTATCTGGGGCCTGTGCATACATGTTTTGGGAAAGCAACAATGAATTTGCAGTGTTAAAATGCTTCTTGAGAAGCTCTGAGTATTTTCTGTTTGGCATGTCAGAATGTTTTTCATCAATTATTCATTGCTGTTGATGCTTTTTTTCAGCTCAAGCAAGAATGTGTAAAAATAGGTTGCTGTTGAACAGCGCGACTTTTATAATTTGCGTTCATTATTGATTATATTCTTATAATACTTCACATACCTTCATCATTAATCGTTATATTTATCGGTAGGCAGTTCCAAATCAGTATGTTTAGTATCATGGAAGTTTTCAATATTACGCATGATTTAGGTTTTGTATAACAAATTCAATCAACACATCATCTCATCGATGTAAATATCGTGTTCTTGAACATTCCTTGAATAAATAATGTTTCTTTGCCTGCTTATTCACAATTCCAATCATGTTTTTCTTCTATGGTAATTATGATATTCATAATAAATGTATTAGTATGTGGAAAATACGCTTCTGGAATTTAAATACATTTACGTGTAACTCTGTGCTGGGAATTTCATCGACGTGTATGGAGAACAAGTTGTTAGTTCGCAATGAAAGATGCCAGGCAATCATTCTAAATGCAATCTGGAAGGGTGTGATGGGTAGGGCACATGTGTAGGATGAAGAAGGGCAGGTTACAGAGACTGGCATTGGAGTGGCACCCAGAGGTCAGCAACCAATGGGGACTCCTAAAGCCATACGATGGGACACTTGTCAACTGTCAAAAAAACGAGGAGCCAGCAAAGGGAAGGGGAGCAATGACAAGGTGTGGTGGCATCAGCAGGGTTGGCATTGATACCCTTGATTCATTCAGCAATCCAGTACGGGGCACTCTTAACATGCTGTTGCCGCGCCAGGTCATCTTGCTGGCGCTGACGTTGATCGCTTTCGTCCCTTCCATTCCATGCTCCTCCCCTCCCCTTTTTGGGCAGCGCGTGCACGGAGACGTGGAGGAGGTGAAGGCCGGGCTGCAGCGCACGAGCGCGAGCTGTGAATCGGTGCTCGGCCAGAGCGTGGCCGTGCCTAGCCAGACCCAGCTGCGCTCCGAGCACGCGGTCACCCTGCAGAGGATGGACCAAGTCTACTGCCTCTCCTCCATCTACCTGGAAAAGTGAGGATGGCGCCACACCTATCCACAAGCAGTCGTAGCCTTTGTCTCGTGTCACTCAAAATCTGCTTCGGGACGACAATGTCTCAAACTGTTACAGCCTCACGTCGGTTCTCGGCTGTCACCTCCCTCGGTGTGGAACGTTATCCCTTTACGTGTCCGCAACATCAAATGCAGTCTGACTTTCAAAAAACATCTAAAGACCTCCATCTGTTTGGTCAGGGCTTTCGAGCTGCCCTGAGCTTGGCTCCGCGCCTCTGAGTTGTTGACTTGTCTCCAAAATCTGGCGCGTTATAAATGTCATTATTATTATTACGTGACCTTAATGGACCGATGTTTTTGGATTTTGCTTGGTAAGCAGGGTTTTAATTCACTTGGTAGTGGCTGTGTATGGGATTTGGTCCTCATATATAATTGATGTACAGGGTTATGGGACGCTGTTAGCATGAATGGCACTATATAAAATGAAAGTGTTTACTTAATGTCATTTTTACGTTCATTTTATGATAATTTACTTATTGGGAAAAATGCTGCATAATTGGTTAATAAAGACCCTACAAAAACTATTTAAGGAGAACATGAACTTAAATTGTTTTTATAATAATTGTTTTTATAATAATGTTTTTTATATATAATTGTTTTTATTATTGTTTTCCCCGCAGGCTGAAGACCGTGGATTTGGTGATAAAGTCTGTGCAAGATGCAGAAGTTCTCGTGAAGACGTTTGAGACCAGGCTCTGCGAGGAAGAAAGAGTTCCAACTGACCCACAGGAAATACAGCGCTATAAAACCATTCTCAAGGTGACACATCGATCCGTTTTTTTTTGTTACCAATTTTGGCATTTGCATTGCATCACCCGCGCAGATTGAACCCTAATATGTTCCAGATACCACAATCCCCTGCTGGTAAGGACATAGGTTGTTAGCTTCCTAGTTTTGTTGCCTTGTTCGCATGTTTTTTTTTTTTCCCAAGCGCTCTAGATTATTTTCACATGCAATAAAATAACGGAAAGAATTGGTCACATATCCCAAAGCTGAATTCTCTTGAAAAATGACCCAGAGTCAAGGTTATCACAGACACAGGTGTAGCCATGCAATTACCTGCTCACATCACTGTTGGAGGAAGGGCCTCCGCAAGAGGGAGCTCTGGAGGTATTTGGCCTACTCTTCCACCCTGGCCACACGTCTTGGACGAGGTGGGAGAGCGCACACACTTTACTAAAACTGCACATGACCTGTCAGTACACTAACTTTATGCAGCTTGGTGGACAGAGGCGGAGGATTTTTTGTCAACTTTCCCCATTGTTTCAGCTGCCGCACCGTATTGCAATGACGCCAACCACTTGTGGGCAATTCCCACTTCCAACTACCATTGAATATGTACATGCCTCTGGCATGACCCTGCCAGTGTTGTTCAACACAACTGCACGCGTTGTTAGTACAACTCATGGGCAGACTACCTCACCCTCGCAGCCCGCAGGGTGCCACTGATTAACTTCTTCTTTTGTCGATGGCAGCAGCACCCCCCCCCCCCACCTCCGCGTTACCTCCCCCTCCCCCACAATGCTCATCATCGCCACGAGCGCAAGCATTGTCAATGCGGCACCGTGTCTGTGTCCCCCTCCTACCTCCACCACCACCAGCAATGGCGCACCGAGGTGGACCAGCGGCAGGACCTGTTCCACTCGCTGGAGGACGAGGTGCAGAGGGCACGTGCCGTCAACGAGCGCATGTTCCGCGCCCACAGCGAGCGTGGCCCGGACGTCGATCGCTTCAAGGAGAGGGCGGAGCAGCTGTGCGAGCGCTGGCGCAGCATCCACAGCCAGATCGACACCAGGTGCACCGCCCGCCCGCCCGCCCGCCCCCCTTTTCGTCGTCGTGATGACAGTAATAAGAATAACTCTGCACGTTTGGTGTTTGCGGCCCATCCCAACAGACAGCGCAAGGCAATAGCGACGGGTGTTATGTTTCACTGTCTGTTTGGGGGAGGGGGGGGGCAGGGAGATGTTGTAATTGTTTGCCTTTACTCAATAAAGTAATTTGCGAGTCGTTTGCCTTGTGACGCCGCCAGCAGCTTGGCCTACTCGTTCACAAAGGGATCTTGGTCGTCTGCAGTGGAACAGAGGGGGGGGTTGTCTTTTTTTTGGTAAATACACCCGGGCGTTTGCCGAACCGCACGAACCTCTGCAACAAGCGGCAAAGGCGTTACCGCTTGGCCGCCGTGTCAGTGCCCATACATACATTCACGCGGCTTAAAGCCCGCTGAAGTGTTGCACGCATGTAACAATTTCACCTACCAGCACGCGGGGGCGAAACGTCGGGCATCGTGCCGAACAACAACATGCGGTCCTTTGTGCGAACCTGTCGCGTGGACATTGCAGAGCGCGGGAGCTGGAGGGCCTGCAGAAGCAGCTCGGCTACTACACGGAAACGTACGTGTGGCTGGACAACTTTGTGCAAGATGCCACGAGGCTCCAGGAAAGTCTCCAGTCCGCCAAGGCCACCGACAGCCGCAGCCTGGCTGAACAGCTCCACCAGCAGCAGGTGTGTTGTGTGTACGAGCAGCCACTCGGTCTGGCCTCTATATGTGTGCCAGGCCCTCTGGAAACCAGTGGAAGTAGCCCGGCTCTTCTTAGGATAAAATAACGAGCAAACAGGCTGTTATATTTTTTTGCCTTTATTCGCCTTCCTTACTTCAACGTTAACATTCGTGTCTTTTGTTCATACTAAGGATAATGAACGCTTGCTCACATGCCTCAGGAACTGAAAGTGCCTTACATCACACCTCATGTGAACTATTCCAATGCCCTTCTACATTCTAGCCAAGGGGCACCCTCAGTGGCAGTTGCCCTTGTGCGGCACTAGATATTTACGGTACCGGCCCGTAAAACGGGCATTCATATGCCAATAGAGAGTTTCTCTGTGGTTTTTCCCCATTGAGTAACTTATCAATCACATATCAAATTTTGCTGATTTGGACCATGGCACCTGTACACATGGACTGCTATTTTTCGTGTAACGTCACAGCAGCTCCAACGTTCCACTCGGAATCAAACATGGCGTTTTTATTTATTTATGGTAAATGGACCCTGCTGTATAAACCAGGGTGGCCACTGGTCTCGAACCGTGAACCTCTGTATCAAGCGGCAATGAGGGCTTGCCGCTGGGCCGTGGAACGTTTTTGCTGGGCCACGTGCTCTAGATGGAATTGTTGGTAAGCATTCGCGCGAATATTGTGAGGCTGCATTTTGCGTTGCAGAATTTGGTCGTGGAGTTGGAAAAGAACCTTCCCAAGCTGAACGAGTGCCAGGAATACTCCAGCCAGTTCTGCACTGGAGTCAAGGTGAGCTCTAACCTCTTGCCGCTTTAAAATCACCATGCTCGTCCAATTTGTGCTCCTGGAGTGAGGCGGTGAGGTAAATACAAATCAGGGAGCGGCCTCGTGACACGATTCCGCAGAACTAATTCTGGAATTTCTCGATTAGGTCTCTGTTACCAATACTAGGTAGCATTCTATCATCCTTTTTATAGAGTGGCTCACCAAATGTAAGTCATCCGACATGCAGTCGTGATATACAGCCTGTGTGGCTGTACAAATAAATTAGCACAGTGTTTTGTGTGTATGTGTGTGCATTCATACATACACGATCAGCCTCAGACTATCTACTTATAACATTAGAATGCCTGCTATAATTTGGGATTATTTTAAAATCAATATTCAAATCCGGCATCGCGTCGGCAGTTATTTTAGTACCGCATTATCACGTTGGCTGTTTCATCTTCGTGATAATGGGGTACTGAGCCACCCAGTTTGCATTCCGTATTCCAATGCTGCCCTTTTTCTCTCCAACCAGGACTACGAGATTCAGCTGATGACCTACAGGGCCATGGCGGAGAAGGCACCTGTTCGCAAGCGAATGCTGCAGTCGTCTGCTGATGTCACTGGGCAGCAGGTAGCAGGGATTTGGAGCCACGGGCTCTTTGCCACAGAAGTGGACCTTGCGTTGAGCAGGGGGACTACAGTATCAATGACACGACTGCGTAGTTTTATGCAGTTGTGTGCTTTACTGATCTCCGTTGTGTTTTTTGGGATGTATCACCGCGTGTTGTTTGGCACAATGTCCGACATTTTGCTCCACGTGCTAGGAGTTCATTCAGGAACTCGAGATTATACATAACATTGGCTGGTCAACTTAATATATATTATCAAATAAACTGTGGTGAACTGCTACAGTCAGTTCCCAAAGAAGCTCTTAGCAAGTGGAGCAAAACATGATGCCAAACTATGTGCAGTGAACAACGCACACGAAAAACTTTTATTTTTGTGTGTTTCATACATAATGGGGAAACATTTTTTGCAAGCTTCTTATGCACTTAAGTAGGTTATATCAATGATAAAGTTATTTATTCAGGAAAGCTTCCATCAGGGTAAAGACTTTCGTTTTTTGTTTTTCACGGAGGTCCTGCAATGGGATGTTTGGCCAATTCTATTGCAAGGAATATGTTGAATGTGGGACAACACTGGGGTCACCTGGAGAAAACCCACATTTGTTTATGAGGATAGCACTCAAAAAACCCCTTTGTCTGCACTGCCATCTCCGGGCCACTTCCTCACCCAGTGGGTTTTGGGAGTTGTCCAAATCTACTTGATCCATTGCCCCTCGCATCCAATAGTGCTGGATCACAGATATTCAACACCAAATGCGCCTGCGACTAATTTTTCCTTAATGCTCAACAGAAAATTATTGACTTGATACCATATTAGTTCTTAAAGATTGGCTTTTACCTTTTAGGCAATGAGGCTCTTTATTTTAATACAGATGCACGTCCTTGACGATATGTCAGTGCATTATGGCAGACATGCAATCGACGTAAATACTGATGCACCTATTGGCTTCAGTATTGAATAATTTTAGCCCAAGACGTGCGTGTGTGTGTGTGTGCGTGAGGGTTTTTTTACCACGAGAATCTGGGTGACTAGTGGTATATGCATACATGAGAAAGTGGGTCTGAGTTGTATTAACCTGAATCACCACCGCTTTATGAACAACACTTCTTTACAGCAGCGTTGACCATTAATCACACTCTCGTGTTGTGCAAGTTAATCCAGCTCCTCGGCGGTTCCTAACGAACGCTGCTCAGTCGTGGAGCTGAAGGTGTACATCTCGCTTGACCGCTGCGTACGTGTTTGAATCGCCAATGACTTTGCAAAATGTTGCCCCCCCTTACAGTTCATGGACCTGCGTAACCGTTACAGTAGCCAGATAACTCTGGCTCGACAGAACGAGAAGTTCATCGGCGACACGCTGCGGCGCGCCCGCGAGGACGAGGTATTGTCGCTAATGAGTTTTACTAACGCCGTGTGCAGTGACGTCGAACAACACTGGCCAGGGTCATGCCAGAGGCGTGTACCTTGTATTCAACGGGAGTTGCCGGTGGGAATTTGCCCTCAATTATTCGCAATTAATGTCACATTTTTTGCTAAAATTTGAATGATGACAAATATTTGGTAAAATTTGGATTCAGCCCCTTTGAAAATCTCTGGGTACAAACTTCCACAGTGCTCAGTTGAAACACAAAATAGCTCAACATTTTATTTTATTTCCCCCCTGAATTTTCTGGTGCTCAAAAAATATTTTTTTTTTGTTCGGTGTTGTAATTTATAATCGTAGGTGTGATTATATTGGCAAGTTTCGGCTTTATACCCAACATCATCAGAATTTTCATTCTCGCTAACTTATGCCCATCTGTATTAATTAAATACAGGCATTTAATTCGATTGACATTGATGGCAGTCAACCACAAACGGTGCTCATGGGACAGTGTTCCGTCTGCTGATTTTTTTAAATTCCAAAAATCGCTGTTTGTGCGTGGAAATGGCATGGGCTCCATGTAAAATAGTTTTACGTGAATCTGGACGAAGGCTCATTAATTGTAAATAGTGTTAACCAGTCACGATGTTATTCCTTCATTCATCGTTTAATTTAGTTTCTGACATCTCGTTCTGCATTTGACATGTGGCGCACATGACCCCCCTACAATGCTCCGCTTGTGAAGCACAGTGTGTGCATTGTGTGACATTAAATGGTTGAGTAACGGACCTGAAGTATTGAATAATTTTTCTACTCGGTTGAAAGTAAACCAGTGTTGTTTTGACTAAACAGATTCTCTCTCAAATGCTGAGAGAAACTGTTGATTTCTGCAGCGATTAAGGACAAACATGTTTTTTCATGAAAAAACATGGTGTTACTTTGGTGGTTTGTGTAAGCAGCTTTTGTATCTAACGCTACTAACATTTACGAAATGTAAATATGAAGTGATCTGAACTGTTGTTCAGTGCACTTTGATTGTGCGTGTGTGCACTCGTATGTGTGTGGGAGTTCATGCGTTGAGTTTGAAACACACATTTGCTGTGCTGTAGAATGCTTGCTTGTCTGCATTTTGAAGCAATACGATGGCACATCCTGATAAGTCCTTTCGACTCTTCCACCAAACTGATCTGGTGCACCGTTGTTGCAGCACACGACCTGTGATGGACAATACAGCGTGTGCGCGTGATGAATTGTTTCCGAAAACTAAAATCCTTCATTATTTGCCTTCACTTATGTATGCAGAAAATATAAATATATACATACATTAGGGTTGCCACGATGTATGTAGCAGTACTACGATATATCGGATGATATCAAGTCCACAATAATTATCGTCACTTCCTGAAAATATTTATGAAGTTCACATGAAAAAACTACGTAGTTTTTCATTCAATTGCTGCTTCATGAAACGTGTAACTTGACAGCATGGTGTTTATACAATGCCATCAGCATCGTGCATTGTCAAGTCATCATGAATAAAAACGACTTCTGGTCAGTTTATTTTGCGTGAACTGCAGTTTAATAACTTTTGAGCACTCTTTATTTGTGCTAGAAGTACATAAAGGCGCAATAATAAGATGAGGCAGATGTGAAATACAGTTAGAAGGTTAAGGAAAACTGTTATAGAGATTGCAAAATCATTAAATGTAATATCAAATCGTTAAACAGTTGTACCGTGGCAGCCCTAATATACACTTAATTGCCCAACATACAAACCTAAAAACTATCCTGCATGCTATGAAAGGTATCCCAGTGCAGGCCAAGTTAAACAAAATATATATTCCCCGTAATATTTCGTAGTGGCAGCATCCTGTAGTAAGCGACACAGGCATCGGCTATACTTGAAGGAACGGTATACTGTTTTTATCGATTTGCAGCTCCTTCAACTTTGCGGTAAGATTACGCCATGGAAGATGGGACAAGATATCTACAGCCGATGGCCAACACATGGACAAATGTCTTATTTGTGATGTGGTTTTCCGGTCTTTGGTGTTTTTCTCTCTCTCCTATTACGTATTCATTTGTATTTTTACATTGCATTACCATGTTGCCAAGGCAATGTGTAATTGGTGGTCATGAACATGGAGTGATTAGGGGTGAATCACACTATTTAAACTGTTTCATTGTTAATTGCTCGTTATGGATTGCAATTTTATTTGGTTTAATTGCTGGACTTTACAGTATTTGTAAACACCAAGAGCTGGTAAACCTATGGCATGTCACCCCTAGTACAATTATTTTGTGGCATTGTATTCGACTGAACACTTCCAGACTATCGGTAGATTGCTTTTCATTGCACTAACACTTGGTTATTCTCCAGGATTTTCACTATCCATTTACAAGTGTGTGTTTGTGTGTAAATATGATATATTATCCATTTTGTAGTTTGAAATCAGTGTAATGCCATGTCCCTTTCTTCTTCTTTAACTCATTGCACATACAGTCATTTTGAATAACATATTAACTTACATAATTCTTTTACATGATGTCAGCATCACAAAAAAGTGATCTAGAACAAAAGACCAAGTCGATTGCACGACATTTGATATACTTAATTTTGTCAATGTCCTTTTCCTCACTTGAATTACTTTCATACAGGGGAGGGCAATCGTCAATGTGCTCGCTCTGTGTTGTCGAGATCATGTGCAGAGTTTGCCACTACATGCGTTTAACATAATTCCTGTCTTTTTCTGCAGCGACCTCACGCAATAGTGAGTGTCTGCACGTGTCTGTGTTTTGTGACTCATCACAGTAACCCTATTTTCTGGCTGGTGTTTGAAAAAAACAACAACTAACTTTCACCCGTGACCTATTCGTTCTGCAAAAAACACACATCTCTTTTATATTCTTGGTTCTTTCGGTAAAGTCACGTAGAAGGGAAACAATAAAATAATAAAAATATAAAACAATAACATTCTCACGACGTTTCGACTGCAACACAAAGTGGCGTTTTTTTAAATGTTAGCACCACAGAGAGCGATTTGACAGTTATTCAGGTGGATGAGTCCATCTATGTTCGGAAAAGAGGAGGGGGGAGACGAAAATAATGGATGCGGTCTGAAAGCCACCGTAAGCGTGAACAATCAATTAAGACCCGAAATGGTTTATCAAATCCTTCCAATGATTGCTAAGCGAGAATCCATCTTTTTAGAGACAATTTCAACCGAGAAGATTGATTCTGGCTTAGCAATCATTGGAAGGATTTGATTATCCATTTCGGGTCTTAATTGATTGTTCACACTTACGGTGCCTTTCAGACCGCATCCATTATTTTCGTCTCCCCCCCCCTCTTTTCCGAACATAGATGGACTCGTCCACCTGAATAACTGCCAAATCGCTCTCCGTGGTGCTAACGTTAAAAAAACAGACACGTTTTTTCAAATTTTCTTGCTGTGGTTTTCACACCTGATGATGATTGCTTGTGTTGCAGTCGAAATGTCGTGATATTTTTATTGTCTTATATTTTTATTATTTCATTGTTTCCCTTTTACGTGACTTTACCGAAAGAACCAAGAATATGAATCCCTGCAGTCACGAAAGCTTTAAATCAAAACACATTGTTTTGTTTTTAAGAGGTAAATGCTGGTGGCTTTCAGAATATCTGCCTAAATAAGCAAGGCGATGCAATTTACAGTAGTTCAATAAAAAAAAAGATACCTTTGTAACTAGCATTGCATAAAATCATTGAGGATTTCTACAGAATTTGTTATTTGTGCTGTATAGCTTTCCGATGTGTTTTCTCAGATCGTATCAAGTGTTAGCTTGGCATCCGACGTTTCGCTCCATGTGCTGGGAGCTTCTTCGGGAAATGAATTGGGCCACTCACTGTAATCGTGGGAGAAAGTTAGTCGCTCCGTTAAGCTCCTGAAAAAGATCCCAGGATGGGGAGCGAATCGTCGAACACCATGCCAAAAAATATGCTGTACAATCTGACAAAGCATTGGAGCTATCGTTAAGCATGACTTAAGCATGTTTTTACGATCATCGCAAGCTTTTAAACATTTCACAAAATTTATTTTACACACATTTTAATTAGCTTTCAGTGCAGATATTCGTTCGCAAAAAAAATATTATGAATGGAATTTTTGACTACTTTGAAGTGTACATATTTTTTTTTATTCCAGAAACATATCTTGAATGTAAATACATCTTTGTATATTTAACGGAGGGAATGGAAGGGGGAGTCGTAAGCATTCACTGAGAACTCGTTCATGTCAGTGGAGGTCATCACAGCTTCAAGTCGGCTCCCAGCGAAGATGAGGAGCCTGTATTGCTGCAGAAGCCTTTATCCAAGGGGCATTTGTGTGACTGCCATAATACCATGCACGTGACTTGGGAATCATCAGCCACACTGACTACTGCCCACATTGCGCTTGAGTGAACCTCTACATGTGTGACGTGAAGAATTTAATGGCTTCCGTGGCAGCTAAATTCTAGAAGTTGTGTGTGCCGTGTGCTCTTCGTGGTGTGACTCCATAACATTTTTTTTTCACCGATTTTTTTTTTAACCCCTTAATATCTTGTTTTCTCCATTTCATTACAGTTTTCTTTCCTTTTCAATGTCTTGTTTTATTTCTTCCATTTTTCTCTTTCATTTTTTCCCCCTCACTTGTCTTCTTTATTCTTTCCTCTTGGTTGCGATTCTGCGTGCGTGCGGTGTGCGGGGGTGGCTTGAAGCAGGCACAGATGAGGCAGCAAACGGTGCGAGAAACGCTCAGAAAGCAAGCGAAGATGGAAGCCGAGCTGGAGAAACAAAAGCAGATCTCGCAAAACTATGCTCAGGAAAAAGCACAGGCTGAGGCCGAGGCTGACAAACTGCGCCGGCAGATGCACCGAGAGACCCAGAACCGCCTCTCCTACACGGAGACGGTGACGCTGCAAAAACTGTCCATTGAGCGCCAGCTGATGGAGCTCAAGAGGCAGACAGAGCAGGAAATCGATCGGCAGACAACGATCGTTCAGGACGTTCTCTTGCAGCAGAAGCAAACCGAGCTGGAAGTGCAGAGACTCAGGCAGGAGCTCAAGAAGTTGTCTCTGCAGAAAGAGGCCTTCGAGAAAGAGGTCATGCGCCTTAGGATGGCTGCGGAGGATGCAGCGCTTCAGAAGCTGCGCACCGAAAAGGAAACCAAAAAAATGAAGGACCTGGCTGAGGAGGAAGCCTGTAGGAGGCACAATGCTGAGCAAGAACTGAGAGCGAAGGCCATAGCAGAGCAAGAAGCGGCTCGACAAACACAGTTTGCCCTGCATGAACTCGAAAAAGTGCGCAGGGAAGTTGAAGAGGCTCAAAAACACCATGACATGGCTGAGACCAAGGCTAGAGAACAAGGGGAATTGGCTAAAGTGGCTGTCCAGCACAAACAAGAAGCTGAAATAAAATTGAAGCGTTCATCATTTCACGAGGAGCTCGAGGAAGGTGGCTTGCTAATGGAACAGCAGAAAATCATGAAGTCGCTGATAACCGAAGTGGAACGGTGCAAAAAGTTGGCCGAGGAGGCAGAAGTTTGTCGTGATGCAGCCGAGAGGGAGCTGGAAAAGTGGAGGCAGAGGACCGATGAGGCGCTTCACTTTAAAGTCCTGGCAGAGGAAACGGCTAAAAAGAGAGCTCATGCACAGGAGGAGGCCGAGCGCCAGAAATCACTCGCTCAGCACGAGGCGAAGGAATGCGCCAAGTCGGAGGAGGCGGCTCTCCGGCAGAAGCGGCACGCCGAAGACGAACTGGAGAAAATGAGAAAATTGGCCGTGGAAACCGCAAACGAGAAACGTTTGGCGGAGATGGAACTTACGCGTTTGCGCACGTGCATGGAAGAAAATGCTCAGCACGTTGTGCTCCTGGAAGAGGAGGTAACGCGCGCCAGGGCTCACGCGTCTGAAGCAGTGCGTCAGAAAAGAATCCTCGAGGAAGAGCTCTCTAAAGTCAAAGCGCAGCTCCAGGAGCTCATCAAACTCAAGCTGCGTAACGAGAACGATCAAAAGAGATGGTCAGAACAGGAATTTAGTAGGATACAGAAGGCCCTTGAGGAAGAAGCGTCCGCAAAGCTGAAGGACATGGAACAGGAGACTGCACAACTGAGAGCTCTGGCTGAGCAAGCAATGCAACAGAGCCTCCAAGCAGAGGCAGCCTTGGCTCAGCAGAGGGAAGATGCAAAGCAAATGTTCAAAGATAAGTTGGCTGCCATTCAGGAGGCATGCAGACTCAAGGAAGAATCGGAGCTGGCGCTCAAGGAAAAAGAGCAGGAGGCGGAGAGGCTGAAGGTTTTGGCCGAAGAGGAGGCATACCAGAGGCAGTTGGTTGAAGAAAAGGCGGCCCGAGAAAAGAAGGCAATAGAAGAAGAGAAGGAGCAAATGCGACTGCAGTCTGAGGACGAGATAAGGAAACAGCAAGTCATCGTTCAAGAAACATGTTTCCAGCGAACCTTAATACAAGAAGAAATCCAGCTGCTAAAAAATAAGGTGGATGATACTCTTCAGGAAAGGGTTAATTTGGAAGGACAGCTCCTGCAGCTGAAGGTATTGGCTGATGAAACTGCACGGCTGAAGGAACAGGCTGAGTTGGAGGCGCAACAGCAGAGACAGTTTGCCCTGCAGGAGGCCCGGAAGAAACAAGAAGCCGAAGATCACGTCCAGCGTTTGATGAAGGCTGAACGAGACGCGGCACAGCAGTGTCGGTGCGTGCTTGACGAGCTTGAAAATCTCAGGCAAAGGGAGCGTGAGGCACTGATTCTGAAAGAGCAGTCTGAGCAGGAAGCGGTCAGACAGATCGCGTTGGCAAAAGAAGCCGCTCAAACGCAAATAGAGGCGGAAACACAGGCCAGTTTGGCGCTGCTGGAAATTAAGTGCGCGGAAAGTGAAAAATTGGCTTCTGAGGAAAAAGAGAAAATTCTGCGGATTGAAGAGGAGGCCAGCAGAGCCAAGAGGATTGCTATGGAGGCAGACCTCGCGAGGAAGCGGGCAGAGATGGAAGTGCTTCTCTTTCAACAGCAGGCTGAAGAAGCACAGCGCCTGAAAGCTCAGGCTGAAGACTCAGCCGTGCATACTGCTCAGGCTCAGGAGGAGGCAGAACGGCGTCGAAAGGAGGCAGAGGAGAACGCGAGCAGATGTGCGGATGCTGAGGCCGAGGCCCTGCGGCAAAAGGCACTCGCGGAAGTTGAGATTGAACGACAAAGACGCATTGCCCAAGAGACGGACAACCAAAGGGCCTCGACTGAACTGGAGTTGAAAGAGCTACGCTCCCTGTTGGGTAAGACCAAATGTCAAAAGAAGGATCTAGAAGAAGAGCTTATCTCTCAGAAGGCTGAAGTAGCAGAGGCCGTGCATCAGAAGAGCATTGTGGAAGAAGAGCTGGCAGATCTTAAAGCTCGGATGCATAAGGTGCTTGAAATGCACAACAACGATGAGCAAATGAAGAACCTTCATGGAAAAGCCGAAGAAGAGAAAAGTGTGCTACTTCTAGAAGAAGAAGAAAAGTTGAGGGTGGCCACGATGGAGGCAGAGCATCTCCGTGCAGAGGCGGAGGAATCCGCCAGGCTGCAAAGGAAATCTGAGCAAGAATTGCAAAATCAGAGAGAGCTTACGGGGAGGATGGAGGAGGAGAAGCTCCAGGCCATTCTGGAAGCACTGCGGCTCCAGCACGAGACGGAGGCGGTGCAGAGACAGCAAGAGAATGCGGAAGAAAATCTCAAAGCGTTGGCCGAAGACAAAGAGCGCTACCAGCAGCTGCTGGTGTCCGAGTCGGAGCTCTTCAAGAAGACGCTAAACGAAGAGCACCGGCGTCAGGAAGCGCTGCTGGAGGAGGCGGATCGCCTCCGCCGACTCGTGGAGCAGCTCACCCTGGAGCGCTCGCAGGCACAGGAAGCAGCGGCGAATGCCAAAGCGCAGTTTGACAAAGGACCGACGTTGGTCACGGATGCTGGGCAGCAGACAGACCTCCACAAGCAAATGAAAAACATTGGCACCGACACCGTTTTTCTTTCGGATAAGGAATGCTCACGTGTGCATTGGCAAGACGGTGAAGCTAAAACAACATCGAGCACCGATGAGCGTCGTAGGGACAGCATTCCGCACGTGTCTGTGGGGGAGAGTGTGAAGGGAGGCGGCGAAGAAGTCATTTCGGGAGGCGGCAAAACACAGCTTCATCCCCGCGTAATGGTTGACGCTGAGAAAATAATTCACCAAGCGGAGGTCGATCAGGGACAGATAGCAAGCGCGTGCCATGATTTTGAATCTGGCAGCAAGATATGTCTAGAAATTGCAGTCCAGACCGAGCCAGTAGATTTTAGTTCAGAAAATAAAAATGGGCACCAAACAAAGCCAACACTGCTTGCTGAAAGAGATGAGTTAAGTGATGAAGGCACTGTTGGTCAACCTTTATCAGTAGATGGGTCTTTTTCAAAAGAGTCTGAGATTAGTGCGAGCAATGCGGTAACATTGCCTACGGATGAGCAGCATATTTTGTCTCAGTGCGTGCAAGATGAACCACTAAGAAAAGAAGGACCATTTAATATTGAGGTTTCGGCGAACAAAGCACGTGGTCTTTTCATTATCGAAGAGATGTCTATGGATGTAACATCTGGCTTAGATGAGGTTTCAGTGCTCAAAGGGGAAGAACATCTTGGCAGAAGCGAGAATTCAACAGTGGCTCTTGAGCAGGGAGAAATCCATCATACGTTGGAAATGGGAGGTACTACTTTAACATCTGATCAACAGGGTGCAGATGTTGGGCACATTGCAGTTGTAGATGGCAAACCATCAAATGTAGAAATAACTGGTGGAAGACAAGAAGATCAATGTGATGCCAGACTAGAGGCAACGGATACCCGTCCAGAAAGTGGAGTGGTTGTAAAAGAAGAAATCAAACCACCCGATGAAATTATTAGCTTGAGTGATCATCTGAAGGCTGGCGATAAAGCAGGTTTAGAGACGGAAGGAGCTGGACCTGTATATGAAACTCAAAAATTGTCCATAGACAAATCTCGTGAAACTGTAGTACAACAAGAATCCCATAATGACTACAGGGGAATACTGCCCACATATGTTGGTGCTGCTACGTTAGTCGGTGAACAACCGTTGGAAATGACGGTCACCGAGGGTGGTAGTGCTCGTGATTCACAATCAGAAATTGCGGGTACTCGCTGTGATCAGGGGCCTGTCGTTGATGCCAGTGTTCAGCAAATGGGACCTTCCGATTCAACAGCAACCACATTCGGGGCTCAATCTGAAGTCGATGCAAAGACGCACCCAAGTATCGTAAAACTGGCGGTGGTTGCCGAAAGGACGACACTTCGAATAACAGAGCGTACGCAAGGTGGTCAGACGGAGCCCATCGCAGACACCAAATTTACAGAGGTATTGGTGTGGTCATCTTTGACATTCAGTAGACGTGTGGTCTGCAGTCGTATGAATACGGTGAATATTCTAGATTTCAAGCTTTCGTGACTGCAAGGATCCATACTCTTTGGTTCTATTCGGTAAAGTCACGTGACTTTACCGAATAGAACCAAAGAGTACCGTGAAAATTCTCGTCACACAGAAGGTATATTTCACTGGTGAAAAAGTCAGGGTCGTTTTGCATTTTTTCATGCTTTGCCATTTTATTACATTTGATTAGTGTCTTTTTGACATGATTCTGAAAGCCACCAAGCCCTCCCTCTATGCATGCATTGCTTCTGATCTTGTATTTGTGCGTTTTGTGTTTCGTCTGTTTGATTTTAAAACACACCAAGCTCCACCTATTGTTTTGTCTTTCACAATGGAAGCAGGGACAATGCGCTTGCATATTGACAAACGTTAGCCATGCCGTTTTACATATATAACTATTCCACACCTCAAGAGCAAAAGTTAACACTTTCACACCTGGTACTGTTTTAAACATGTCATCGTTGCGTGTGCCTATACCTTATTCTTTTTTTTTACCACCAATCATTGCCTTTATTTTTTTAGGGGTTATTTGCCTCATGACATCCGTTCTTATCGCTGTGAAAGTGAGCGTGTTTGCCTGACTACTTTTAAATCAAGTTTTTGTCTTCTATGAGAATAGGCAGATTACTTTTCTATAATATTCTGTTTCTTTAAATATGTATTCTACACAATGCTTACAAGCATATGCCTGGATAAACATCATAAGTCATTCATTCCTAAGTAGTTCACGTTATGGCCCCATGATGAACGATTGTAGGGTTTAAAATGGAACAACTCCTAACTATTGATCAAGAGTTACAGTATTGAAAATGTTTTAGTTATTTTGCATGATTTTGGAAATGATGCAAAACTCCAGTCTTGCATCAAAGTAGCAAGAGATGAATAATGCTTTTAGGACATGATTCTATCAATCATTGTGCCAATGAATGTTCATTCCAGGCATTCATTACTAGATTATTCAACTGGTGGTGAAGGAAAATGGGCTTGCTGATAATTGCTTTTTTGTGCAAAGGATGCATCTCATGATGCATCCTGCCCTGGGCTGAAAGCTGCACTGCCTCTGCAAATCCTCTTGCCCTGTTGCCACCCCTTCAAGATGATGCACCGTGCCAAAATTCAACTCTGATCGTCACTTTAATTCTATTGTAGAAAACACAACTTTCAGAAGCAGCCCTGCAACGTCACACTGTACAGCAAAACAGGCTGCAAGAGGAGCAGAGGAATCGGCAGCAGCGTGAATTCTTACTCTTGCAGCAGCAGCAGCAGCAACAGCAGCAACAAGTGGCAGCAGAGATGTCACCTGAAAGGGGTGGAGGAAGACGGGAGACGATACAGGTCCTCGACGGGAGCCCTCTTCAGCAGCCGAAGATGTACCAAGTAGAAATGAAACAGCATGCCTTCGGAAGGGAGCCCGATGTTTTGTTTGCCAACGTTGATCAGCCGAGCTCGCCGACCAAAACGAGACGGAGGTTGTCCAGTGGCCGCGATGTGTCGAGGAGCAAGCAGGCAAGCAGCGTGCACGAGCAAGCTCTTTTGGCTGACAACATCGCAATCAAGTCGGCCGCCGAAATGGAAATAATGAGCTTGAAGTTGAACGCGGAGGAAGAGCTGAGGAGGCAGAGGCGTTTCGCCAGCGACGTCCAGCGGCAGAAAGACCAGGCCGAGCAAGAGGCGCAGTACTTGCGCGTCCAGGTGGATAAACTGACAAACCAGAAGGATGGGGTGGAGGTGGAACTGGAGAAAATGCGAGCGTGTTGCAAGCAAACAGAGCGCAGGAAGCAAGTGGCGGAAGAGCAGCTGGGTCTGTTGCAGAGAGAGATGCAGGATGGTCACTTGATCCGGCATCAGCTGGAAGAGGAGCTGAAGCATAGGGAGAAGGAGCTGCAGGACAGCATGGGCCAGAAGCAGAGAGCCGAGGAAGAGGTAGCCCGGAGGACGTGGACGGAGGAAAGGCTGAGCATGCAGTGCAAGCTGTCCGAGCAGGAGCTGCAGCGCCAGAAGGCGTTGGTGGAAGAAAAGTTCCGCCAGCGCGAGACAGCGGAAATAGAGGCCAAGCGCCAGCTAGCCGTAGCAAGGGAGGCTCTCCAAAAGGAGGCGGTTAGGCACATGGACATGGTGACGAAGGAAAGGCAATTGCTGCTGGACATTGAGAGTTACGTCCGAGCTAAGGAGAAAGATGAGAAAAGCATGGCAGTGCTTAAGCAGCGGATTGACGAACTTTCCAGGTCGAAGAATATGTCCGAGCAGGAGCTCGGCCTGTTGAGAAATCAAATCCACATGGTGCAGCTGGATAAGGCGAAAGCGGAAAAGCGCATCGTGGCACAAGAGGAGCAGATCACGCTGCTCACACAGAAGCTGCGCAAGGCGGAAGAGCTCACACAAGAGAAATTGAGGGCGGAAAATGAGTACCTTAGAAAGATTACGAATCTTGAGCAGGAGCTCTTAAGCAGCAAGCGATCGGCCGAAAGTCTGCATGGTAACTTGAATGAATTGAAGAGGGAGTATGACCATCAGCTGCAGAAGCTGAGAGAGCAGTCGAAGCAGGAAATTTTAATGCGGGAGTCCGCAACCAAGATTTCCATGGAAAGGAAGGAGATGCAGCTGAAACAGAAGCTGGATGAGCTGGCCAAAGAGCGATCTGTGCTGGATGAGAAGGTGGTGCAGATGAAGAGCTACTCAGAGCAGATACAGAAGAGCAAGTGCGAGGCGGAGAAGGAGGCGAGGGACTTGAAGGCGAAAGTGGATCTGGCGGACCGCGAGAAGTCAAAGCTGGAGCAGGAGATCGTGAAACAGAAGGCCTACCTCGAGGAGCTGAAGAACCAGAAGGGCAGAATGGAGAAGGAGATGCAAATGAAGCAGGCGTCCGAGCGAGACGCCATTAGAAAACAGAGGGAGTACGAGTCGGAAGTGGTGAAGCTGAAGCAGACGGTGGTGGATACGGAGCGCAAGCGTCAGCTGTCGGAGCAGAGAATGCAGCAGCCGGGCGTCAGCAGCAAGCAGGAGCGAGAGATGGAGCAGAAGCTGATGCAGGAAATGGAGAAGCTGAGGGGACTGGAGCAGAAGCAGGAGGAGCAGCGGCGATCGCGCGACTTGCTCGAGATGCAGAAAAGTAGCGCCGAAGCGGAGGCCGAGCGGCAGAAGAGGCTCGCTGCCGAGGAGAAGATGAAGCAAGAGGCTCTCAAAACGCAGCTTGACTTGATGCGCAGGAAGCTGGAGATGTCCGACGTGGAGAAGAAGAGAATCGTGGATGAGCTTGAGCACTTAAAAAAAATGGCAGAGGTATCATCATGCCCATCGCACTGGCAGTTTCGCCTAAGTCGCGCATAGGGTGTCTCAGAATAATTATGACATTTTTTAATAATTGGCATGTAATTTAGTAACATGGGATTGTTTTTCGACAGTGTGTTACTGTATCAGTAGAGGATATATTTTTAATATAGTGGGATTATTCCTATGTTCATAACATTTGTGGGACAGATAATGTCTGATAATTTAGCAATTATTCTAAAGAATATATGCAATTATTAATCATGCAAAATGCACTCTTACCACAATTACGTGGAAGTAATTGCCAACTTATTTGAGAAAGGTAATGCGTTTTAATGTATTAATATTATTGGTAGCCCACATTCATTTACACAATCCCAATTTAGAAAAAAAAGGCAAACATGTACAGGTCTGAATGTATTCCCTTTCAAAACTTTTCTGTCCTATCAACTTTTTTTTCTGGGAAACATTGGTGGTGGTGGTGGTAAAAAAAGGAAAAAATATCTGTGTTTGTGCACAACCCTTGCAGGATGCATGAACCAAAGATTTGTGTCCCAAGGCTACTAACAGTTTTGCCACATCATAATTACTTCCTACCGTGGGCGCGGCACTTGTGTGACAAGCACGATGCAATTCAAACGTGTTAATAATGTCCTTGGCTAAGCCAGTTTTTCACTTCCCCAGCTATCTTATACCCCACTGTTTTATTACAAATTAACCACACTTGTTCAAAAAGAAAAGAAAGCAAACAAGCTGGACAAATGGGTCTTACGAATGTGGCAAAAAAGTAACGTGTGCGTTAAAAATACTGACTTTTTGTAATTTTCTGTCTTGGTGGTGGGTGCTTAATTTTGTATCATACCTCGCAGTTTTAACGACGCAGGATATAACAGTATTCTATACACATGCAGTTTTGTTATATCCCCTGAAGGTTTTATTTTTTGTAGTTATTTTCTGCTTGGTGGCTGTAGCTTTTCTGGAAAATCCATGCCTTCCGCTGGAATTATTTTACTATTTATATATTCTATTTCCTCATTCTGGTTTCTCAACAAAACACTTTATTCTGTATTTGGTAAGCTTACGATCCATTATTTGTTTTCAAAACCCTGACTTTTCTCCTTTTACCTTCTGTCATTCTAAATACAAAGGACCTCTACCTGTTATTGTAGATTTCTATATACTTAAAATGTCATAATATACAAAAAACATGGAGTGTAGTCATGTAAGCCCTTATGTGTAAAGCAATATATTTTATGCATGCTCTCTTTAACATGATGAATCCCATGGCTTCTTTCAGTTGTATTATATGTAGTGCATATAATCACTTTCATCTATATTTATTTGCATGTTCGTAAAGTACAGCTAACCATATTTGATTATACCGTTCTTAGAATTTTAAAGGTAATATACTAAAATATGCAGTCTATTTAAATATCATGTATTGCAATAGACATGCAAATGTTGGGCCAATGTTGGTTGACATTGGACCAACGTTGGCCCAGTGTCAACCAGCATTGACCTAACGTTGCATGTTATTGGGATGCTATGCAATAATATTTTTTTAAATCACGCTTTTAAGCTAAACTAAAGTAGCATGTAATTATTGTCTTAAAAATATTAATGTTTTCTAGATTCCCCTCATATACATATTTCAGAAACACTACTGCTCCCTATTTACAATATGCATGCTTGATCAAAGCCACAGAGCTTGCCTGCTGGGAAAGAGCCATGGGTAAAAAGCATTTTGAAACCTTGGCCTGACAAAAATATGTCTTGCCAATTTTTTTTTCCCCGCAGAGGACTAAATTAGACGAGTCGCAAATATCTCACGAGTCTCAGGTGCTGCACAAGAAAATTGAGGAAGAAGCCTTTAAGCACAAGACTGAGAGGGAGACGCTCTTAATGAAGCAGAAGCTTCTCGACGAGGAAAAAGGAAAGCTGGAACAGATGTACGAGGAGGAGCTCAACAAGGCCAAGGCCTTGCTGATGGCCGAGACACGGCAGAGAAGGCAGCAGGAGGAAGAGAACAGGAATCTGCGTGCGCAAATTGAGGAGGGCATGAGAAGGCAGAGGAAGAGTGAGACGGAAATACAGCAGAAGCAGAAGGAGCTGATGGACATGGAGAAGAAAAAGTCTGACGAGGAGAAGCGCAGATGGGAAGGGGAGAACCGACTGTTGCAGCAGAGACTCCGGGACTTGGAGCACCAGCAGCGGGTTTTGGAGGAGCAGAAGAAATTGGACATGCAGCGTCTAGAAAAAGAGAGGAAGCTCGAGCTTGAAAAGTTAGAGCAGAACAAAAAACGGGAGATGGAGGCTCTGCAGAAGCTGACCATGAAGACCGACAAGGTCGCCGAGAGCAATGTCACTATAACTAGGTCAGGTATCACTCAAACAGAAAGCAACAACAGCAGTCGCCAAACAAGCGAGCAGCAACAAAGCGCTGGCGAGAAATACAGCCAGGTTGCAGCGACGCTCCTTGGCGCCTCGGGCAAAACTGTAATACAGACATACACCGAATACCAAATGGAAATTGCTCTTAAGAAACCATTTTTAACCATTCCGTCCGGTGTGTTGGCAGGAAAAACCCTTTCAATTTGGGAGATCCTTAATTCCAGTATTATTTCAGAAGGAAAGAGGAGGGAGCTAAAGGCATCCTACAAGCAAGGTGTCACAACCGTGGAGACAATTATCATCATAATCATAGAAATTATTGAGGGCAAGGGTCCGAAGATTGAAAGGAAAAAGCTAATTGGCGTCCAAGGAGTGAGACGCCCAGTTAGCTTGGAGGCACTGATTAACGCGGGATTGCTAAGCGAGGCAAAAGCTTCTCAGGTCTTGCAGGGGACGGTGACCCTCAAGGAAATATCGCAGTCTCTGAAATCCCAATTACAGAGCGGCGGTGGAATTGCTGGGATCCTTGTTGAGTCCACGAATGAAAAGGTGGGCATTTACAGTGCAATGAAGCGAGGGATTATAAGCCCGACCACTGCCTTAGAATTGCTCGAGGCTCAGGCTGCCACTGGCTACATATTAGACCCGGCTAACAATGGCAAGCTGACGGTAGATGAGGCCTTCAGGAAGGGGTTGGTTGGCTCTGAATTTCGCGAAAAGCTGCTCACTGCTGAGAAAATGGCAACAGGCTTTACTGATATGCTCACGGGGAAAATGCTGACACTGCAGAGGGTATTACAGAAAAGACCCGATTTGAAGGTTATGGCTGTTAATTTGTTGGAGGTACAGGCGGCTACAGGTGGTATAATTGAGCCACAGGCAAGCATTCGCCTACCTCTGAAAATGGCTTATGAGCACAATGTCATAGACACGGATATGTTCCGGACTTTGTCAGGCGTTGGCGAGCAAGTCAAAGGTTTTCATGACCCAGACACGGATGACAAAATCAGTTACAAAGACCTGTTGGGCAAATGTGTGTGCGATTCAGAATTTGGTTTCTCCCTGCTTCCGGTGAAAGAAAAGGAAAAGGACAGGAGGCCCTCGTCCAAATCATCTTTACGGACCCGTAAGATCATTATCATAGATCCCGATACAAAGAGAGAAATGACTGTGTATGAGGCATACCGAAAAGGTTTCATTGATGTGCACACATATTTTAAGCTCACAGAACAAGAAGGTGAGTGGAAGGAAACTGTAACAATAATGCCAGACGGCAGTGTCTCCACTCTTTTGATGGACAGCAGATCCGGAAAAGAGTTCAACGTTGATGATGCACTTGCGAAAGGCGTATTAACCGAGGCTAGCTTTAAACAGTACAAGGAAGGATCTATTTCCGTCTCAGAATTGGCCGGTATGCTGAGTGCAAGCGCGCCTATGCATGAAGTCCAACCATCATCTCCAAGATCACCACAAACTGGCGGTAGTGCTGTGTTTGTGGAATCTGGCAGCTTGTGTTCATTCAGTGACCCCACAGAGGAAACCACGCCAGTCGCAGGAATTTTGGATCTTCACGAAAAGGAAAACATTACCATCAAAGAAGCAATGAAGAGACATTTAGTCGATGGATCAACGGGTCAAAAGCTATTTGAGGCTCAGGCATGCACTGGGGGAATCATAGATCCAGCAACAGGTCAGAGATATTCCCTTGATAAAGCAGTTGAAAAGAATCTTATTGATAAAATAATGAAAGAAAGGCTTCAACTCGCTGAGAAGGCGTTCAAAGGATTTGAAGATTCCCGTAATAAAACAGTAATTTCCACAGCGCAGGCTATGAAAAAAGGTTCCTTGTATACTGAGGCAGGGCAGAGATATCTTGAGGTGCAGTACTTAACAGGAGGCCTCATTGAACCTGGTATAAAAGGCCGAGTGCCAATTGATGAAGCTCTTCGGAAGGGCACAATTAGCGAGGTAATGGTCAAGAAATTGCGCAATGTGAACACTTACGCAAAATACATGATTTGCCCGAAAACAAAAGCAAAAATATCCTACAAGGAGGCGATGGACCGTTCCAAGATAGACGCCCCGACTGGCTTAAGGTTCCTCGAAGCTTCTACGCTGACCAGCTTGGGAGTGTCGGCCCAGCAGGCCATTGCTGTGTCTGGTGGGTCTAGCTCGAGCTTTGGAAGCGCTTTTTTCTTTGGCTCAAGTTCAAGTTCTGTTGACAGTGGTGGCCATGGCACAGGGTTTAGCACTCATACATTTTCTGGTCAGACTGGTTTTAGTTCAGGTCAGAGGGTTGCGACTTCTCCTACGATGCTTTCTAACGAGTCCGATCATTTTTTAGGGGTGGGCTCCGTGTCTGAGAGTTCTAAATTGCTCTCGGACACGGAGGCTCCCGAAATGATGATGCACGTTACCGAGTCAGATTCCAGCCGATCCCTCCACCCTTCCTGCGATGGTGCTTCACACAAAGTAAAGGCGACAGACAGCAGTGCCAACTTGTCTAATTCAGCTGGAACATATCGATCCCCTCCTTTGTCTAGCGATGCCATTTCCCATGGACACGTCGATGGGTCCATGCTTGGGAATACACCTGAGCAATTAATAGAGTATCACCATGGACACGATTACCTTACCCATCCTGAAAAACATAATGCGGAAGTTAAAGATCATGAAAATGTAACTTACTATATTTTGAAAAAGTCACCACCAGGGTCTCCAAATAAGATGTCCGATACTGATTTTGGCAGTTCGAAAATAAATGTCACATCAGTAGTTTATTCTTCTGGAAGTTTGGCTGATTATATGGCACAGCCAACCAAAGCAAATGTCATCACCACAATCACAGACGTAGTAAACACCCTTGGTGTAGAAAGTTTATCATATGAAAATGTAAGTGGCTCCAAAACTACATCTCCATCAACACAGAATTTAAAGTGTGTTTATTCTGACGAAGGCCTAGGCATTAAGGCTTCAAACCATCATGAAGATGAACTATGTGCTCCTCTCGACATCTGCGAAAGTGAATTGTACAACCAAGAAGGGAAAAATGTCACCGGAACCCCCCAGAAAATTGAGGATGTTCCACAAAGTGAAAAAGGACCTTATTTTGAACACGACAAAGGGGAGAAGCCTTCAATGTCTGAGAACAGCTTCTACAATTTCTCCTGGGCACAACGGTGGCAGAAGGAGCAAGGCTGCTTGGTGCCACAGAATGACCTGGTAGAGTGCCCTCGCAATGGGGTTGCTGTGTACTTTGGGCTGGACAAGACACTGCTAGGGGACAGCGATGATGATGACCTCTCCTGTGATAACAGCCCGAAAGCTCAAGCATCTTGCAGTGTGGTGCGTAGCACTCAAAGCTGCCTATGTTATCGGTTTAATAATCACTTTGTGATACTTTGCGCATTATTATGTATTCATTAACAAAACAAAGGGAAAAACATTATTTGAGGTATGTGCCCTGTAAATGTGTAGCATCCAATCTAATTTTATAAATGTATATTAGCAATAACTATGTGCATGGAAGCAACGCATTCAGTTACAGTCCTTCATTTGAATATTTGTGTAAAATTTTACTTTTATTTCTCTCCTGGAAATACACTTGGTTTGGGTGCTTCTATGCAATATCTTCTGTTTTTCCTTGCTGTGGTTTCACTTTCAAGGTCATCTCCATCCCTGCTGTCCCTCTCTAGCCACTAAGCTTTGTGCAGTGTTTTTTTAATTAAAACCAGTGCTCAACATATGTGTGGAGTACAATGTTGAAACAAACCTGTGTGTGTGTGTGTACTTGTATCACTTAAAGAGCCAAACCTATTGTGCGAACATATCTTGGCATTCAGCTCCTAAAGCAAAGCTAGCTGCAACTTTCACTTTTAATCTCAACGTTGGGGCTATCCAGTGTCTAGTGTCAGCGTTGTATTGGATGGTTTTAATTGGGTGTAATTGTGAACAACAGACACATCACACATTAGTACTTCTAATCGGCATGATCATTGGTGTACTACATCTCAACGACTTAATAGTCCCTACAAGGCGTGTGGTGAATTTGGGAGATATCCACGTGTGTGCTCGGCATTTGAAGGCCTGAAGACCAGAATCGGTGATTTTGCCAACAATGTGTTCAGGGAGGCATTTCCATACCATATCCGGACAGCATATTGAAGGAAGCTTCTACCCAGGGAGCATGTTCTGGCAACTGGTGGGCTAGGGGCGTGACTTGACAGGGTTGTGCAGAATCGCGTGGCACGGCGTCTTTCATATGGGGGTGGTAGCGTGGCCTGGAGGTCTGTGGGGCAGTGTGGTTGGTGAGCATTTTGTACAAAACTGTGACAGCAGCAACTTGTTTAAGTCTGTATTCATCCACACGTGTATTCACTTTATCGGGATGTGCCTTACGTATTTTTTTTTACATCCGTACTTAACCAAATGATGAAAATTTCAACGTTTTGACAAGTAAAACACAAAACTGGCATGAGCCAAAATGTCAAGTGAATTTTTTTGCATCGCTTAAATTCTTGGAACGTTTTGCTTCCGTTGATGATGAGAGTTTGTTGGTGTTTAATGGTGGTGATGCTCTGAATGTGTGTGTGTGCTATATCTAAAGTAGGGTGTGTTAATCTTGCTCAAAGTGCATTACCAAGCTGCAACAACTTTTAAGATATGCAAAGGCTTTTTATACAAATTTCTCATTTTATCTATTGGATATTTCCCATCTGCTAACGAGGTGTAGTGCCCTATATGTTGTGCTATGCCTTTCGCACTCCCTTTGTATTATCTGTGGAGAATTATCGAATAAAATTCCAGTTTTATGGCCAAAAATACGAGTTGTGCAGCTGCTTGGTATGCATGCTCAGCGTTATATTTGAAAGTGTTACTCTACGGTGTTACAAGTATGCAAATTATATTTCCCTGGCATCGTACATGAAAGTCATTGCAAACATAAAACCTTCCTGAACATATAACTGTAGCACCGTACAGTCTCGACACTTTCGCAACAACTGCGTTGAACGCTGCATGCGCCGTGCTTGTATTTTCAATTGCCAGCTTCACACCACCTTGAGACTTTTGATTTAAAATGTTTTCGTGACTGCAGGGATTCATATTCTTGGTTCTTTCGGTGAAGTCACGTAGAAGGGAAACAATAAAATAATACGAATATAAAACAATGCAATTCTCACGACGTTTCGACTGCAACACAAGCACTCAAATTTTCTTTGTTGTGGTTTTCACACCTGATGGTGATTGCTTGTGTTGCAGTCGAAACGTCGTGAGCGTTTTATTGTTTTATATTTTTTTGGTTCTTTCGGTAAAGTCACGTAGAATGGAAAGATGAATCCCTGCAGTCACGAAAGCTTTAAATCGCAATTTATATTTTTTATATTTTATTGTTTCCCTTCTACGTGACTTCAAAAGAACCAAGAATACCACCTTGAGACGTTGGTGTTTTGACGTTGAAATGTGACGACCATGAAAAAAATTGCACGTACAATTTTTTAAAAAAAAAATTTGCGCCACTAACCGCATTCTCGGCTTCCTCACCGCCCACCCAGACGTCCCTGGAACAGTCCAGAGAAGGTCACCTGTCAAAGGTGGACGAGCTTCTCTCGTGGGTGTCGGGCATCGGCGAGAATCTCCAGAGCAGACGAGCGCAGTCCAGTGGCCTCAGCCCCGGCTCTGAGCTGCTGGACCAGAGCTGCAATGAGCAGCAGGTGAGGAGGATGCGTTAAAATGTTTCGTGATTGCGCGACATTTGTTTGATGCGCGCGCAAAACTCTTGCGTACGTACGTACGTACTTAAGTGCATGTGCGTATCCCTTCACGTGAATTCATCGCACTGACGGATGAGGGCCGCCCCCACGCCGTGCAGGTCGTGCGAGTTGTTCGGCCATACTTCGCCCTGTTGGTCAGCTGCTGGTTGTTGAAGGCGGGGAGCACATACGTTGGGGTGTAATACAGTACAATATGCATTATGCTGCACTGCCATTTGCCGACAACATGTCCCCTCGGCAGCCAAGAACGCCATAACAAGCAGGTGTCATTTGTGACCACCTTTCCATATTGTGCGAAATAAGTTCTACATACAGTAAACCCTTGTTAATTCGACACATATCAAGGCTCTGGCCTTGCCGGATTATCCAATATTCTGAATTGCAATGCATAGATATGTAAGTTGACAAGAACAGTAAAGCATTGCTTTGGCGGTGGTGTAGAAGCATCAGTTGTAAATGGCTTTAAGCACCTTCAACATTAGCGAACACGTCCACAAGTTTTAAATGTGTAAAATATGCCTGTAATTATGCAGAATCCTGGTGATTCGGTTCGTCTTGAGTAGGGGGCACAATTTGATTGAAGAATCACGCTTTTGTTCTCACATCGTTTTGCACTGTAGCACCTTTAGTGGTTGCAGGGGTCCACGTGAACTAAATCTGCACAAGACGATCCGATGCATCATGAGCTTTAGAACGATTTTAATTGATACGTTGATCCCCCCCCTCCCCACCATTGGCCTGAAATAAGTAACATATTTCGACAGTGGCCCTTCTCAAGAATGGCCTTCAACCACAATGTTATCTCACTGTGTTCGGGCTACAAAGCTAGTGCTTTATCCGCCCTTATATAGAGAGATAAGGGTGGAGCGGTGATACAGTGGTTAGCAAACTGCACCACGAACCCTGTCGTCTGAGTTCGATTCCCGGTCACGACTAGAGTGGCGATGGTAGTCATGAGCCAGTCCTGGCCTCCCTTCACCGACCCACAATGAACAACGTGAGGAAGTATGGTCAAACAACTCCCCCCCCCCCCCCCCCCCCCATGACCAAAAGATGTAGGTAGACCTTCATCCAGCAATGGTATATAATAAATGCACATACAGAATAAAAATGTCAAATATTTAATAATTTTCACGATATTTGCCAAAATGGTAGTAATTATCAGGCCCTTTTTACGCACTTAGAACACAGGGCACTTCCCAGTAATCTTAAAAAAAAACACTGTATTCTCAGTATTTTGAACAAACTCTACATGCGTCTCTACGTAAATGCTGTATAATCTATAATCATTACAATTGCATTTCGATTAATCTTTGTCCTTGCTAATGAACTCTCACATTTTGCTCCATTCTTGCAGAGTTTGGTTGACCAGCTGTCCTCCCAGAAGGATGCCGTTGCTGAGGCCATTCGACAGACGGAGTTGTTTTTGGCTCAACATGGCAGCAAGTGAGTGTCCACGTGTTGCATGGTGATTATACAGTAGAACCCCTGGTAACGACCACCCCTGTTAACGGCGATCTGTTGTAGGTACAGTAAATGTTAATTATTGCTTTGATTATTCTTGGTTCTTTCGGTAAAGTCACGTAGAAGGGAAAGAATACAATAATAAAAATATATTTTATTTTTTCCCTTCTACGTGACTTTACCGAAAGAACCAAGAATATGAATCCCTGCAGTCACGAAAGCTTTAAATCAAAATGTATTGCATTGATTAACAATGTTTATTTTAATGGTATTATTCATAATGTTGTTAGTTCTTTATTTGAAGCTTTTGTGACTGCAGGACTCCATACTCTTTGGTTATTTCGGTAAAGTCTAACTACGTGACTTTACCGAAACAACCAAAGAGTATGAATGTTGTTAGTATCTTTATGTATTAATACCCATTGTTTAAATATTACAAAGTAAGTGTTATTGGCGAAAAATGGTAACTTGCGATGCTATCGGTACAAATTAAGCCTTTAACATGTATCACTTAATGACCAAATCACTTAACGACTGGTTTCATGGAACCAATTACCGTCGTTAAGAGGGGTTCTACTGGACTTTAATAATCCATGCCTCTTTACTCAAGAGAGGTCAGAATACATTGCACTTCACGCATGCATAACTTATTTTCTATGAAGGCAATCGAACTTTGGTGGCCCAGGTGCACAGTGCAGTGCACAATACCACTCTGCGTTCCAGGTTTGGGTTCAGTTTGGTGGGGCATTATCTGAGCTCAAACGATTTTTGGTGTTTTTCCGATTCATATATACATATCACTAATTGCACAATTAACTTGCCGTTGGGGAACAACAACTAAAAACTGCTTTTTACTGTGCTCTGCATGAAGGCTATCAGAAGAACAGAAGGCCGAAATTCAGGCCAAGCTTAACAACCTCAAGCAAACCTACCAGCAGCTGTGCGAGCAGTCGGCAGAGGAGTTGCAACAGCTTCACAAGGAAGCGCAGCGCAAGGTAGCGTGTTGCTCGGTCTCGGCGATACTGGGTTGGCACGAGACAGCATGGTCGTGTTGCGTTTCAGACATTAATGCGATGATGTATTTTTTTAACGCTGCATTTTCATTAAACGGAATGTCGAATGGTCATTGTTTTTTGGTTGCGCCTTAACGTGTGTTTTTTGTTGATGCGTGCATGCTCAGCTCGTTCATTTTTGTGTGTTTTTTTTAATGTTACATTGCTATCCTTTATAGACGTGCATGGTAGTGGGGTTATTGCACCATAGGTTTTAATCCTGTTATATGCGTGTGTTTTTTTGTGAATTTATTTTGAATTGCATACCAGTATGGGTCCTTACATTTTAAGCGGAATTCAAATTGCAACAATACAGGCGAAAAAAGTAAATCCGTGTCGTGAATCACCTGCTACTACCACCGCTGCACCATTGGGATATTTGTATTCAAGTACCGCCACCTTGCACTGGAAGCAGAAAATAACACACAGCAGGGCACTGGTGTTTTACTTACCTTCACGAGTACATCGTATGGCTTGCCATAAACATGCACAGCATGGTTCTGAACTTTAACAAAGTTACGTCTCGTGTGTTTGCAAAGAACAACAAAGCGTCTGTGTGTGTCTCCACATCGAGTCTCGAGGTTCAAGTTAACATTTTTTTTACTTGCCGTTAACTAACTGATGCTTCTGTGTCACAAAGCCATTGTGTTGTGAGTTCTAAAGAAGCATGCTGGACCAGCTTCCTTATCCCCTTTCACCTGTCATGCTGTTGGCATTGACCCTTGACAAAAATGCTTGCACTGCTTGTGTGACATCCTTTTGTTTTGGTAAGTACATACGTTGTCAATTTTACATTATTTTTTACTTGCTTTACAACTGCCTTTCGGCTTTTCGCATTCATTTATATCAATTGCATATTTTTTGGCAGTTTGAATGACTATTTTTGCTGCTTAATCACGTATTTATGTTGCTATTGTTCCTTTTTGCTAAAGCAATCCCTTGTGTATGCGTAGTTTCCACATTGATGCTGTTTAATCTCTTGCTTTGCAGGGTAACGTGGCAATTGCCGGAATAATTTACCTAGGCACGTCAGAAGTCTTCTCAATATATCATGCGGTCAAGAAAGGGCTCCTTGATCACGAAACTGGCCTGGCACTGTTAGAAACGCAAGTTATTTTGAGTGGTTTGGTCGATCCATGTGCAAACCAGGTGATCTCACTGAAAGAGGCCTTGCACAGGGGGCTCATTGATGACCACATTCACGGTTGTTTAGAAATTATTCAGCTCCATCGACAAGCGGTCAGTGGCATTCCATTTGACCGTTCACATCATCTGCCCGTTGTAACAGCTGTGGACACAGGACAGATCCCAGAAGGCATTGGGATGAAGATTCTGGAAGCACAGCTTGCAACAGGAGGATTAATTCACAAGGCTTTCACTGATGACCTGTCGCTGGAGAAGGCATCCCAGCTGAACTTAATAACACCACAGTACCTCTCCAAGCTCCTGGAGAGGAACAAGACCTGCCAGAGCCTGCTCGATCCCAATTCACTCGAGAAAGTGTCCCTCTCTGAGCTGTTGCAGCGATGTATTTACCATGAGGAAACTGGCCAAAAGCTTTTGCCTGTCGGGCAGACGACAGCAGGAATGATTTGCCTAAAGTCTGGTAGAAAAGTCAGTGTACTCAGGGCAGTTCACGAAGGGCTTATCGACAGGCACGTGATGATTCGTCTTTTGGAATGCCAGCTTTTCGCAGGGGGCATTGTTGATCCTAGGACAGGGCGCAGGATGACTGCAGAAGAAGCCGTGAACCATAACCTTATCGACCACGAGACAATGTCCTCGCTGCTAGTCCAGCAAGTCATGTCTGGCGGGATTGTGGATCCTTCCTGTGGTCAGAGACTCTCCGTGGATGAAGCTGTGGCTCAAAAAATAATCTCTCCAACAAGTGCCCTGGTTGTTTTGGAATCTCTGCAGGCATTCAGAGGTCTCATTTGGGTGGAGTCTGGGGAGCTGATGCCAGTCTCAACTGCACTACATCAGGATGCTATTAGTACGGACACAGCACTGAAGGTTTTGGAAAACCGCCATTATGTGGCTGGGCTTTATGTACCCGAGGCTGGTGGAGTGTTGTCGATAAAGGAGTCTGCCAAAAGATCTGTCCTGGACATTGCGATTAGTGATAGTCTGAAGGGGATCCTTGTGCCAGATGAAAATCCATTCCTCAAGCAGCAGCCCTGTCAAATTCAGAAAGATGCTTCTGTAGGAGATGCAGAGGAACATGGCAGTGAAGTGGATAAAGAACATCTGCTTAAATACGTCCTGGATCACAGTTACATGGACACTAAAACAGGGCACAGGCTAATAGTGATGGATGCTGGCGTTACATGCCTGACCAGAGGGGTAATCGAAGGAAGCCACGTAGAGATGGACATTAACGAACAAATGTTTTCCGAGGAGGACCTAGCTCGTGAAGAGAACAGGGTGACTAAATTACTGCCATGTGAGAAAGAAAGTAATAATGGGGAAATGCCACGGATATCAAGTGATGCGCTAGATTCTACATTAAGCACTGATGTTGATAGCCAGCAGCGTGGATCTGCAGATGAGATGGGTGACATGAAGGTGATTGAAATGTGTGCTTCCCTTACAAAAGCACTTTCAGATGTTGGCAACATAGACCTATGCATGAAGGAAATAGAGGAGAGCACTGCACTGGCTGAAAAAGAAGCATCTGCACTGAGTAAAGATTCAGGCTACAGGTCTGTGGACACAACCGAAGACAACACAGTTCTTGAGAATGTTCTGTCACTGTCTGATGAGGCCATCTTCAATGAAGAAAAACATCTGGAGGAAATGCCATTGGAAGGAGCTGAAGGTAATCGCAAACGCTCCGAGACAGATGAAAACTTGACTCCTATGCAAAACATTAAAAGTGCCTTTGATCAAAACAGGGCAGATCACGATTGTGGTGTAGTGAGTGAAGTGGATGTAGCAGGTGGTAAAGTGTATGTTCCAAAGATGCACGTTGATGCCGAGAAGGATGAGACGCAGCGTATCGATTTGCAAAATGTAGGTTGTAGCTCAAACGCAGAGGACTTCGAACGGAAGTTAAATGAGCACTCCGATGAAGATAAGCGAGAGGGGAATGTCCCGAGAGAAGATTGCTTGGTTGAAAAAGAACCATTTCATGACGTAGGGCAACTTGCTGAAACTGCTGTAGTGGTTTCTGAAGATGGAGCACGGCAGTCAAAAGATGTGCGGGTTTCCAATATTGATGAAGCGAAAGCGTTGCAAAAACCCGTGGGCCTACATATTAAACAAGAAAAGATGCCTTTTGAACCTCCTGAGTTAACCAAATCAAAAAATATAAATAGTGAGTTACTAAAACATACTGATGATGATGAGGAGGAGTATAGCGCTCGTGATATAAAGGAAACTACCTCGGAGGAAATTGGAAATGTGGCGGACCTTGACGATATTTTTCAAAGTGTTGTTGAATGCTCGGACACTGATGAAATGAGCCAGGATGGAGAGAGCCTCCATATGATCAGTCGTCCTTTACGGGAGCCAGAGATTGCCTCAAATGTTTTTGATGATCAAACCGAACCAAATGACAATATCAGCTCCAATTTAGCTCCAGACAAATGGCACGGAGAGACAACACCCAACATTTTACAGGCCCACACCGAACAAACAGAGGCAAATAATGGCCAGAGTGCAATGAATATAGCCACGAGTGATGAATTGAACAACGTGGTGAATCAAGAGCTGGTCAAAGATGTATCTGGATTACAGAAAACGAAAACGGCCATTGCTTCAGAAGCAGAATTATTGTTATCCGCTGACCAAATTGTTAACGATGATACAAGATTGTCTTCTGGTAGCGTGAGCTCAGAAAGTTGCCAAGATGACAAACACGCCATTTTCATATGCTCCGAAGCAAAGCCTGCTCCTGCATTGCCTGCTGTAGAGATGGTCAAGAAGGTTGGTGAGGAGGTGGTGCTGCGTGAAATTGAAGGTGAAGACGAGAAAAGAGACACCGATGTAAAGGTGACTGAGACAGATGTTGTTACTGGAAAATTCCAAAAAGACAATGTTGTAGGTCCGCACAAAGACGACAATACACTACTTAACTCTTTAGGAAAATATAATCTTAAAGATGAGACCTTAACTGTGGAAGCAGTTGATGGTAGTCCTATCAAAGGCCCCATGACGCATGTTGAAAAGGTTGAAAGTGAGGATGTGAGCAATGAGTTTGGAACGTGTGTTCCTTTCGAGAAAGGCATTGCAGGTGTGCCGAGTGAACGGCCTGATGAAGTTGTGGTTGAAGGAGCTTCAGGAGTGCTGGATGAATGTGAGAAGAGAGAGCAAATAAAAGCAAAGGAAACCACTGAGAACTATTTGGAGGACACGCCCATCCACGTGGTTGACATTGAAGAGTTGGAACAGGATCAAGAGCAACGCAGGCACGGGACGAGTGAACATAAAGAAGGCGTTTCTCTAACTTGTGAAGTTGAGGAGCAACAAGGAGGTGATGAATGCTCAGATGGGCAACATCTCACAGGAGAAGAGGTTTCCTTCCGTGAAGTTGTGAAACATGAGCGACAAGGTGTGAAAAGCACCAATGAAGAATGTCAAAATCGGAACGATATTCATTCTCCTGAAATGGGTCAAGATCAAGTCAGTGTAAAACCTGGCGATGTTAAAGTGGTGTCTGAAACGGTTTCCACTGCTGAGGTAAAGCAAGGGCAAATGGGGCTACAGCAGACGCATGAGGATTCTCAGAGTGTGAAAGATGTCTCTTCTGATTCAAGCGAACAAGAGAGAGACACAGAAAAACAGGAAGAAGATTCTCAGAGTGTGAAAGATGTCCCTTCTGATTTAAGCGAACAAGAGAGAGACACAGTAAAACAGGAAGATGATTCTCAGAGTGTGAAAGATGTCTCTTCTGATTCAAGTGAACAAGAGAGAGACACAGTAAAACAGGAAGAAGATTCTCAGAGTGTGAAAGATGTCCCTTCTGATTCAAGCGAACAAGAGAGAGACACAGTAAAACAGGAAGATGATTCTCAGAGTGTGAAAGATGTCCCTTCTGATTCAAGCAAACAAGAGAGAGACACAGTAAAACAGGAAGATGATTCTCAGAGTGTAAAAGATGTCTCTTCCGATTCAAGCGAACAAGAGAGAGACACAGTAAAACAGGAAGAAGATTCTCAGAGTGTGAAAGATGTCCCTTCTGATTCAAGCGAACAAGAGAGAGACACAGTAAAACAGGAAGATGATTCTCAGAGTGTGAAAGATGTCTCTTCTGATTCAAGCGAACAAAAGAGAGACACAGTAAAACAGGAAGATGATTCTCAGAGTGTGAAAGATGTCTCTTCCGATTCAAGCGAACAAGAGAGAGACACAGTAAAACAGGAAGATGATTCTCAGAGTGTGAAAGATGTCCCTTCCGATTCAAGCGAACAAGAGAGAGACACAGTAAAACAGGAAGATGATTCTCAGAGTGTGAAAGATGTCTCTTCTGATTCAAACGAACAAGAGAGAGACACAGTAAAACAGGAAGAAGATTCTCAGAGTGTGAAAGATGTCTCTTCCGATTCAAGCGAACAAGAGAGAGACACAGTAAAACAGGAAGATGATTCTCAGAGTGTGAAAGATGTCTCTTCTGATTCAAGCGAACAAGAGAGAGACACAGTAAAACAGGAAGATGATTCTCAGAGTGTGAAAGATGTCTCTTCTGATTCAAGCGAACAAGAGAGAGACACAGTAAAACAGGAAGATGATTCTCAGAGTGTAAAAGATGTCTCTTCTGATTCAAGCGAACAAGAGAGACACACAGTAAAACCGGAAGATGATTCTCAGAGTGTAAAAGATGTCTCTTCCGATTCAAGCGAACAAGAGAGAGACACAGCAAAACAGGAAGATGATTCTCAGAGTGTGAAAGATGTCTCTTCCGATTCAAGCGAACAAGAGAGAGACACAGTAAAACAGGAAGATGATTCTCAGAGTGTGAAAGATGTCTCTTCTGATTCAAGCGAACAAGAGAGAGACACAGTAAAACAGGAAGATGATTCTCAGAGTGTGAAAGATGTCTCTTCTGATTCAAGCGAACAAGAGAGAGACACAGTAAAACAGGAAGATGATTCTCAGAGTGTGAAAGACGTCTCTTCTGATTCAAGCGAACAAGAGAGAGACACAGTAAAACAGGAAGATGATTCTCAGAGTGTGAAAGATGTCCCTTCTGATGTAAGCCAACAAGAGAGAGACACGGAGATACATGAAGATGATTCTCAGAGTGTAAAAGATGTCTCTTCTGATTCAAGTGAACAAGAGAGAGACACAGTAAAACAGGAAGATGATTCTCAGAGTGTGAAAGATGTCCCTTCTGATGTAAGCCAACAAGAGAGAGACGCGGAGATACATGAAGGTGATTCTCGGAGTGTAAAAGATGTCCCTTCTGATGCAAGCCAGCAAGAGAGAGACACGGAGATACATGAAGATGATTCTCAGAGTGGAAAAGATGTCCCTTCTGATGCAAGCGAGCAAGAGAGAGACACGGAGATACATGAATATGATTCTCAGAGTGTAAAAGATGTCCCTTCTGATGCAAGCCAGCAAGAGAGAGACACAGTGAAACAGGAAGATGATTCTGAGAGTGTAAAAGATGTCCCTTCTGATGCAAGCCAGCAAGAGAGAGACACGGTAAAAAATGATGATGATTCTCGGAGTGTAAAAGATGTCCCTTCTGATGTAAGCCAGCAAGAGAGAGACACAGTAAAACATGATGATTCTGAGAGTGTAAAAGATGTCCCTTCTGATGCAAGCCAGCAAGAGAGAGACACGGAGATACATGAAGATGATTCTCAGAGTGGAAAAGATGTCCCTTCTGATGCAAGCCAACAAGATAGAGACACAGAGATACATGAAGATGATTCTCAGAGTGGAAAAGATGTCCCTTGTGATGCAAGCCAGCAAGAGAGACACACAGAGATACATGAAGATGATTCTCAGAGTGTGAAAGATGTCCCTTCTGATGCAAGCCAGCAAGAGAGAGACACGGTAAAACATGAAGATTCTGAGAGTGTAAAAGATGTCCCTTCTGATGTAAGCCAAAAAGAGACAAACACAGTAAAACATGATGATTCTGAAAGTGTAAAAGATGTCTCTTCTGATGTAAGCCAGCAAGAGAGAGAAACGGAGATACATGAAGATGATTCTGAGGGTGTAAAAGATCTCCCATCTGACGCAAGCCAGCAAGAGAGAGACACGGTAAAACATGATGATTCTGAGAGTGTGAAAGATGTCCCTTCTGATGCAAGCCAGCAAGAGAGAGACACGGTAAAACATGATGATTCTGAGAGTGTAAAAGATGTCCCTTCTGATGTAAGCCAGCAAGAGAGAGAAACTGTGAAACAGGAAGATTCTGAGAGTGTGAAATATGTCTCTTCTGATGCAAGCCAGCAAGAGAGAGACACAGAGATACATGAAGATGATTCTGAGAGTGTAAAAGATGTCTCTTCTGTTGTAAGCCAGCAAGAGAAAGACACAGTGAAACAGGAAGTTGATTCTCATAGTGTAAAAGATGTCCCATCTGATGCAAGCCAGCAAGAGAGAGACACGGAGATACATGAAGATGATTCTGAGAGTGTAAAAGATGTCCCATCTGATGCAAGCCAGCAAGAGAGAGACACGGAGATACATGAAGATGATTCTGAGAGTGTAAAATATGTCCCTTCTGATGCAAGCCAGCAAGAGAGAGACACAGTAATAAAAGATGATTCTGAGAGTGTAAAAGATGTCCCTTCTGATGCAAGCCAGCAAGAGAGAGACACGGAGATACATGAAGATGATTCTGAGGGTGTAAAAGATGTCCCTTCTGATGCAAGCCAGCAAGAGAGAGACACGGAGATACATGAAGATGATTATGAGAGTGTAAAAGATGTCCCTTCTGATGCAAGCCAGCAAGAGAGAGCAGTAAAAAATGATGATTCTGAGAGTGTAAAAGATGTCCCTTCTGATGCAAGCCAGCAAGAGAGAGACACGGAGATACATGAAGATGATTCTGAGAGTGTAAAAGATGTCCCTTCTGATGCAAGCCAGCAAGAGAGAAACACAGTAAAACATGATGATTCTGAAAGTGTGAAAGATGTCCCATCTGATGCAAGCCAGCAAGAGAGAGACACGGAGATACATGAAGATGATTCTGAGAGTGTAAAAGATGCCCCTTCTGATGCAAGCCAGCAAGAGAGACACACGGTAAAACATGATGATTCTGAGAGTGTAAAAGATGTCCCATCTGATGCAAGCCAGCAAGAGAGAAACACAGTAAAACATGATGATTCTGAAAGTGTAAAAGATGTCCCATCTTACGCAAGCCAGCAAGAGAGACACACACTAAAACATGATGATTCTGAAAGTGTAAAAGATGTCCCATCTGACGCAAGCCAGCAAGAGAGACACACGGTAAAACATGATGATTCTGAGAGTGTAAAAGATGTCCCTTCTGATGCAAGCCAGCAAGAGAGACACACGGTAAAACATGATGATTCTGAGAGTGTGAAAGATGTCCCTTCTGATGCAAGCCAGCAAGAGAGAGACACAGTAAAACATGATGATTCTGAGATTGTAAAAGATGTGTCTTCTGATGCAAGCCAGCAAGAGCAAGGGATGGTGAAACGTGAAGATCACGATCCTCACAGTGAGAAAGATATATTTTTTTCAAGTGCAAATCAACAAGAGCAAGATACATTAGAAAAAGAATATGACCATTCTCATTGGGGGGAAGATCCAACTTCTAGTGCAGGTCAACAAAAGCAAGAGACAATAAAATCTAATGCTGAAAAACATGACCCTTCTATTGTAATTGAGCTAGATGCCGCTTATAATGCACACCAACAAAAGCGAGACACGCTGCACCATGAAGATGACGATTCTAAAAGTGTGAACGATACACCTTCTCCTTGTGCAAATCAACAAGAGCCAGACCCCGTGAAAAATGAAGATGATCGTCCTCATAGCAAGGACGATACGCCTTCTGCTGAAAGGATTGAGCAAGTACAAGGCCAATTGAGAGTGGAGCCCAAAGATGCGAGTGTGTCATCTGGAAAAGTCTTTGCTGCAACAGAAACTTCAAAGTTCGAGCCAACTCCCTTGCCATTGAATGACAGTTTACTTGATACCGGTGATATGAAAGAAAAAACATTAGATAAGCGCCTATTTCAAGAGGTGCCAGTGCAGGCAGCTTGTCAAATTGAAAAGACGCTTACGCCTCTTGAAGGTGACCTTTCAAAGAATGCCACCGCTAAAGATTTACAGCAGGAGGGCGGAAGCAACAACGTGGACATCGTCATTGGCAATGAGGTAATATGTGAATAAATTATTAATGCACTTTTCTTCATGGTATCACATTAATTGCAAATATGCATTGTATTTCTGGAAATAATAAACAATGTATGTGTATTTATCATTTATTTTCTTATTCCCGCTGTTTTTTTGTCTTTTTTTTTTCTCCAAAAGGCTTTGCCTGAGCCCCACTCGGCAAGGGATGGTCGTTGTGAACGAGAAGATGTGACACACGATGAAGGCTCCGTCATTGACCTGGAGGTCCGGGTTTTAGTGCCAGGAAGATGTATCCCCAGTTTGCTGCTATCGTTCTCGCATCGTGCCTGCCCCTGTGCATGTCACATCCTGTGCCTGGGCTAGGGAATGTGAACAGTTTAATTTATTTCACGTGTTGAAAGTTGCAATGTGTGTATATGCGTGTGTGTTGTGAGTCTTTGTTGCTAACATTGCCTTGATTTTCAATCGTGTGCAAATGCAGCAGGTGCCCTTCCGTCATGCCGTGTATTGTATTGATTTTGAGGCCTTGGGTTTTGTTAATGTTTCAGATTTTTTCTTTTTCGACTGCATGGAGAGATTATTTTTGTTTTGTCAGTTGAATGGTTGTTCATATGCTTTGCATTTTTTTATTGATCTAATTCTGTTTGGCAACTGCGTAAAAAAAGTTTTATATGGTCAAAATATTCGTGGTATTCTGGCCTATTTGTTTTACTGACTTTTGCGGTTTTCCATTAATGGACAACAGATGGTCTGCTGTGCATGTTTAAAGGCTCATCCGCAAGGGTCATTTCAGAACCATGGACATATAAGTCTAGAAACCGGTGGTTATTCACGTGCATTTTTAACACAAGACTTTGCTTTTGGAGGCTCTGGGTTGGGTGAACGTGTGCACATTTATACATGCATACTTTTTTGAATACAACCGGCGTTAACATGCGTTTTGAGTACCTGTTTTCAGAGGTGGTCAACATTTGTTTTTTCTCTCTCCAAACTAGCCTTCACACATTGTTACAGGCTTCATCATCAGCCACTTGCCTACTCACTGATGGATGAAGGCTCCTCCGCATTGTCCACCATCTCCTGTGGTCCCACGGGGGCCGTCAAATCCATCTCACGCCTGCGCGCACGAGCTGATATCATTGCCGATTTCATCGCTTTACACTTCTTGTGGGGTGACATTGCTTCAAAAAACTATGTGTTACGTTCAAAGAAAAACATTCTGCGTGGTGCAAGACCTGTCAGTGTGCTTCAAATTCGATCAGTGGTCATTGGTTTAATTTCTATGGTGCAAAACCCCACTATCAGACGGTTAGACACTTTTAAATGTTACCATGTGAAAGATGTATGGATGGTGCATGGCCGGGTTTTAAATGGGAACGCATGTGCCTTGCAGCAAGTCCTGGAGGTGCGGCAACGAGAGTGTTCACAGAAGCTGAGCGACCTGGAGTCCTGGCTGGATGAAGCATCCAGTGGCCTCTCCACCCAGGATAACCTCCATGAACTTAACGATCTGCAACAACAACAGCTGCAGCACCAGGCAAGTCGCAGGCTTGCTAGACATTGGTAAACGTATAACAGTGGAAGCGGCATGTGTAAGCACACTCCTTGGGAGCAAGGTCAGCTGTGGTTATGTCCGACATATGCTTGTGTCAGAAGTTGCCCATCGGCGTGCCCTTACCAGAATAAATTAAGCAAACGGATTTGCATTTCTGGGGTGCTTAAAAGCCTTAGGTAACTCAAAGAAACCATCTTACGTCACATCTCATCTCGACCCATTCATTGTCCTTTGGCAGTCTAGCCAAGCGGACCCCCAGTGGCTGCTGTCTCTACGCAGCACAAAGTTTACACACGCACAAGCACGTATCCCTGTTTGTGTGCGTTGCTTATATAATAACAGTGCTTATTAACAGTTTCTACTGTAATATACAAAATAAGTAATGGGCTGGGTTGGAAATGATATGTGAGCACGGATTAAACAAACTCATCACAATAATCATTGCCACTTCATTATGATAGAAATGTTATGTAATAGGCTAACATTTCAGGCATTTAATCTTCTTCAGAGCAGGGAGAGGCATACAGACTTAATAGTTGGAGATCATGCTTTATACTGGGGCCCTCAAAAAAACCTGGAAGTTTGAAGAACGTTAACAAATGAGAAACTGCTTTCTGTAAGTGGACACTGAGTGAATTTATTTGTGGACATTGAGAAGTAAAAATAAATCAAAGATATACACACATAAACGGATTAAATAAACATTACCACTGCACGAGGTTTCATGTGCAGTGTAGCTTTTCGGTTGTTGTTTTGTTCTTCGGGATAATGTCCGACATTTCATTCCCGTTGCTGGGATCTCCTTGAGAAACCAGACTAGCTCCTTCGAAACACGCAGTACAATTCAAAAACATATCCGGAGCTCCACACATAAAGTTACTAAAATGCGAATGTGTCGAACTGCCGCATGGGAAAATGCACGTTATTGAAGCAGTATGCATTGTCCGTCCGGCATGGTCAATTGTTGACTGTCGTGTCCTGTTCAGTGTTTTTGGCGGTGAATCTTCGGTCGCGTGCTTTGACCCGACGTGCCTCTTTCACCGCACTCGCAGATGCTGCAGAGGGACCTGGCGACCCGCGCCGGCGAGATGGAGGAGATGGTGCGCAGCACGCAGCGCTTCCTCGACGAGAACCGCGAGCGGCTCGACCCCGAGTTCGTGGCCGCCGTGGAGAAGAAGCTCGCCGACGCCAAGAGCAAGCTCGGCGAGCTGCAGGCCGAGGCCCAGGCCAAGCAGAGGCAGCTCGATGCCTCCGTGAGCACCGCCATCAAGCAGAAGACTGAGAAGGTGAGGTGCTGCCAACTTCGTCTGCCAATCCGCGGTCGGTTTCGACCATCGTCCCTTTACAGTGACCTACCATGCCCCCCCAAGCCTACAGTCAAAATTCCGCCTCTTGCGTTTCGTAAGCACTCATCCCCCCATCCCCCCCCCCCCCCCGTCCGCTCGGTGAGTTCTCAACAAGTAAAATAAACTTTTTGATTTAAAGCTGTCGTGACTGCAGGGATTCATATTCTTGGTTCTTTCGGTAAAGTCACGTCGAAGGGAAACGATAACATAATAAAAATATAAAACAATAAAATTCTCACGACGTTGCGACTGCAACACAAGCAATCATCATCAGGTGTGAAAACCACACCTGATGTAAAATCAATGTCGCGTACCCGCTGACAAGGCCTCTACAAGCAGAGGTGGGGAACCTACGGGCTCACGAGCCGGACAGGGCCTGTAACTTCGCTTCAGCGACCCACTGCTTCACTTCGACAATGCCTGCAAACGACATTTATCCGTCACTGCAAGAACCTTAGCTGCACTAATCGGGCACTGGAGGGGAATATTTTATCACCCGGCAACACCGCGTTCCTAATTTTAGTGCCATGCTCGGTCGCTTCTGTTGCTGCAAGGGCCTCTTGCCCTGACAGAAGTGACCAAGGTGTGTGTCAGTGTGTAGACCCCCCACCACCACCATAGGTATTTCAAAGTCCTCGTCAGTGCTCAGTAAAAGTGATATTCCCCACCCGTAGCCTCCAGTGTTTATCCACATGTGACCACTGTCACCGGATGTCATCGACTCAAATATGAATTATCAGATCCAACGTAAGACTGGTACCAATATATGTGGTTGGTTTGATGAACCTTAATAAGGCTGTCATGCACTTGACTGCACAATTTTATAAAATGTGGAGAAACGATTTCAACATGTGTACCTGACATGATGCTGCTCTAATACTGATGCAACATTCCTCATTATTAGCTGATTGAATCATGGCGTTACATGTAAAGCCCATTTTAAGCTGAACGGTTTGTCATCTCCTCGTGTTTTTTCCGTGCAACAGCTGGCCGCCGCAGAACAGCTGGAAGAAAACAAGGACAAGATCGATCAGCTGCTTGGGTGGCTCTCATCTCTGGAGGAACCCCAGGACGAGGCGGACAGCCGCAGTGCCATTTCGGAGCACGATGCGATGAAGGTGAGATAGACCAGGCTCTTCACCATATCTCCCTTACTTTGTATTTTCTAATGCAGCCAGCTGCAATGTTCGGTCGACAAAATAACACCTCCCATTAGCACGTCTGGCTACGTACGGTGCGAAAGAAGTTCAACGTACGTACATACAAGAGTTCTCTTCTGGGCTCGTCGGCCTGCTGTGACATGCCCGGTTTGAATACTTTACTCGTACGGTCGGCGGAACACAGCAACAGGCCGGAGTGGTTTTTACCCCCAGCCGTGCGCCGTGTGCCCGCGAGCAGGCCTACCACCAGCAGGTGCTGGCGCAGCAGCAGGGCTTCCTCATTGCGGCGCAGCAGTCCCAGGCTTTCCTGGACAAGCACGGCGCCTCCCTGCCTCCCGACGAGCGCGAGAAGCTGGAGCGCAACCTGGCCAGCCTGCGCGACCGCTTCGAGGCCACGCTGGCGCTCGCCGACGGCAAGTGGCGTCTGGTGCAGGAGGTGCAGGACGACGCCGGCAAGTTCGGCGCCGAATGCGACGAGTTCGAGGGCTGGCTCGACCAGGCCGAGGGCGACATGGGGGAGCTGGGACGATCGGCCGCCGACCCCGAGTCGCTGCGGAGCGTGCGGCGGAGGCACGGCAGCTTCTCGGACGACGTGGTGTCACACAAGGGTGACCTGCGCTACCTCAGCCGCTCGGGCCAGAAGGTTCTGGGCGCGATCAAGGCGTACGAGGAGCTGTGCGCCAAGGTCACTGACGGGCCCTCGGGACCCAGCTTCAACACGGACGCCATCGCCGTCACCGTCAAGGACAGGCTTCAGCAGGTCGACGGCCGGTTCGGCACTCTGCGCGCACAGGTATGGATATGTGAGGGTTTGTGTGTGTGTGTGTGGTTTTTTTAAAATAATACCTTGAATGATGATCATTGTGCCCTGGTGTAATGGGTATCACGCTGGACTTTTAATTTCAGAGGTCGCCGGTTCAATTCGATCTCCCGGTGCAGCAGTTGAACACGATGGGTCCGCCTCAGTCCGTGCAGCAGTATAAGTGAATGCACCACAGTTAGTCGTTCGGCAGGGAGGTCGCCATTGCTGGCGGAGGGGACACGGCGTGCACTCGTGGCTATGATAAGCATTGTGGTGGTGGGGTGGGGGGTAGTGCTGCTGCTGCTGCCGTGGGGTAATGGTTGGCGTGATAGGAATTGCAATACGGATTTGATCTTCTGGCGCAGCAGCTGAAACAATGGGGAAAGTTTCCTAAATCCTCCGCCTCTGTCCACCAAGCTGCATTTAGTGTACCGGCAGGTCACGTGCAGTGGGGTAAAGCGTGGGCCCTCCCCCACCTCTTCCAAGATGTCTGGCTAGCGGTGAAGAGGTGACCAAATACCCTCTGTAGAGGCTCACTAGAGGCTCTCTCTGTTGCACACCCTTCCTCCAGCAATGGCATTGCATGTTCTTGCAGGGTCGCACCTTTACCTTATTTGTGATCACGTGTTTCATTTGTCTGGGACTGTTTTTCAGACATTTTCTGAAATGGAATGCTTGGCCAATTCCATTAATGTGTGCTCGGGTAAATTAAACTAAATTGAGTTAACATAACTTATTAATTAAATAAATATATACCCTTTTTTTTCTTTAGAATTAATAAATCCCAAACGCTTCACATGTGTGCTCGGTATTTATGTATTTATTCCTTAGTGCGATGACCTTGGAAGCCAGCTGGTGGACAGACAGGAAAAGTACAAGCACTACCAGGAGGCATCGTCAGAGCTGGTGCCCTGGCTGCAGCAGGCTGAGCTCGCGGCCGACAAGCTGAAGTCCGACCCCGTGGCCGCCACTGCCGATGGCCTGCAGAGGCAGCTGGAGGAAGCAAAGGTAAAGCAGTGTGCCACCATAATGTAGCTCAACACACCACTGCATAGAGGTAGACCGTGAGCCCAGGTGATTTAGTCGGTACTGCCTGGGGTGGCGAATGCAACCAGTATCCACCATGGGCGGTGCACATCATGGACAGTGTCCACCATTGACAGTTACCTTAGTTTATATGGGCCCACACGGGTGGCGAGATGATAACTACTTTTCCTGGTGTACAGGAGGTCGTGGGTTCGGTCTCGATATAACGATGAAATGGTCGATCGTACCGATTAGCCATTTTTGGGCCCAAGGCTCGTGAAGACCTCGGTCAGGATTCAAGAACAGGCATTAACTCTTTAACGGTAACACTCACTTGGCATGACAGCACTGTTTTTTTATAAAATCTTAACACTAATACTATATTTTGATTTAAAGCTTTCGTGACTGCAGTAATTCATATTCTTAGTTTTTTCGGTAAAGTCACGTTGAAGAGAAACAACAAAATAACAAAATATATATAAAACAATAAAAAATTCTCACGACGTTTCGACCATAACTCAAACGGTCATCATCAGGTGATAACTCAAACGGTCATCATCAGGTGATGACCGTTTGAGTTATGGTCGAAACGTCGTGAGAATTTTTTATTGTTTTATATATATTTTGTTATTTTGTTGTTTCTCTTCAACGTGACTTTACCGAAAAAACTAAGAATACTAATACTATATTTATGTTTCATGTATTTTGGACAGTTAAAGCTTAGTATAACGTTTTATATATATGTAGTGTTATATTCACGTGAATTGTGAGATTACCAGTTGGGTAGGGGCTTACATTTTCACCAAAATTTTGCCCTGAAACCAAATTACATTTCAAATTGATATCTCAACGATGGGCGTGTGCATTTTTTCTGAAACTGAGATGAAAAAAATATATATATACTTTTTAACTTCAGAAACTGAAGGAAGATGTGACGGCTCACAAGACCGCCATGCAGAGATTCACTCGCGCAACGGAGGCGCTTCTTGCGACGACTGGCGAGCCGCTCACAAACCAACAGGAAATTCAAAACACACTGGGTGAGTTGAATGTGTGCAATATTAATTGTGTGTTGAGAATTTCACCTGCGTATACAAGTAATAGCAATAACATCATAACAATATCATCATACAATACAATACCATACATCATACAATACAATACCATACATCATACAATACCAATCATACTATACATCATACAATACAATACCATCATAACAATCCCAATACCATACATCATACAATACAATCATAACAATACCACATATGTAATAACAATAGCATCTATGTACAGCCCTTTTGTGCATCCAGTGCTCGATGGTGGCCTCAGCACACCGTGCGGTTTGTGAGTGGTTATTTGACCATACTTCACCATGCTGGTCAGTGCGGGTTGGTGAAGGTGGGCTGCTTAGACATGGGGATGTAGAAGTACAGCACCACAACGGATTTTGTTTTCTGACCACAACCTGCAGAAAAAAAACCCCATAAAATATAGTTTTGCCAAGTGGAAGCGCATTTTTACACTTGTTTAAAAATGTTTCTGTTCACTCCCGGGTGCCGCCCAGATGAATGCTGCAGGTATATCACAGTGGACATGAAACATCTCGTGACTTTACACATATATTAGAAGAGTAGGCCTTGTGTGCCAGTTTCACGATCTCAAGCTTTCCAAATTAGAGAATGACTCACAAATTACCTATTTGGTAGAGACACTTCGCAAAACATGCTGGGAAACGCCTACAGACTGCAATTGTCTATTAAATATACTGCCTTTGTTATAGCCGTGCGCTATAAGAATTGCGCGACACCCACTGGACTAATGATTGGATTCGGTGACTCGCTGAATTGGTACGTCGAGACCGCTTGGCTTTACTTGGGACGCTTTGTCGCGTGATCACCTTGGCAGACGACGCGATGAGGAGGTACGAAGAGCTGTCGCGCTCGTCAGCTGAGCACGGGGAGCGCCTGGAGGCGGCTCTGGAGCAGTCGGTGAGCCTGCAGGACGGCCTGGAGAAGATGCTTCAGTGGCTCGAGGAGGCCGAGAGGCAGGTGGAGGAAGAAGCCAGCGGCCTCATCACATCCCACTCCGTGCGGCAGATGATGACCGACAATGAGGTAAGGACCCAGTGAAATGCCATAGTAAACCAAAAGGTTTTTATATGGGACTTAAATAGTGGAAGGGACTTAAGTTGAGTCATTCCCTGCACACAGGGATTGGCTGAAGTGCCCCGTGGTTATTGATTGATTTCAACGCCGAGCAAAAGTTAGCTTCCCGCAGTAAAAGTTAAATAAGAGCTGGTGCACTATAGCAGCAGTGTAAATAGCAGCAGTGTAAATATCAACTTCCAGGTTGTTAACGTTAATAACCTCTGGCATTTGTATGGGACCCGCAATGCAAATGACTAAATCTGCAGCGTCGAAGGCCACCCTAATTTTGGGCATGAATGAGTTATAAATCCGACAAACAGAGCCAAGGTCAGCAGAACCAAACAATATTCACCGTTGTTATCATCGCTCGTGAGTTGATATCGCCGTGGCCGCTCATTACCACTACTGCCCTACGCCTCTCTCTCGCTGTCTCAGTCACTGCAAGAGGAGCTGAAGCGCAAGCGTGGCCGCATGGCGTCCATGCGCGAGAAAATCGAGGGCCTGCTCGCCACGGCCGACCCAGTGACCGCCGCCGACCTCAAGGAGAAGCTGCGGCGCCTGGAGGAAAGATTTGACGCGCTGGACGGCCGGTGCCAGGACAAGGACGGCAACCTGGGCGGCCTGGCAGAGAAGATGGAGGTGGTGGAGAGAGCCACCGAGAGGATGGGCTCCCTCATGGCTCCGGGAGAGAAGGGCTTCAACATGGTGGATGGAGGAGGAGGCATGGATTTCTCCGAAATGAGCCGGGATGTGAAGGTACGTTATGTATGGTATTGCAAGTTTAGATATTTAAAGTTGTTATGAATATCAAAAGAGCTATTTTCATTATGTCAAAAAATATGGATGTTAAATAATGTTACATAAATTACCAAGGATGTTAATTAGCATTTTTATGGCAGTTCTAGGGTTCAGCTCCCTGCAGGTAAGACTACTTCCTGGAAAAATGGTAATTTCAAGGCATGTACATACATACATATGCATACATACAGGTAAAGCCCACGCCAAAAATAACAACACACCAAAGTTATATTACTGCCTTTGGAGTTCCTGAAGACGCTCCCCAGCACGTGGAGTAAAACGTCAGACATCGTCCCGGACAACATGCGGTCCGACCCGAAAAACACAACGGAGAGCTACTCCTTAAGTTCAACTATATCCCCTTTTGCCAAAAAGTTTCATTAATTATCACTTGTTTTCACCAAGTGACAACTCGCAATGCTTCGCACTGCTTTTCAGTGGCGAAGCTCGGAGCTGTCGGCGGAGGCCGGGAAGATGGAGGAGCTGCAGAAGCTGGCGAAGGAGCTTGCGGAGATGGAACCGTCAGCCGCCAGGGACCAGATGCTGGAGAAGATTAACGGCATCCTTGCAGAGTGGCACCAGCTCCAGGAGGAAGTCCGGGAGAGGTGGGGCTTCCCTTTTCAGAGCGTGTGCACCTAGCATTGTGGGAAGCCAGCATGAGCCAACTCTGCACACAGGACCTAAATGTGTTCGCACTATGAATTTACCGGCATTCGTAATAGTAATTGGTAGCCCATTGTTTGTCGGTCCAGGTTGTCCGTTGTTTTACCATACTTTACCAAGCTGGGAAGTTTAAGTTGCTAATAATGAGGGGGGGTGAGACAGCACTATATGTGTGTATGTTGAACTTATTTTGCACCGTACATAGCTAACCGTGCTAATTTGAGGTGCGGGGGAAGGACAGCAAACTAATCACAAAAAGCAGTTCTCAATAAATTATTTTTCAATATAGATTTAAAAATGCATCGCTCCAGTGGCATCGTAACATCAGAAGGAAGAGCATTCCAGATGGCTGCAGAAGTGCATCTGAAGCAATGTAAAGGACAAAGAGAGGCCGGGAAAAACAGGAAGAGATAGACGTAAGAAAGGATGCGAGAAGAGTGACGAACAGTAGGGTGCATAATGGAGTGAAAGGGTCGGGCTGAAATAAAGTCAACACATGGCGACTAAATCTTCCTTCAAACCTGAACCCTGTGAAATTAGCGAGCGCTGCTATTTAACCCGAAGCTGTGCAAGAGTGGATAACCTCCTGCATCGGATTCAACCACTGGACGTCGCTTCTCGTGCGGCCGTGGCTTTTGCGCATCCTCACCGTCGCGGCGTCACGCGTGCGTGTCGACCCCCCCCCCCCCACCCACGCAGGGAGGCGAAGGTGGCGTCGTTCCAGCTACAGCTGGACGAGTTCCGTGTCCTGGTGGAATCTCTGCGCCAGTGGCTCACGGAAACGGAGGGCAGAGTGCCGTCGGACGCGTCCACCGGCGCGGCGGAGAGCCTCCAGGATCATGTGCAGCTCGTTCAGGTGCCCGTATTTTAAGCGTTTTTTTACGTATTAAAATTGAGATCTCCCCGCGTCATCTGGAAGTCGAGTCGTGATTATTGTCCATGAACAGCATGTGATGGTCAGTGTTTGTGGATACGTAGGTGGCTGATAAGGCCAATCCTGGAACTACATATCTGTGGAAACGGTGGTGCGAGTTTCTAAATTCCCCACCCCCCTCTGCCTCTGTTCACCCAAGAGTTTAAATAGGCCACAGTTATTCAATCGGCAGGTGATGTGTGGGTATTCCCACCTCTTTGGAAGTGTCTTGTCAGCTGGAAGAGTAGGCCAAAAATAACCCTGCAGAGCCCTTCTGCGGCCATCTTTCTGGAGCTCCCTCTGGTGGAGGTGCTTCCACCTGCAGTGGCGTGAGCAAGCATTTGCAGTTGCTCCTTTATTTATTATAAAGTGGTTGATGAACGTTCAGATACGGATTAAGGTTGCCCAGTTGGCACAGAAGTCAGAGCACTTAGCCAGCACTGCTGAAATCCTGGGTCTGCAGCTTTTTTTTAATATAACCAGCCGTAATTAAACTGGGTTCTAAAGTGGAGCGAGTCAATGGTCTCAACCCCACTCACCAATGATTCTACACCAAAAAATGCCATTACATTCGTTTTTTTTCCTTTTGTGCCCACATCAGAAACATACACTTTTTTTAAATGTCCGTCTCACCGGTGCTATAGAATAGAAGCCGCCAAAAGGGTTAAGCAGTTGTATCTTTGAAGGGTTAAGATGTTCAAACACCAAATTGATACCTTTTACCAAAGCATTAAGTCTGCAGAAAGGATAAACCTATTTTTGATACTGAAAAAAAGGTCCTATAGATATATCTTTGAAGTATCAATCACAATTATGCGTGTTTTTTGCAGACTTGATGCCTCGTAACAGGTGTCTATTTGGTGTTTTTTTCATCTTCACACCTGCATTTACGCCAGAAAGGGGAAAGCCTCCCATCTCCTTTGCAAAACTATTCTTTGGCCTATCGACTAATTCTTGCCAATGTCACGTGCATCTTGACTTCCACAGAGTCTTCTTGTGGAGTGGGAGGCTAAAGGCCCGAACGTGGATGACGTCAAAAAGCAGGCCGAAGAACTGGAGAAGCTTCTTGCAACAATGGTATCCGCTGACGCGGTAACAGAGAGCCAGGTCAAATCAGGTGCGGATGGTCATCGGTGTAACACTTGCCAACATGAGGCTGCTGCAGAGCTTTGCCGATCAAATGACCCGTGCTTTGCAATGCCATTGGCCAGAGAGAGACGGACCTGCCCTTGCCGTGTGCAGCGTACTTACACGTTGTGACATTTCCCATGCCGTCATGTGCCCGCGATGTGTGCCGTCTGATGTTCACGTCTGCAGTTATTGAGCTGCAGTTCACAAACACCAGCTGCCTTGATTGTGCACTCTGTGTGTTTGGTTTGCATTGGCTGTTTGGTCACTTTTAAGTTGCATACTTGCCATTATTTCTTTTCTTTTGTGTTCCTGTTACTATAGGTTCTATACCAAGTTCCTCACCTAGTGTAAATGGTCACTCCACCAGTAAAGGTGAGATTAATGCATGTGAACTGTCTGCTGATGTTTTCAGAGATGCAAAGTTTACACTTGAGTAAGATTTTTTTTTTATAGCAGACGTCATATGCAAAGCATGATGTTTGGAACTCTTGTCTTCGTTGAACATTCACGTTGTTTTGTTGCTGTATTCATGTTCATTGTCGACTTATGTTTGACCTATTTTGAGTAATGAATGCGTTTTGTTCAACAAAAAAAATTGCAATGGAAGTTAATGCAGCTCTTGGAGAATACACTAAGTTCTATTATGTTTTAAGATATACAAGTTTTATGCTGTACTTGCAGAATAATTATCTTAATTCGTCCCTCTATCATGGTGACACAGATAATGTCTCTTGCATTACATAAATACATGACCCTCTAACCAGTCCTTCAGCATAACTGAATGTCACAGCACACCAGTCACATTTTCTACCGCTATAATTAATTGATTGATGAATAGCCTGTCACATATATGTAGAGTAAATGGTGTTTCTTCCTTAATATGATAAAAAAATACTATATTTTGGAGTTGAGCCAAATTGAGCAGCTCCTGTGGTGTCAAACGCTTTGCATGCGCGTGCACATCTGCGTGTGTGTCTTTGTGTGCTCGTGGTGAGGGGAGAGCGGTGGCAGAGTGATTAGCGCACTGCACGCCGAACCCGGCGACCCGAGTTCGATTCTGACCAACGGCCACCAACATCAGTGACGGCGATTGTCTGAACCAGTCCTGGGCCTCTCCTAGGTCAACTCAGCCTCAAATTAGTACCTGGTGCGATGTGTAAACAGCACCACTACGCAGACAAAGGTGCCCGGGCATAATGCTACGGCCACCCATGCCCTCGTGTGCCTTCCCGGCCTTCACATAGGTGCTTGTCAACAGTACTTGACCCAACAGTCTGTTAAGGCTATAGAAGGGATCTTTGTCTTGTACGTGGGTCTGTGCGCGTGTACACGTGCTAGTGCACCCATGTACTCGTGCGTTAGGGTTTATTCGTCTTGTGTGGTTGCACATAATACAGGTTTTTTTAGATCGCATAAATATATATCAATATATATCAATATATTTACGCGATCTAACCCCAAAAAACCTGGTATGTGGATGTACTACTTGTGTGGGCACATACCTATGCACAAGCTTGTGTGTGCTGACACATCCTCGTACGTGTAAGAATGCACATTGTGTCTGTGTGTAAATCCGTTTACGCGCACGTGCAGAGCTGGCCACGATTCAGAGCGACGTGTCGGACGTGAGCGGGCGCTACGACGAGCTGGGCCGCGCCCTGAGGGACAGGGAGCGGGCGGCCGCGTCGGCGCTGGAGAGGGTGGAGCAGGTGCGCGGCGATGCCGACTCCCTCATGGGCTGGCTGGCAGGCAAGCTGCAGGACGTGTCCGGGTGGAGCGGCGCTCCCTCCGAGGGCAGCGCCATCAAATCTGAGGCCGAGCGCAACAAGGTGAGGGCCCACCGGGTTTCCTCGTAGCAACACAAATTGCCCGAGTACTGTGCGAGGGTTTTTTGCGGTTTTTCTTTAATCTAGCGCTTTGGCAGGCCAGGATTGGTGGGTTGCCTACATTTATGGATCTCCCAAAACGTACTGGTCGAGGAGATTTCCAAGAGATGACAATACGAACGTAATCACATTTATTGTCGCGTTCTTCTTAATGAGATGCCCTGAAGGTTTAAACGTGTCCCTTCAATGCAATTCCATTTCAGCTGCTACTCTCTGAGATTGAAAACAACTTGCCAAAAGTGCAGGCTCTCAGACAGCAGCTACGGGAGCTCTTGGAGAAAAACCCAGACTCTCCTGAAGCGGACAAGTGGAGGAGCATGCTGAAGGAACTTGGTCAGTGACCAATGCATTTTACTTTTCACATAACTGCCCCTATGTGATGTATTATCCTCTTTTGTTTTCCATTCTACAAACCAAGCCACGCTAGGGTCTTTGCCGAGCCAGCCCGGCACAACTCAAGAGGGTGCCGGGTTCTTTTTTTTTCCACTGCAGGACTCGAATCATGACAACACTGGTGTCACTACCTTCCAAGTGCACTCTGACTGCTGATGCAACATATAACGAAAATTATTAACCCCCCCCAATGCTGGCCATGATTGGCTGAGAGCCAGATTGAGAGCCAGATTGAGAGTCAGATTGAGATGTATTTTGAGGCCACGGCTTTGTTCTGGCTCGGCAAATGGTCAGTGGAAAAGCACCTATACTGGCGTGGCTTGGATATGCCAGTTCGTGCTGCGCTAATGTTGTTATGCGTTGGCGTCACCTCCCAGATGATCAGTGGGCGGCGGTTCACCAGTCGGCTAGCGAGAGGCAGCAGCAGCTGGAGGAGTCGTGTGGCCTCCTGGAGACGTTCCGCACGCTCGAGTCCCAGCTGAGCCAGTGGCTGATGGAGAAGCAGCTCATGATGAGTGTCCTGGGTCCCCTCTCCATCGATCCCAATATGCTGGCCAACCAGAAACAGCAGGTCCAGGTGAGGGTGTATTCACTTCAAATTGTGGGCACTCTTGACTTAAAGCTTTCGTGACTGCAGGAATTCATATTCTTTGAGTCTTTCGGTAAAGCCACGTCGATAGAAAAAATATAATAAAATAATAAGAATAATAATAATAACAATATCACGAGCTGCTCTCACCTGATGACGATTGCTTGTGTTGTGATCGAAAAGTCGTGATATTGTTCTTATTTTTATTATTTTATTTTTTTCTATCTACGTGGCTTTACCGAAAGACCCAAAGAATATTGTGGGCACTTTATTTTTTTACTTTACCCATGTTTCCTTATTTTCCTTCATTATTCTTGTCCATTATTGGTCTCCAAACTCTTTTAATTCATCTCTCCGCTATCTCATCCGCTGTCTTCTCTCTGCTTATTTGATCATCTTTCGGTTTCCACTGCACAGTAAAATTTGTCCATCTCTTATTAGTCGCTCTCAATCTGGCCTTCCCCTTTGTTATTTTCTTCAACAGTATCGGGACCCCTGTTTTTTTCCTAATTTCTTCATCCCTAAAACCTGTCTCTTCATAGATGTTTGGCAAACGTTTAGCTTTGTCACTAATTTTTGAGCTAATAATAACGTATGCAATCCTTAAACTAAAGTAGCAGGATTGTAATACTCCCCTTGTGATGTGTTTCACACGTGAATATTTATAACCCTTTCCCATTCCGAGATGTCTACAAGTTGCAGGGTGGGTTCCGTTAACCTCTGAATCTCGGAACGCGCAAGCGGCTCATTTAATTTTATTTAGAGAGGCATAGCGCCATTGTTTTAAAGACATTGTACTCACCCCCGAGAACTGTAGCAACACGACCACTCTCTGTGGTAGCTGGCGCCAAACTGTGCCACACGCCCTCCCGCATGGCCTTGTGTGGGAGCCTTGGTCGCGACAATGTTATTTTCTCTTAGTTTTTTCTTCTGGTTTCGTTTCGATGTCGTACCCGTACGTCGTCGGAATGGGGAATAGGGTTAACACTCGCTAAAAAATATTTCAATGCCCGCCACCGCCATTTCACAGTTCATGCTCAAAGAGTTCGAGGCACGGCGGCCACAGTACGACCAACTCAACCAAGCGGCGCAAGGCATTCTGGGCAAAGGGGGCGAGAACCGCGACGCGAACGAGCGCGTCGCCGAGCAGCACGCGGCCGTCAACGGCACCTGGGGCGACATCACGGGCCAGCTGTCGAGCCGCTCGGACCGCATCGACAAGGCACTGGAGACCAGCGCGACGTACGCCGACGTCCTGCGGGAGCTCTCCGACAAAGTCTCAGGCCTGGGCGCAAAGCTGAGCAAGCAGGGGCCGCTGAGCACCCAGCCCGAGGTGGTGAAGCGGCAGCTGGAGGAGGCGGGGGAGATCGCCGGGGAGATTGAGCTGCAGAAGGACCAGCTGGAGGAGGCCGAGTACCTGTGCCAGGAGCTCTCGGACCTGGTCCAGGAGCCGTACCTCCAGACGGAGATCCGGAGGAGGCTCGGTAGTGTCATGGTACCTTTCAAAGAGCTGGAGGATAGAGCAGGTGAGGTTTTTTTTTTTGTCGATGCTGTCCAAATGCACGTTAACTTTTTATTTATTTTGCCACGATTGCTGTTTATAGAGTCCCCAGTGGTTCAAAATGCCAAGTGGCCAGCCACACAAACAGCACTATTGATGTTGCAATAGGTGAGACTACATTTCTTGAACTGAGCAAGGTGATACGAATTTTGGAAAAGAGACTCATGGAGTGAATTTCATTGTTCCTGCTACACTTATTTCCTAGGATATGGAACTACAACAATACTGTCAATTATTTACTCAGGAAAACCGCATTCTGTCTAAAGACTCCTATCGGGAGGTTCTACATTGATGTTTGGTAAGTGTCATTGTTGAGTATTTGGCTTCATGTCGGATGAAATGGGAGTACCATGAGAAAACCCACCAACACTGTCACCTCCTGGCTATCTTGCAGCCGCAACAATGGATTCTTGAATCTATCTGTATGAAGCTTGTGTCACCTCGTATCTGTGTGTTTTCTCTCGGTACTGTGGTTTCCTTCTTGCATGTTAAGAATTAGCCGAACCTACATCCTAATGCAGAACCCTCTTTAAAAAAAAGGAAAGCGTCATGAGACTCTGAGGCTTTCCTGGGTAAACAGCGAGCATTTGTATTGTAATACCATATTGAGAATGAATTCATATGGATGTTTAAAGTTTTCATTTCAATACCGTATGGTCGCAGGAACACGAGAGATGACAGCAGTTTGGGTAGGCCTTCATCCAGCAGTGGATTGACCATGGCTGACAATGACGATGATGTTAATGGTATCCTTGGCACTATTTTTACAGGCGACCGGATGAATCAGCTGCAGACGGCGTTGGCCAGCTCCCAGCAGTTTCAGCAGATGTTCGACGAGCTTCGTGGCTGGCTGGATGAGCAACGTGGGGAGCAGGCCACCATGCCCCCAATATCAGCCAAGATAGACCAGCTGCAGGCCCAGCTACAACAACAAAGTGATTTTCTGAAGTCCCTGAACCAGCACGCCGGCACCTACCATGTAGTCGTGGCAGAGGGGGAGGCTCTGCTTCAGGCCACTCAGCCCGGGGCGGAGAAGACTGCCCTGCAGACGCAGCTTGCATCCCTGAAGGAGCATTGGGAGGACCTCATGAAGCAAGCGGGAGACCGGCACCACAGGCTGCAGGATGCCCTGAAGAAGGCACAGCATTACAAGCAGCTGGCGGATGAGCTAAGACCGTGGGTTGAGGACAGCGAGGGAAAACTGACAGCCATTGACAAGGTTAGCATTGACCAGACGGAAGTCGACAGACAGTTGGCAGGTGGGAAGGCCATGAGGCAAGATGTAGAGAGGCGCCACGGCATGCTGGAGGCGCTGAACACGGCAGCCGACAACTTCATTGACTCCTGCCAAGTAGACGAGGAGATGGTCCGGGATGAGAAGGCCGAGCTCAACCAAAGGATGGACAACTTGACGGAGAACGTCTTGCTGCGGGTCGAAGGCTTGGAGGAGATGGCGCAGAGGCTCAAGGAGTTCCACGACTCGCAGAAAGACATCCAGAAGAAGCTTGACGACGCCTGCCAGCAGATTCGTTCGCACGACGCCATGGGAAACCAGGCTTTCAACAACAAGCAGCTCGAGAAGATGAAGGCGTACCACGAGGGCATGGAAGCGCTGGCCCCACAGGTGGACTACATGCACAACTTTGCCCTTGGCCTCGTGGCCGATGCCTCCGAGGGCAGCGACACGTCCTCGGTCGTACGGCTCACCGAGGAGACGCGCAGCTCGTTCGACAGCGCCCTGGCCGGCATCACCGAGCGCTGCAGCGTCTTGGACGGTCGGCTGCAGGGCGTGAACCGCTTCCAGGGCCACGTGAGGGAGCTCTTCACGTCGCTGACGGACCTGGACGATGAGCTCGACACGATGGGGCCAACAGCTCGCGATGTAGACACGCTGCAGTGCCAGCTGGAACACCTTGGCAGCATCCAGGAAAAGCTACAGAACCTGCGCGATGAAATCAGGAAAGCCGGCGAAGGGTGCGCCAAGATGCAGGAGAATGAAGCCGGGATGGATCTGCAGGGGGTCAAGGTAAGAATGTTAACGTTGACTTTGCAGTATACATTTGGCACATTTTATTGTGGAATGTGTTCGACATGGTCAGTGTATTAGGTTTATTTTATAAATTATCAAGCAGTGTGGTATCTTATTTTCTTTGCAAGTAGTGTCGTTTTGTCATTCTAAATCAATCTGCAAAATAAAATAAAAATCTATCTCTAAATTGTGGCCATCGTTAGTCCTACAATAATTGTCTTATTTACACGCTTGGCCATGTCTCCAATATGAATCCAATCACACTTATTGGCATCATGTCACGAGACAAAGAAATGTCAATTCGGAAAACTCGCATGCAGCAGATGATCACGCTATGTTAGAGGACTGCCTGTATAGTGAGATATTACAGAACCAATTCTGAGATATTTTTCACGTCACCTCTTCACTACAACTAGGGGCACTGATATTGAGAAATATTTGTCGCGTGACCATTTAAAAGATTGTCATTTTGTCAAGCTAATCGATACATTTAATGTTTAATGCATTTTGTGCAGTCATCCGTGAAAAAGTTGGCAATGCAACCTCCATAATTTCCAGAATCCGGTTAAATAACACGTTGCTGTTCAGATTAAAACCGCCCTGGCATTGTCGGCTCAATAGTTTCACTCCTCAGCCACATAGTCACCTCCTACATTTCATTGTATTTAATTTAATCCTCTGCCAGTACCTAACCTGGGCACCACGAACTACTGCTGATCCACAAGGCCGTGGGAAGCGGTCCGCCGATCTGTTGTGGATATAACATTTATTTTCACAAAACACCATCGTTTTTATTGCATGGTCGTGCGCAAAAACATTTTTGTGGGGTGAGAGCAGTCCAGATATGTTGGCGAACCACCGACACTCTACAGTGCTTATCAGTGTTGGGTACAAGACTGTGTAGCTAAAGCCGATGTGCTTACACTGACAGAGGGAGGTGGAGACCCTGAAGAAGCAGAGCGGTCGGCTGGCCGACAGGACGGACACACGGCAAGCGGAGTTGCAGGAGACACTGGCCCAGGTGGAGGACTTCCACCGCAAGATACAGGCGCTGAACCAGCAGCTGCAGGCCGCCGAGGCCACTGAGGACGAACAGGGCCCGGTGGCTGCTGAGCTCGAGCTCATCAACCAGCAGATGGAGACCTTCCAGGTATGCCTCGTCATTGCGCTGGCCCTCCGGATTCTCAATGTTTCAAGCAACTTGTACCACCTCATTTAAGTAAATTGTGAGGTTTTTTTACTGGAGGGATTGAGTTAAAAATTTTACAAATTGAGATATTGGATTTATTTATAGACCATTCACAGTGTAAGAATTGAAAACGTCTTCGTGCTAACAAGAGTTGTCACCTAATGTCACGTGACACACCTGTTGGCGGGAAAAGCACGGATATGCCAAATTAGGGACGTCACTTCCTGTGATGTCATATTTTTCATGGCGTGGGGATGCCCTCATCCAGAAGTCGCACACGTACATCTATATTCTGTAAAAAAGAAACTTACTCTTTGTCCATCTTGTGCAGCTTGCACTGTGAGTGAATTTGTTTGTAGAGTCGAGCAAGGGCTTATTCTGACCGGAGTAATCTGCGACCGATATGATTCATCGTATGACATTTGACCTTGATGCAAAAAAAACACAAGGGAAAATTGTCACTGAAATTTTTTTGGGGGGTTTGGACATGTCTAAAATCTTTTTCAAATGCGCATTTTTTTTTTATTTTGAGATTAGTTGTTTATCAAAATTAAGACTTTTCAACCGTGAGTATTTTGTAGTATTTCATATGCACAAAAAACCACGGTGGAATGAATGTAAATGAATTTTTATTTAGCATTGCAAACAAATTGTCATCTATAATTTTGCACATGCTATGAGTGTTATAATGAAATTTTTTTTTAAATGTTTAAAGAACAAATTTCTTAATTTCTATTAATGGCGATATATTATCTACATCACCAGTTTTACAGGAGGTCATGACTTCAATCCCAACCCTGACACTTGTATATTTTGAGTTTGCATGTTCTCCCTGTGGTTGCGTGGATTTTCTCCGGGTCCTCTGGTTTTTTCCCTCCACATTTAGAATCAACATGCATTTAGAGTATTTGGCTGATATAAATTAAGTTGAGCTTTTCATTTGTGGCCAGGTCGATTCTGAAAAAGAGCCATATAGCTCAGTGGGCCTTACATGGTAAACATTTTTTTGTTAATTGTAGACTTTCATACCTAAAGTGTCTGCTATTGAGGTTAACAGCTGATGGTCAATGTCAAAAATAGAAAATCAACGCCCTGCTCAATGCGTAGTTTTATGTTTGTTTATTTTGTAAGAAGCAAAAAAAAATGCTCGCAGTTTTCCGTAACAAAAATGTTCGCAGGCTTATGAATAATTTATGTGAGAAGTTGCGCGTGGAGGTCAGCCAACCGTGCATGACTTGCTGTGCTGTCGGGTCTGTCCTTTGTTAGCCGGTTTTGACGACTGCCTTGCACAAGCATATTCAATGCGTCTCTCAGTGGTGAAGCTTCTCTTTCAAACTGCCAAGTCCACAGGCCCGTTTGAATGCTACAGTAAACGCTGTATGCAGATCATATTCCAGCCACAGAGCATGCTTTTGACATCTCCGATTTATGTTTCATGGCATGGCCCTTTTTCAGATGGGCACATGCAATTATTTTTAATGATTGATGCAAGTCGTTATCAATTGGTTTCAGTTAATTCGCTGTTTCTGGTGGTTGTCGTGCATTTGTGTTGGCAGCCTCTCATCGTCTAATCCACGTCAATGTTTGTCCAACAGCAGGGATAACAAATGTCTAAGTGTACTAACATGCTTTCTCATGACAGCAACCCCTTTCAAAATATTAGCATGTTTATTTGGCCCTGCTTGTGACAACTGATTTGTTTACTTTTCAATACTGCAATACTGCATTCCATGGTCAAATTCCACGGGTTTTTTTTCAAAGCCTGAAAAAAACTTTTTGTTTTATATACAATACAACCATTGCACAGATTTTTTTTTTTCTGAGAGGGTAGGATTGTGCAGTAGTGTGAATTAACGCGCAAGGATTTACATACGGGCAGCAAGATTACATTCCAACAATGTTTTCCCATTCAAAAATCCCCACGCTGAAACTTGGCAGTGTCTCCTCTCTAAATGCAAACATGTGTATGAGCTTGTACATCCTGCTTTTAGAGTAAGCCTGTGAGAAATGGGTAAGGGCATTGCTATTTTATTGGATGTGTTTTTGGTTGGGGGGGTGGGGGAAAAATCCCCGGTTCCACCCAAGACCCCCAGATGATGAGTTGTCTTAGAAGACTACATCTGACAGCATGCTGGGGCTGTCTTTGTCTCTTTTGCATGTGTCCCATTCACTGAAGTTAACCCATATAAATTAAGCAACCATTAGGTTGGAGTTACTTTTCAGCCTTGCCAACACTTAAGTGAATGCGAAGACTGTCTTCCTTCTCAATGCATCTACATCTCACAGCTGCTGCGTCTGACTGTTTCAAGACGTTCCATAAAATTGGGCTTATTGCACACATGTCCATATTTTGCAAGCAGCAAATGAAAGTTGCATTTACAATGCAATACTCTTGGCATGCGTCATTTTAAAGTTGACAATTATGGCCTTGATTTACTTGCTATATTTTTTAAACGTTGGTATTGTTTTTTTTTTTAAATGAAATGTAATAATCTCAACAAGAAAAACACGAAGATGTAGAAAAACCATGGCAGTTAGAACATGTTTAAACAATAGTGGCCCATGTTGGAGGTAGGGAATACAAATTAATCACCTAAGTTTGGAAAAGCCATTGTGGAAAGCAAGCATTGTTACATCCAATGGCTCGCTCTGCATTGTCTGCCCGTGTTTCTCCAACCGTTGAAGCTCCATGCGGAATTAAGTGGATCAGGAGGGCATCTGCGTGAGGCCCTGCATGAAAGGGAAATTGGGGCGTAAAGAAAGAATGAATGAATGCAGGCTTTATGTTGAGGGAGCGGCTGGAGAGTTGAGGCCAGTGCAGTGTGGCGTGTGAACGTGAGCGCACACTCTCCGAGCTTTTTCTCTCTTGCCTTAGCGGGTTTGATTTTAAGGGGGGGTTTTTTTTGTTCCATTCAATATTTACAATCAAAATAAATTGACATCGTTTAAAATAGAACTTCGGGTACTTCAAGAGTAATAAATGCCCAAACTGGACAGAAGGGTCTCGGCCGGCAACGTCGGTCACTGACGGGTCGTGTGTTATTTTTTTTAAGTCTTAAGGCGGAGTAAAGTTTCTAACGACTTAATGGTCATCAAGGTCGACAAGAGTTTAAACGCGTGCTGTTAGAATGTGTTTATGCAGTACGCCAGCTTATGTGTGTTCCACTACGCCATAGCATCACCTGGGAAACTTTTAGCAAAATGGGAAAAACTTCAAGCAAGCCTACCTGCTTAGGCCGCAGCTCGTGCGCCGGGAAGGTGGCCGAAGACGAAGCCTACGTGGACGACTTTTACGTCCCGCGCCGAACGGTCTTCGATACCGTCCGACTCAACGACCAGATTGACAGTGTGTCCTCATCCAATGGAACATTGAAGTCTGTGCAGGAAGACTTGAATTTGAACTCCAAGTGCCTGCCTGCCATGCCCAATGGCTCCCTGCAGCGGGATTTAACGAGAAAGGACAGCAAAACCCTGGACAGAGGCAGTTACGCCACCTTGCAGCGGGATTTTGACACGGACAGCTTCCAAGGCACTCTCCGAGGACGGGTTCCGGCAGACCGAAGATCCTGGCGATCCGTTACTGGGCACGAGGTCACCGAAGTGACAGAAGTGATAGAAACGACAATTACGGAAATAATTGAAATCACGGAGTTTCCCGTCACGGTTGGGCGCAGACAAGTGGAGGAGTTCGCCGTTGAGGTTTGCTTCATCGGAAAACCTTTGTTATATGTCCGTAAGTTGTGAATGGTGGTGCGCGTGAATGGTATCTTCGTAATGGTCACCCCATTGTGTGATCTCAGCATTGCATAGCATCGTCCTGTAGCCACAGCAGCCACGAGATGGCGATGCAGCAATATATTCTTAAACCTATTTGTGCGTAACTTTTGTTGGGGTTTTCTTTGAGCACTGTACTTTGGTTTCCTCACACATGCCAGGCACTCATTGATGGAAATTACCAAACTTCCCCATGCATGTATTATGTTGAACTTCTATCGCACAGTACGTGTTTTGAGACTCTGTGAAGATTTCCTGGGTGAAAAGAGAGCGGATTGTTGCCGTTTTTATCTCTTGACTTTCATTACTATTCATGCTCGCCGTGTAAGTTAGTATTTGAACGTGGCCTTGGCCTCCCCTTAGTTAATTTAGAAGGAGTGGGGAGACAAAGACAGCCAAGTTAGGTGCTGTCAAAACCACTTCATCATGTACAGCGCCGGAGTTAATAGTTGCTCGCTAATAGCACTTGTTACAACATTCAGCCTAAATGGGGCATCTTTGTGTATGTGTGTGGAGTGTGTGTTTACACATGTGTGTGCAGCAATTTTGTAATGAAATATATTGGCAAAAAGTTGGCAGTTTGAATTGATATGCTGTGGATGTTGGCAACTGGTGAATAAGACTGGGAGACGAAGTTTCTTGTATTTTTTAAAGAATGAGGACTCTGTAAACCATTCAGTTTACTTTATTTCAGCGTATATATTTGAACTCGGTTATTTATTGCAACTTATCTTTTTTTTGTTCCGACCTTTAATAGTTTAATAATAATACAGGCGCTGTATATTATTAGTCCCACAAATATTGATCCTATTAACATTCTGTTTAAAGGTGTGTTTGTAATTGTTTGATATATTTGGGACACTTAAACACAGATTCTTGCCAAATACGCTCGCAAATGCACCGGTATGTTAGCCAACTACTTGGAATGTTTAGCCAAATTAATTGCAGGCTGCTCCTTGTTAATGTGTAGTGGCTTTTGTGTCGCAATTTTTCTAATGCTGGCCTGGGAAGTGGCAAAGTCCTTCAGATCAAATGAGGCCATTGCACAAAAGGAGCACACAAACACCTGCGTAAATACGGCCTGATTGATGAACAATGAAGAGTAGTGCACATTTGTACTTCTCACAGTGTTGAACGGATTTGAACAGCGTTTGTGCAATATGATAAAAGTGCCGCAACAGGGAGTTTGATTTTGTTTAAAATACGTCCCCGCAAAGTTCCATCCATATGATGAATGCTATTAAAATGTTCGCGACAAGATGGTAGGTTGCGGGTTTGACAAGAATGTTGAGGGAGCTTCGTGCTTTTTCAGTCGACCACGAACCGTATCTTGAAATATGTCTCGACGCGTAGCCTCTCTAACAAAACAAATTTGGCACAGATCAAGACAAACTAAACGTTGGTGTATTTTTTTAGAATATAAGTAACAATAATAAATGAGCAGACAATACTCATTGTTCACATATCTCTCCATCCACATACAAATGTACTTTTTTTGATATCCCATTAGCCACACGGACTTCCAAGATTGCATAATTTTAGCGCCATTGGTTTAACAATAAATCAGTATTGATATACACAGCGCCTCATCAGCACTCAGGCTTGCTTGAACCAATGCGGTAATGTGTCAACGTTTATTTTTTACATGGAGGGACAGATCTGTGAAGGCTTATTGTCTGGCGACTTATTTTGTTACCTGATGATTGTTTTGTGTAATATATTTCACATTATGTGATTCAGTCTCTGTTCAATTAAATATAAATTTATTTTACTTTGCGGTGAAAGTGGCAACCTCCAGCAGGGATAACTTGAAGCAATAACTTACAAGTACGACATTGTAACACAGATTCTTGGTCACACATCCGGATGCGTGTATTTTGAGTGAAAGAGTCATTATTAATCGACGTATCATCAAACCTGGGGTGGTCACGTGAGCCCATTGCACGCAACAGATAAGAATTGAACAACGTTGATCCTAACACGTGCAATATGGTCCTTGCAACACACGCATAAAGATCTATATTAACCGATACATCGTTACACTCCTAGTCCACATATTCATAAAATGTGTTTAGCTCTACATCATTACTGCATTTACTAAAGCCATTCCAACTCATTTTGTTTGGCATCCCCTGCTAGAAGCCATCGCCGCTCGCTTGCTCTCACTCGCTTACCACGGCTGCCGCCTTCTCTGTTTTTTTTGGGTTTCCACAGAGTTTCCAGAAGGGGGAGGTGGAGCCCTTGCAGGTGAGCGTGCAGGAGGTGAACACGCTGGGCCACGGCCTGGTGCAGAGCGCCGCCAAGTCGGTAGCAACGCAGGGCCTGGAGCACGAGCTGGAAGAGACCAACGCTTGCTGGAACACTCTCAACAAAAAGGTGGGCTCCAGCCTCGCGTCCCTCGGGTGCGGTCAGTCCTCGGCTACCCATTGTTTCAGCTGCTGGGCCAGAGGTGGAACCGGCGACCCCCTGGACTCCAAATCCAGTGTGTGCTTTACCGTTACACCATGGCAGAATCCCTTGTGTTTTGTGCTGTTGTTAAATCGCCGTGTTGGGTTTTCAGGTGGCCGAGCGAGCTGTGCAGTTGCAGAGGGCCCTGCTGCATTGTGGGAAGTTCCAGGATGCCCTGGAGTCTCTGTTGAGCTGGCTCGCCGACACAGAAGAGCTCATAGCCAATCAGAAGCCTCCCTCGGCTGAGTACAAGGTGGTCAAGGCTCAGATCCAGGAGCAGAAGGTACAGCAATGTCTGTTGTTGTTTCACTTCATATCCTTTGTCTGTACACGTGAAGGACAACGTTTCATATCCGACTCTCTGGGGACTGAGGTTTAATGGGAAGTGTTGAAAGTTCAGATATGTGAACTGTAGTAGATGAGATTTACTCCATGTACAATTAGGTTACTGGACAAGAATAAAGCGCAAACTGCTTTCAACATGGGAAAAAGCTTCACTATAATTAAGCAAATGTAGACCGCGAGATTTGTTAGTTAATCTTCTTCATCCCTTATGGCACATGAGGCCACAATGAGTTCCCTCCACTTGCTTCCTGTCCTTGGCAACACGTTGAGCGTCGCCCCAAGAGAGGCTGGTCGCTGCCACCAGCTCCTACTTCACGGCCCTGCGCCACGTGGCCTCGGGTCTCCCAGGTTTCATTTTGCCCGGTGGTGTCCATCTTCGGGCAATTTTGGGTGTACGGTCCTGGTCCATTCTGAGGAGGACATGTCCGAGCCATCTGAGTCGCCGTCTCTCGATGTCCTGTGTGATGTTAGGACAACCGGTCTCCCTGTACAGTTCAGTGTTGTGGATTTTGTTTGGCCAGAAGATGCAACAGATTCTCCTGAGGCACCTGTGTATCGAGATTAGGAATACATTACTGCGTGTGAAGAGGTTGGATTGGTGACCATCCGTAAATACTCCACCAGGGTGCTTTATCGGTCATGGCGGATACGTGACATTGTACTGTGTTCAACTATTACCATTCCATAGGTATCCCTCTTTAAAATATCATTTTCATGATCTTATGATCTTTTTGCATTAAATCTTCACCAGATATACAAAAAAAAATCCATATTTTGACTGCTCAAGGATCTTAATAAGCAACCTGTATTATTGATCCTGTGAGCCCAGGGTATAGTGCATGCATTGCAATATATAAAAAAAATAAAAGACATTTGTTTTAAATATGACTCATGCCTGCAATTATTACTCTCTGAGATGAAAAGATAAATACGCAGGTCATAGAAACATAACGCAAATTCGAGACGCTGCATTTACCGTAAAATAAAGTGGGCTTGGGCAGGACACTGTCACGAGAATGGATGGTGACTAGCGGACAAGGCTGCTGATGGAATCATAGCCGAAGGCGTGAACATACGGGGATGAAGCAAAGCTCTTTGGTTTGTCTGCTTCTCTCTCTGTGTCCCCTGTTGTAACTGTGTTAGTTCCCCCTACTTGGGTGTCTGTATATATACATCTGAGGTTATGTGTTTCCCCTCTCTCGTGAATTTTAGCTCTTCTGTACCTGATGATGGCTGCTTGTGTTGCAACCGAAACGTCGTACGCTATTATGTTATTTTATTATTTCTTATTTCTAAGTGACTTTACCGAAAAAAACAAAGAGTAATTCCTGCAGTCACGAAAGCTTCAAATCAAGTATGAAGCAAAGCGTTTAGCTGTTGTGCAGGAGCTAGATGAAACCTTGATCCAGAAATGGATCACTCCGTCGAGATGGCAAGGACAGCTGTTTAAAACATTTCTCTGAAACCCACGATTCACACAGCTGCCGACCGTAGTGCATGTGTTGCTTCGTGGTGCCGGGGGCCAGGGCGGATGTCATCATTTGTTCTTTCTGCGATAGCTCCTGGCGCTGCTGTTGGACGACCGCAAGCACAGCATCGAGGTGATCCGCAAAGAGGGGCAGCAAATCGCAGACTCGGCCGACGCTCCCGACAAGGAGAAGATCCTCAAGCAGCTGTCCAGCCTGGGCCGCCGTTGGGAGGCCCTCACCTCCAAGGCCGATGCCAGGTGCTCGTCGGGATTGCATGGCAGCGTTGAGCAGGACAGACGGACAGTCCAGCCATAATACAGGTTTTCTTTGGGGGGTTAGATCACCCGACACAGCCAACTAGTGAGGGTTGTCACGTAAACGGAACATACCAATTCGTTACCAGTACAGCACACCGGCGTGTTGGAGAGCCAAGCCACAACATTTACAATCTTGAGTATGACGTTTCGCCAGTAATTATAACTAGCTTCATCAGGCGACAGCCAGATTTGTGAACAAGTGTTTTGTTCCTTAAATAGAGGGGTAGATGTGATGACAAAACCTGTGCTCTCCTTGCACGAAGTGGGGGGGGGGCATTAATGATTGCTTATAAGTCCAGCCAGAGACAATAAATGTGTCACGACACTGGCTTCCGGCACACTCTACGAAAGACCGTAGTAGATCGTTGTACTTTTGCAAACGTACGCATTCGTACTTGAAATCGGTTGTAATATTTATTTATCTCTTTTCAGCAGCCACTAAGTTTAGAATGTGCTCTATTGGACGTTAATGGGCAACGTCCATTTAAACAGACATAAGTCCATCTCGCCGCATGAAAATAGATTGTTTTGTCCCGCGACAAGACTTTAAATATTCGTAAACATTTTTACTTATCGTAAAACATCCTGCAGAGTTAAAACAAGTGTGACCACTTAAGGGTTAAACGCCGTTCGGTCAGCGCTTTTCCAACGAGTTCTCACAAGCGGTCTCATCCCGGTTGTGTCTGCAATGCAGGCAGAAGCAGCTGGAGGGGATTCTGGTGGTGGCTCAGCAGTTCCACGAGACACTGGAGCCATTGTCGGAGTGGCTGAGCGGCACGGAGAAGAAGCTGTCCAACCTGGAGCCGATCGGCACTCAGGCCATCAAGATCCAGCAGCAAATCAGTCAACACAAGGTGTGGGATCCTGGCTGTCCCAGCCCAGGATGTTTTTAATCTTTCTTGTACTAAACAGCGGGCGCTGTTGTGGTGCAACTCCTTCCGTTGCACCACAACATAAGATGTTTTCTCATCTTATGTTGTGGTGCATGAGAAGTTTAACATATATACAGGTTGACTAATAATCGCTTTTTTTTTACTAAATAAATTGTCTATTGTGTGTTTTATTATGACCGCCAAACATCAAGCTGCCTACCATTGTTAATTCTTCGTAATTTATTTGCTTCAGTTTGTGCTTGTGTCTCGCGCCTTTGTTGTCATCGTTTACCATCAAGTTTCCTTTATTTACGTTTTCATTCCTTTTATGTTTGCTCGCTCATCACAAAAAAACACATGCACTATTCCACGTGGGTGTCATGTGACACCACAACACAACACAAACCAAAAAAACGAAAACGAAACCGGACAAAATCGCCGCCGGCTTCCATCGCGCGCCGCAGTCTCTGGAGGAGGACGTCAACGCTCGGAGCAAACCACTGCACCAGCTGCTCGGCCTGGGCCAGGCCCTGAAGGCATCGAGCGGCGGGGGCGAGCGCGAGGCCGTGCAGGTGCAGCTGGAGCAGGTGCAGGCTCGCTACCTGGAGACGGCCGAACGCACCAGGCGCCGCGGGGAGCTGCTGGGCCAGGCGCTGGCGCACGCGCGTCTGTTCGGAGACGATGAGGTGGAGCTGCTCAATTGGCTGGCCGAGGCGCAGGACCGGCTGGCCGACATGTCCCCCGGCGATCACCAGCCGGACGTGCTGCAGGCTCAGCATGATGAGCACCTGGTAGCGTTGCCCGTCGGACCCCACAGCACCTCACTCGCGCCCCTCTCATTTTCATTTCAGTTTTTTTTTTTCCCCTTGCGTTGAAACGTACGTGTCATTTTTGCATTCTGATCGTTTTCGCTTTTTTTGGTCACCCGTAATGTCTTCATGTGATTTGTTTTTTCTGGTGCGCGTTTGGTGGCGGGGTTGTTTGTTGAGTGGGGTTGCTTGCGGTTGGCTCGGGAATTGCGCTAAATGTCCAGGGTGTATTTTCAGAGCCTTCATGAGGAGATCGTCTCACGGAAGCAGACGGTCGACCAGGCGATTAAGAACGGACAAAACCTTCTCAAGCAAACCACAGGTGGGCGTTTGTTCTGGAACAAATTGAATTTAGTTCCCGCTCATGATTACATCTTTTTTACCATCACTTTATTCTAATAAGGGATTTCCTACTCAAATGAGCATTGAGGCGGTGCTCATCTCCCGATCAGACAGCGGTAGAAATTCTACATTTGTCCAAATTGCTTACGTACTTAACTCGCTATCTTCCCCGATTTCTTGTACACGAGGACAAACAAATGAGAAACACGGTCACTGTAACAAAGAGCTCTGCTTGCCCGAAATGTCCGTGGTGCAGGCGATGAGATTCTCACCATCCAGGAGAAGTTGGACGGCATAAAGTCTCGCTACGCCGAGATCACGGGCAGCAGCACACGCGCCCTCAAAACGCTCGAGAAGGCCCTGCACCTCGCCACCAAGTTCCACGGCACCCACCGGGAGCTCAACGAATGGCTGGGCCATGCCGAGAGCGAGATGGCTACCTGCGACACGCGCCTGGCCGTGGGCGAGCAGCTCGCCGCGATGCAGGACCGCGTCAACGTGAGCTTCTTCCCGCACCCAACGTCGCAGCAGCGCCGCCACCGCTGGCGCTTGCTCCACGTTACGGGCTGTTGATGATCATGAGATGGGAATCATTTTAAAACTTTTTGTCGGTCCATTGCTCAGTGAAGGTCCTCCCCATGCCGTGTCTTTCATGGGGGTTATTTGTCGAAACTTTACCGTGATAGTTGCGAGCATCCCATGTCCGGATTAAATATCTTAACCTTGGCCGGGATTCTAACTCAGGTCACCGGGTTCATATTACGGTGTGCTAAGAGCTGTGCCGCTGCTCCGCCACGACTCGCATTATTCGATAGAAAAACGCCATATTCATCGTAGACTTATATTCCGTTTTTACAGATATTATTGAATATGTGCACCACATCTCTTCACGTACAAATTAAGCATTCCGCGTTGACGAATCCCACACGGCGCGGCGCAAGTTTTCATTGGCATGAGATCCGGAACAAACAGCAGTCGGGGCGACCGACGAGCAGCCCGAGGCGTCCTCGCAACACCAAATCCGTCCGATACCCCTCCCACCACCGCCGCCGCAGACGCTGCACAAGGACGTGATGGAGCGGCGGCTGACGCTCGACACGGTGAACGAGGTGAGCAGCGCCCTGCTCGAGCTGGTGCCGTGGCGTGCCCGCGAGGGCCTCGACCGCCTCGTGGCCGAGGACAACTCGCGCTACCGCGTCGTGAGCGACGCCGTCGCGCGCAAGACGGACGAGCTGGACGCCGCCGTCCAGCGCTCGCAGCAGTTCGAGCAGACGGCCGACAACGAGCTGGCGTGGGTCGCGGAGACGGAGCGCAAGCTGCGCGCCCTCGGCGACGTCAGCCTCGAGCAGGACACCACCACGTCGCAGCTGCAAGTCCAGAAGGTGGGGTGTGGGGGGGGGGGGGCACTCTCTCTTGCCTCGGCGAGCCGGATATTCGCGTGAGTCAGCACGGCCGTATTACAGTAGCCTCTTTCAAGTCCGCCTGGTATTAGTGGGCCGAATTTTATTTTATTTTGTATTCCTCTCACTTTATTCATTTCTCTTTTAACATCTTATTGCTGATGGAAGAAAGGTGAGCCCGTTGATTTCCATGTTTTGCCTTTTAGAACTGTTGTCAAAAGTAAATTTGATTCTTGCTCAAATGCGCGTCGAGGCAGTGCTCATCTCCTGTTCACAACCCTGAGAAAATGGTGGAAACTCCACATTCATATGGCAGGGGTGAGTCTGCCCTTAAGACAAACGCTTTTGACTTCCCCGCAAAGTTGTGCTTATTTTACCGACTCCAGAGAGATGATGGGCTGAGACAACCGCCCAACCAGGAATTGAACTAGTAACCTGATTACGCGCCGCTCGCTCTACCACTAACACTGAGCCTCACCTGGCTGGATCGACGTTGTAACTGCTCATCATGTGAATGGATGCTTATTTGTTTCTTCTGTTTTTGCCTTCAGGCGTTCACCATCGATATTCTTAGACACAAGGACTCCATTGATCAGTTGGTGAAGACTGGCGATGAGCTGAAAGTCTCATGCAGTGAAGAAGAGAAAGCTGCCATGGAGGTATTTTCCATACTTGGTTTAGATCAACATTATTCTTTTTAAAAAATGAAGGGCATCAGATCGTTATTTATTATATTATAATACTATTATACAAGTTCTTGCATTCCAAACCCTATATAGTTTGGTGGCATTTCAAGTGAACTCCCTGTTTGCAAATGCCAAATTATGATCGTCCCACAAAATTAATTAAACTTGCATGAAATGTACAGATAGCGCATTGTGCATCCAACGAATACAGGAAGTTAATCACAAAGTAAGAGTGAATGAATCGAATCAAGATACGTTTTTTTTTTTATGTTGAACCTTTTCCAGCAACAACATTTAAGAAATGGTCAGTATCAGTAACAACTAGCCAGCAGAAATATCCAACCTGTCGTTGGCGAATGGGGGAGAAACGTGATGAACGAGTTCGGGTTCAAACCCTAAGCAGGGATCTTGCGGTGCGGCCAGTCACGGGGTGGAATTTGTGCGATGGTCCCCTGCAGAGCAAGCTCGCTTCCCTGCTGGAGCATTACGACGTGGTGAGCCGGCTGAACACCGGGCGCCTCAGCCAGCTGGAGCGCGCCCAGCTGCTGTCCACCCAGTTCTGGGAGACCTACGAAGAGCTCATGCCCTGGCTGGTCGAGACCAGAGAGTCGCTCGGTCACCTGCCGCCGCCCTCCATCGAGCAGGAGACCCTGCGGCAGCAGCAGGAGGAGCTGCGGGTGAGCGCTTTGCGGCTTTGTGCAGTTTGCAGTGGCAGGGGTGGCCAGCTGGGAATCAGGTGGAGGGGGCGGGGGGGGGTGGTGCACCTCCGATTAGGACAGTTGGCTACGTACGATATGAAAGAAGTTCGACATACATAGACTCACACAGAGACTCATAGACTCACACAGAGACCCATAGTTTGTTGTTCTTCCCCCACACCTCCGATTAGCACGTTTGGCGACCACGTACGGTGCGGAAGAAGTTCAGCATAAATGCATGCGTGCATTCGTGCTCGGGCTAAGAGCTGTCAGAAACGACGAGCGTCTTTTGTTGCCAGTGGTTAGCTCGGTGGAGCCACTGGACATAGCCAAATTGATATCACTAAGGGAAGGTACAATGATATAACGTAACGTGAGACCCTGTCTTAAAATTAGGTGGCTTTTTTGCAGTTTCTATTTGCTTCGTTGCAATATTTTAGAATTTTTGTCATTTTGGTGACCTAGGTGTCTCGTGTAAATGAGACTATCCTGGTCACTTGGGTTCTCACTTGGTTAAAGCAATTAAACTTGAACTTTTAACTAATTTTAGAGGGCAGGCCACTTCTTGATTAGGATTACCAACCAAACAGCCCATTCCGCCCAAGTGACTTTAGGTAGCAATCAAGTAAGTTGGACACTGTCAACTAGAATAAACTAAAAGATGCATCAGGAATAATATCGATCATTTTTTAAATGTTGGGTTTTAAATTTGTAGAATTTAGCATTCACAAAATTAATTGTTCAATTATCTTTATATTGCAATGCAATGTCACGTATCGAAGGCTTGTTAAAGTCTCAATTAATGTATTATTTATTGGCACTCCAGCTATGCATTAACTTGACGTGATCAAAGGCCACGTTACGATTTAAAACATCAATGATAATTTTCAAATTTTTACCTTCTAGTTTTTTTTATTGTCGCTCACCCACTCCACCGGCCGCTAACGATGAGCTACCACTAACCATCCACTGTTCCCAACTCTCAACGTGGGGGCCCCCCTTCTTCCCCAATCGCTCCACCTCTTAGCAATTGCGGGAGTCCATCGCGGAGCACAAGCCGTACGTGGACAAGCTGAAGAAGATCGGTCCGCAGCTGGAGGAGCTGAGCCTGTCGGAGGGGCCGGCGCTGCGCGAGAAGTACACGGGCGCCGAGCGGCTGTTCGAGGCAATCCGCGAGGACGTGCGGCTGCGCGCGCTCGGCCTGGATGAGGCCCTGTCCCAGTCGTCGCAGGTGCGGGCTGCCCCCTTAGCGTTCATTTTTTTTCTTTCACTATTTTTATTTCACCAGGTGTAAGGCCCACTGAGGTATGCATAGCTCTTTTTTTATCGGAAGCGGCCAGGCCACAGGTGACAGCTCGGTGTGAAAGTGGATTATTGCGTGGACATTTATAGCAGCCGAATACTCGTGAAAGCACGTTGATTCTAAAGGTGGAGGGACTAAACCGGGGGGACCCGGAGAAAATTCCACGCCACCACAGGGAGAGGGAACACGCAAACTCCAAATGAACAGGCGTCAAGGTCGGGATCGAACCCACGACCTCCTGTATACCACGCGAGGTAGTTAACATCTCGCCACCGTGGCACCCCCTCGTATTTGCGTCCCCACCATCGCCGCGTGACTCGCAAGGAGGACAGTGGGGCGGAGTATAAGTTACGTGCACACAAGTAGAATTATATTGAGCTGGATGTTAAAACAACGACTTACCGAGTTCCTGGTATGGTACTTATTTCAAACGTTTAACAATTGATGATGTCATACACGTACCGTTCGAAAATATAGGCGCAAATTGTTGACTATGCCATACAGTCCCAGTGTAGATTTTGGTTTACCTTGCCTAGTATGGTGATTGATGAAAGATGATGGATGCGTGAAACTATTAATTGTTTGAATAACTCGAGTGAATGTGCCGTCTTTTGTTTTGTGAAAACTAAACTACGTCTTTATGTGTACCTTTCCCATGATCCTCTTGTATTAATAGCCAGCAACTGTGTTTGCTGGTTTTTGTGTCTTACGATACAAGCCACCAATTTTAGTGGTTACTATGCTACTAATTTCACGTCCTGATATTCATATATACGTAATTTAAAATGTTGTCTGCTGGTCATTTATTAGTTAAATAATAAAACAATAACAACAATCACCCACTAACATAAATCTTGGTTTAAACTTAAGGCTGATAATCCCTTCATGATTCACTTCATTTCCATTTTATGTCTGGCTCTGTACCAAATTCACAAGGACAATATTTCATTCTATATGCTATTATCCAAAATAATACATGTGCTCCGTATGGTTGCATGTGCTCCGACCATCTGAAATGCGTTTTTGGGCATATCCAACCATGTCCGATGGAAGATTAAACAAATGGCAGTGAAGCATTCTTTGCATTTAACACATTATAATTAAATGCTGCCATGATGTGATCCTGGTCTACTGCATGCCTTGCAAATATCTTCCTGCCTAACATGTTGATTTCTTGAATTCTGTGTTGCATGAGGACTTAATCTATCACATCGCTACGCTGTTTGCTTTTCTGTGCATTCTTCTGCTTGGATCTCTGAATGGCTTCTACTGATGTTCAGATTAAAGAGGTAAGTGTATTTCAGTCTGACCGTTATTCGCAACATAACCGTCTGCAAAGTGCTGCTAGTTTTGTAAACTCCTTTAAGAGGCAGTTGTCTGTTGTTTTTTTTCATCTGTTGACAAGTACTCGTATATATTTGTACACGCGCAAAAACAAATCACGTGCCCTGTTGGTCCACTTTGGCTGTAGTTCCACGACAAGATGGACGTGATGCTGGAAGGCCTGGGCAGGATCATCGAGCGGCTGCGGATGCCACCACCCATTCCGGCCGAGGCAGAGAAGATCAAGGAGCAGCTCGCAGAGAACAAGAACATAGCTCTGGAGCTGGAGAAGCTCCAGCCAATGTTCAACCTCCTCAAGGAGAGCGGCGAGGAGCTCGTGGGCCTCTCTGGGGGCGCCGAGAAGGAGCTCAATGCTAAAGGTTTGTTTACTTTGCCACTGAGTGGCCACCCTTGTTGGAATTCGAATATTTATTTATATACTTGAGGACTCCAATGAGCCACAAAGCTCTTTATCCCAGATGTCCAGTATGGGAAATGGGCGTCGACACTTCAACGACCCCGTTGCGTTAGAATAGGGAACAAAATTTGGCCCGACTATTGTTGCCTTTGGAAGTTTTGTGGAGAGTAATTTGTGTATTCTTTTGACGTCAATTGCATAAGTACACATGCGAATATCTATTTTGAATATTTAATGGTTGCATTCTTGAGGTTGAAAATTTGTCGTGACATTTACAATTTTGCACAAAGCATGGTCCAGTATAATAGTTGCTAGGCCTGTAACGAATCACCATGCTCCAGGGATTCACAGACTTGACACGATTATAGACCGTGATTTGATTAAACGTCAATGATTATTTTCTCATTTTTGCCATCTAGTTTGTATTGTACAGTTTCGTTATTTCCATTAGTCTATAAAATTAGCATAACATTTGATACATGGTGTATACATTCTAAATATTACCTTTCTTGAAGAATTAATGTATGTATTCTGCGTGTAAGAATTAATTTAAATTGGCAAATCATTGCATGCGTGCTCGCCTTAAATATTCACCAATATGAGCCTCTACCAATGACCCAATCACCCAGAATACACTCGACCTCATGAGCTAGGCAGGGTTGATCTTAGTGCTTGGGGCGGGCAACCACCATGCACACTAGGTTGTCCAAATCCATTGCTGCACTGTGCTTTTGTTCTCCCTGTCTTCACCACCCTGCACTGACCCGTGTGATTAAAGTTTGACCAAATGATCCCCATGACCCCCACACGGTGTGGCGATGCCCCTCGTCCATCAGTGTATTCACGAGATGGCTTTACACGTAAACTCCAGTCATCCTCGCAGCAGCGGCTTTTGACTAACCCATTGAACAAAGACGGTCACCACATCGCACTCTTTCAGATCCGCTTTTGCGCTCTTCCGAGATTAGGAAGCCACTGGAGCTACACACTTTCAAGTCTAAATTTTAAATTAATTTCTTTAGAACTGCTTTTTGTGTTTCGTTTGTTGGCCTTCCCCCCGCACCTCCGATTAGCACGGTTGGCTGCATACGGTGTGAAATAAATTCTACATACGTACATAGACTGACACAGAGACCCATAGACATGCATTGACCCATCGTTTGTTGTCCTTCCCCTGCACCTCTGATTATCACGGTTGGCTACGTACCATGCGAAATAAGTTAAACATAAATGCATACATATTGGAGTGTGTGTTGCTGGCCATCCCCCCCCCCTTTGTAATGACGCAGCCATCAAGGACAAGCTGGGCCAGATGCTGTCGCTGTGGGAGGAGATCCAGTCTCGCTCGGAGGAGCGGGAGAACCGTCTCCTGGATGTGCTGGACCTGGCTGAGCGCTTCTGGACCGACCTGGGCACCATGCTGGCCACTCTGAAAGAGACGCGCGAGTACATGCAGGACCTGGAGGAGCTGGGCGTGGACCCATCGCTCATCAAGCAGCAGGAGGAGTACATGCTGGTACGCGCGCGCCGCTGTGGGTCAAGGGCAAGGTCCCGTCGTGGCCAGCGCTATCGATACCGCCACACCCTGCCGCTCTCTGTACTTCTCCTGTGTCACGTGATCCTCCGATATGTGTTATTGGGTCGTTACCGCGTGTTGTTTGTCACGGTGTCTGACGTTTCGCTGCTTACGTGATGGCGAACAGCGTGCGGCACGACCCGGAAGCGCATTGGAGAGATCTACAGCACAACTGTAAATCCTACGCAGTAGCTTAACTCGGTATTGTGAAGTCAATGTCAAACCCTCAAGGTTTCCTCTCCCAGTATCCCACCATCTAGTTGTTGGTCTTCAAACTAATTTACTGACCTTTGCATCCCCACTCTAATGCCTTGTGTGGGCAGTTTAATGGCTCAACATTTCTATTGTTTTAATGAAAGTCATAGATATAAAATGAAATGCAGCGGTACTAACAGACAACCTGTTGTGTATCAATCAGGCTAACAAGAATGACATCGATGGATTCCAAGAGGACCTTGAGATTCTGAGGTATCTGGGAACAAATCTGATATCAGCTTGCGGAGAACCGGACAAGCCTGAAGTGAAGAAGAGCATCGATGAGGTATGATTACACACCCAAACTTTATTTTAAACATGAAATCCAAACTACGTCACACACACTTAACGTTAATTGATCAAACAATGTCTGTTGTGCCGATTAAAGTCCCTTTGAATTATTTACATGTCATTGAATGCGTGAATCCATCAAATATTGTTGTTTTTTTTGTACTGATGGCACTGCCACTATGCACTGTTTTTTTAAAGATGAATTCTTCCTGGGATCGGCTGAACAAATGCTGGAAGGACCGCATGGACAAATTGGAGGAGGCTATGAAGACAGCCATGCAATACCAGGATGCATTGCAGGTTGGGCAGCTCATCCGTTCGTTCATTCCTCCACAACTCTTGCATGTGCCTGCACCGCTTGTGCGAAGGTCGGTCGAAATCCTGACAGAATTAGGCCAATGATTGGTCTCGCCAACATATTGTTAGGCTCGTTTATGCTTTCACATAATATACTATCAAAACTGTTTCATAACAACACAATGGCAATGATTTTTTTTAAATAGAGCAGTAAGATTGAGCCTAACATAATTAGCAATCAACGGGTTTTGTTCAGTAACTGACGGCTTCTCGTCTCTGAGGAGGTGTTTTCATGCTGTGCCTGAGCAAAGCGGAAAGAAACGCGCACTCAGCTTTTATCTACCCGCCACGACGCACATGGTGTGTGGAGAACCCTCATCCAGCAGTGGATTGACGAAGAGGGTTGCACGTGTATCCGCGTAAGGATGTTGCGTCCACCGGGCACTTGAATGCCCCAGCAACTCGGAGAGGCTTACATCTCATCTCAACCATTCCAGTGCCTTGCTGCAGTCGAGCCAAACGGGTACCCCCTCTCCCCCACCCTCGCGTCCCCCTCGCCCCCCACCCATCTCCCCCAGCAGTGGCGGCTGTCTAGGTGCGGCACGCGGTGCACGCGGCCGGTCCACAATTGCGATTGCGCTGTTGCGGCACTGGACGTCTTAATTGAAAGAGGGGCTTCCGTAGCTCATCGGATTCCTCCAGTCCAAATTCAAAGATTCTCTGACGCACGATAACTGTGCGCGCTGCGTAACTCGACAGAGCATGTTCGACTGGGTGGAGAACGCCACGACGGAGATGGAAAACCTGCCGCCTGTAGGAACAGACCTGGAGACGGTCAAGCGGCAGATGGAGGATCTCAAGGTGAGGGGCCGCGCATTTCCCTGCGTTAGGGTTTCTTCTCCTTCTCGTCGCGTTTAGTCGGGGGGTGGCGGCTCTGAATCTCATTCGCCACTCCGCCGCGTGAGCGGCAGCCTCACGGCTTCGGCAAACGCTCGCCCGTATTCCCCTCGATCTGGTCTCTCCCGTCTGATGGTGTATGTGGAGGGTATGTGTAGATGTACGTATCCTTTATTGTTACGATCTGAGAGCAAGAGTCTCTTCTGCAGGGGAGACCTGAACCGCAAAGCAATGCAATAAAATATGTAAACAAATAAGCGAAATATCTAACAACCGTGAACATAATGACAAGCTGACAGACTTAATTATGAGTAATGAATGAACAGGACACAATAATGCATTTTATATATAAAAAAATACCACTTCATCTCCAGGAAGATGCATTTTAGCTATATAATTGGCATAGAATGATGTTCTTATTACGTGCATGTTTTAAAGGTAAAAAAATAAATGCTTTCTGAATGCCGTTTGATGAAGCTGGGACGTCGTTTCCTGTTCCCTTTTTGCAGCAACTGAAAACCGAGAGCTACCAGCAGCAGATCGAGATGGAGCGTCTGAGCCACCAGGGCGAGCTGATGCTCAAGAGGGTGAAGGAGGAGGAGAACCGCATGGTGATCGCGGGGCCGCTCCGTGACCTCAAGGAGCAGTGGGAGACCCTCGACACCAAAATACTCAACAGACAGGTGCACGAGCATTGGCCGAGTTTGCAGCTCTTTTAAGGGTTCTACATGTCGAGTTGGACTCAATGGGAAGTGTATGAATTGACTTGCAATTCCGAGATGGCTGGTTCGATCTCATGAGATAATGTTTTGTAGACCTAATCGTTGCATGAATTTGGAAAAGTGACGTCTATCATTTTAATGTTTCTATGAATTGCGAGCGTCCTTGTAGGAAGTGTCGATGTCAGCCTGCCACTCAGTCACAGCACTTGTGTAATTTTAATTTTAAGAGAAAGAGAAGGAACCGGGAACGTCTAGTATTGATGATTAGCTATGCATGACCTATGACCTTGGGCGAGTTCTGAAACCGTGACGGCAAACTTTCTCCGTACGAATGGCTGTGAATAGTGCACTGCCCGGTGGACAAAGCAGGTATTGCTCATGATGTAAAATGTGGCTGGGTAGTGGAGGGCAGAGCGGAAAAAGGCTTGAGGTCACTCACGCGTTGCCATTTTTATTGACAATTGTAGATCGGAATAAAAATCACCCCATCTGATTGATTGGCTGGTACCACCACCTCTGCATTTTTCGCGGCATTTGTTTAAGTACCTTTCGCTCTCTGGTACGTTTTTGGGTTGTACCATGCGTGTTGTTCGGCGTGCTGTCCGACGTTTCGCTCCACGTGCCGGGAGCTACTCCCAGCACGCGGAGTAAAACGTCAGCAATCAAGCTGAAAAACACGCGGCACAACCAGGAAATCTCCATACACCATAAGCACCCTGTACAGGACAACCTCAGAAACTAAACTAAAACTTTTCCCAGGTACAATGAAGTTGCTTATCATGTGGAAATTTATAGCAGCCAAATGCTCTTAAAAAGATGTGTCTAAATGTAGAGGCAAAAGCCGGAGGACCTGGAGAAAAATCCAAGTGACCAACCATTGAGAGATATGCAAACTCCAAATATGCAGGCGTCAGGATCAGGATCGATCCCACGACCTCCTGTATACCAGGCGAGGTAGTTAACATCTCGCCACCGTGACGTCCATGCGCTGTCATCCCCCAGCTTGTGCGTCTAGCACTGCAGTGCCGTCCGTGGGGGGTCTTGATGCGAAGTCCCTGCCGTGTTCCGGAACATTCGATTGACGAGCGTGTGATCCCGCGTGCAATGCAGCACAAGATGGAGGCGGCGCTGCTGGCCCTGGGGCAGTTCCAGCACGCGCTGGACGAGCTGCTCACCTGGCTGGAGCACACCGAGGGCCTCCTGGAGGAGCAGAAACCCGTCGCCAACGAGCCCAAGGCCATCGAGATCGAGCTGGCCAAACACCACGTACGCGGAAACGCTTTGACACGCTTTGACACACTTTGACACGCTTTGACACGCACACGTCCGGCGGGTCGGCGACCTGCGGCTCCGTCGCTGCGTGCGGCTCTTTAAGCTACCGCTTGGTGACATTGTTCACGTGCGTTGCGGCTCTTTAAGCTACCGCTTGGTGACATTGTTCACGTGCATTGTGGCTCTTTAAGCAGCCGCTTGGTGACATTGTTCACGTGCGTTGTGGCTCTTTAAGCTACAGCTTGGTGACATTGTTCACGTGCGTTGTGGCTCTTTAAGCTTCCGCTTGGTGACATTGTTCACGTGCATTGCGGCTCTTTAAGCTACCGCTAGGTGACATTGTTCACGTGCATTGCGGCTCTTTAAGCTACCGCTTGGTGACATTGTTCGCGTGCGTTGCGGCTCTTTAACCAACCGCTTGGTGACATTGTTCACGTGCGTTGCGGCTCTTTAAGCTACAGCTTGGTGACATTGTTCACGTGCGTTGTGGCTCTTTAAGCTACAGCTTGGTGACATTGTTCACGTGCGTTGTGGCTCTTTAAGCTTCCGCTTGGTGACATTGTTCACGTGCGTTGCGGCTCTTTAAGCTTCCGCTTGGTGACATTGTTCACGTGCGTTGTGGCTCTTTAAGCTGCCGCTTGGTGACATTGTTGACGTGCGTTGTGGCTCTTTAAGCTACCGCTTGGTGACATTGTTCACGTGCGTTGTGGCTCTTTAAGCTACAGCTTGGTGACATTGTTCACGTGCGTTGTGGCTCTTTAAGCTTCCGCTTGGTGACATTGTTCACGTGCGTTGTGGCTCTTTAAGCTACCGCTTGGTGACATTGTTCACGTGCGTTGTGGCTCTTTAAGCAGCCGCTTGGTGACATTGTTCACGTGCATTGTGGCTCTTTAAGCTACCGCTTGGTGACATTGTTCACGTGCGTTGTGGCTCTTTAAGCTACAGCTTGGTGACATTGTTCACGTGCGTTGTGGCTCTTTAAGCTTCCGCTTGGTGACATTGTTCACGTGCGTTGTGGCTCTTCAAGCTACCGCTTGGTGACATTGTTCACGTGCGTTGTGGCTCTTTAAGCTACAGCTTGGTGACATTGTTCACGTGCGTTGTGGCTCTTTAAGCTTCCGCTTGGTGACATTGTTCACGTGCGTTGTGGCTCTTTAAGCTGCCGCTTGGTGACATTGTTCACGTGCGTTGTGGCTCTTTAAGCTACCGCTTGGTGACATTGTTCACGTGCGTTGTGGCTCTTTAAGCTACCGCTTGGTGACATTGTTCACGTGCATTGTGGCTCTTTAAGCAGCCGCTTGGTGACATTGTTCACGTGCGTTGCGGCTCTTGAAATATTCCTGGCTTTTTTAGATATTTTTTTTACCTAATTCGACAAAATAATGCCTCTTGTTATTTTGGTTGCCACAACCTCTGCACGCGCCCAAACCCCCCCTCACTTTCAGGCCTCGTTTAACCTCCTTTCACCGTCGCCCGGATATATTTCGAATTGGTAAACGTTTCGGAGCGGAGTTGTCTTGCCCAGGATTTTACGTACTCTCCGTCATCATCACCTCATGTTTAAATGACAAGAGTACCTACTGATAGATTGTCTTTGTGTTTTTTATCCAAGAGCCCGGTTGACATCGGAAGTATCTTTTGCGAGAGAGAGATGGGGATTCAAATAAGTGCATCGTACAGCAAACGGATTCCACAGGATAAACTATTTGAAATGCAGAAATTAAACAAGTAATGCTAACAGACTGAAAGAGAACATGCAGAATAACAAAAAACTGGTTCCAAGTGAAAATAAAGAAAAATGAACGGCAAAATCAAAACACGGAACAAATATAAATACGTAATTTTGGTTTAAAGCAATTTAAAATACAATAAGGATGAATGTACGCAAAACGTCCCAAAATTCCAAGTCATTGTCATTCCTTTCGCGTAGTCTATCGGACAGGTCACGTCAATGCAACGCCAAACTTAGGCCAGCTTATCAGAAGACGGCCTCCAACGATGCAGCTACGCGAGTGACTCCGCTGTGGCGCATGTCACACCGATGACCCCAGAGTAGCAGTAGTAGTAGACACAAGCATTTGGCTAGGATCCGGCGCTCGACGTCGGCCCCCCCAACGACGCCCGAGCGACTCCCCACGCTTGACGTGGCCCTGCCCCCCGCCCCCTCCCCCGCCCCCCCCCCCGCCGCAGGTGTTGCGTAACGACGTGCTGGCGCACCAGTCGACGGTCGGCACGGTGCAGCGCGCCGGCCAGGACCTCGTGCTCTCGAGCTCCGGTGCCGAGGCCAGCGGCCTGCAGGGTCGGCTCGACGACCTCGCCGCGCGCTGGGAGAGCGTGCTGAGCTGCACCGAGCAGCGGCAGGCCCAGCTGGAGGGCTCCCTGCGCAAGGTGCGCGCCACCTTCGCTACTAGACGCCGTGTCGCGTGTCGCGATCCGGACGACGCGCTATCGCGTCGCGTCCGCACTGCGTGCTAACCCTTTTCCCAGTCCGACGACGGAGCGCACGCGTACGTCAACGAAACGAAACCGGAAGGAAAACTTAACTGAAGTAGGTTTCATCAGTACCGCGGCTTTCCACAAGGCCATGCGGGAGGGTTGCGTGGTGCAGTTTGGCGCCAACTATCGTAGAGTGCGGTTGTGTCACTACAGTTCTCTGCGGTGAGTACAATGTCTTTAATAACAACGGTGCTATGCCTCTGAGCCGCTTGCACTTTCCGAGATTCAGAGGTGAACGGGACACCCACCCTGCAACTTGAGGGCTTCTCGGAACGGGAAAGGGGTTAACCACCACACTACAGGTCTTTTAAATCTAGATTGAAAATAAAAATATTTAGAACTGCTTTTTGTGTTTAGTTTGTTGTTTCCCCGCACCGCCCGATTAGCATGGCTGGCTATGTACGGTGCGATAGAGGTTCAACGTACGTACACACGCGCAGGTCACAGCGCTTTTCTTGATGCTTCTTCCATCACAGCACGCGATCCACTTCGACTTTCCCATTGTGTGCGTTCCCAAGTTCTTACAACCTCGCTCAATTCTAGAAACCTTATTAACGCTCATCTATATTAAACCTTCAGTAGCACTTGGCGTATTAGGGCCTCTCTGCCAGGACTCAGCAACCGTGGTGTGTGCATACGTGTGTATTGGCGTTTTCTCTTCCTGCTTTGAAGAAATTTACAAGTGTGGATTTGGATTCTCAGTAAGCTGTTGACAGTCTTAAATTGCAAGAGTAACCATGAATGGTAAAGGGTAGGCATGTAGAAAATGCATCAATTAATCCGTTACTCTTGATTCTTTTGGACTTGCATTACATTGTGTGGAGGACATCATTATTTGAGATTTTCAGCAGCATATGTACACTTGAGCTAATGGAATAAAAATGTGTCATGACACAAACAATTATTGTTAATAGTAAGATAAAATAAGGAAGCTAAAATAAACTTCATGATTCCTATGATAATCATAAATCATGATGGATCATCAATTTTATGTTTGAGGGAGGGGGGGAGGTTAATATCGCCATGCCTTGCAGAGGGTCTCTTAAACCACAATTAGACGTGAACCCTCTTTAACTGATAAGTTAGAATAAAAATGGTCCGCTTCGTAATGACCGATGCAATTGCAGGTGTGACATTACCAACAGAGTGATGATGACTTTGCACGCACGTTGCTTCCCGCCTACAGGCCCAGGGCTTTCAGGGTGAGATGGATGGGCTCCTGCAGTGGCTGTCCGACATGGAGAACCAGCTGAGTGACACGAAGCCGGTTGGGGGCCTTCCCGAGACTGCCAAGGAGCAGCTCAGTACTCACATGGTACACCCACCGACATCCATGCCCACCCCCATCACGGCACAATCGCGGTGCCGCCCCTTGTCCGGCACACTTCCACTCTTTTCCTCTTTATCATTGAAATTCTGTACCGCCGCCCCAAAATGTCAGAATCGGAATATTTATTTATGCTGGAGGTATCCGATGAGCTATGAAGCTCTCTTTCACGGATGTCCAGTAGGGGTGGGTTAGAAATATGAAAAAAATAAGAATAGGTTTTACCCTTTGTGGCAATAAAACAAGTGTTAAGATGTTCAAACACCAAATAGATACCTATTTCAAGGAATCAATCTGATGTGCGTCAGAAAGTTACAACAACAACCAATACAAAAATACGATAGTAGTGCAAGTATAGGAAAGGTTAACACTTATTTTTTATTCTTTTATTTTATTTTACCGGGTAAAGCCCACAGAGCTCATTAGCTTATTTTGCAGAAGCGACCTGCCCACCAATGATAGCTCAACGAAGTGGCTTATCCCGTGGACATTTATAGCAGCCAAATAATCTTAAATGCGTGACGTTGATTCTAAATTTGGAGGGGAAAAAATCCAAGCGAGGGACTTACCTTCTCGCCACCATACTTGCTTTGTCTTGTTATGAGACTATTACATTTCCACCGAGTATCCGCACAGACAGCGGTGGTACCACGTGGGGTTAGAGAATGGCAACGGAAGGTGACGTTACAGACCTGTTGCTCAAGTCACTTGCATAAACCTCTTTATCCACACTTGGTTATACCCGCTTTATATGATTTACAAAGTGCGTTTGTCACGTGTGAAAATAATGTTTTAGTTGAAATGTGCCGAATTAATTGAAACACCGAATGTAGTATGATTAGGCATTCCGTGCTGCCATTGGTGACTGGTCTGAGACGATTAACAAAACAAATTCTACACCTCCGATTAGCACGGTTGGCTACGTACCAGCACGTAAGAAGTTCAACATACATATGTACCTTAATGAATGCAAAGAATAACCCTCGTTAATCACCAGTGGTTACCCGGATCTACGTTGACTGCTGTGCTTCTGGCTCGGCGCTCTGAGCCACGCGACAAACGTACAATTATGAATTTCTCGTGGCCCTCGACATTTTTGTGCCACCCTGCAGGAGATGTGCGAGGAGTACCAGGTCAAGCACGGGCTGTACACCAAGGTGCTGGAGCAGTGTCAGCGGATGCAGAATGAGCAATCCGGTGAACCCACGTTGAAGTACGGCATTCAGGACCTGGAGCACAAGTGGAAGATCGTTGGCAACAAGCTGAACGAAAGAAGGGTGAGCCTCGCATGCCTATGCATCATTGGGAATGATTTTACTTAATGACTGCCATTCAGAGAGTTCATGCAATAATTTATCTATGTAGGCATTTAATGGAGAAATATTAGCCAGTGAATAAAGGTTAATAATATTCCTTTAAATGTAAACATGCAAAGGTAGCCAAATATTTTCTCTTAATTAATGGTTAATGATTAAATAATATATGAGCATCTTTGTAAAAATTATGGTTGAGTGCGTGTTTTGTTTTTTTAACTGCAAGCATCCTATGCTAATTTTCACATTCAACATCCTGTGTTAATTTTAAATATCCTGTGTTAATTTTCAACATTAAATAACCGTTATATATTTACTTGGACCAAAGGAGGGATGGGATACATTTTAATTGAATATTAACGTGATGATGGCTGTTGGTTTTCTTGATACGTAATTATTGCGGGCAGGCCAAGTTGGAGACCGCACTGAAAACGGCGATTGAATTCCACAACTCTCTGCAAGATTTCATCGGCTGGCTGACGCAGATGGAGAACAACCTGAACACACTATCGCCAGCCAGCCTCATCCTGGACTCTGTCCTGTTTCAGATCGATGAGCATAAGGTAATGCACTTAGTATTTTACCGCGCCAACGTTACCGTTCCACGTTAAACAGCGTGTCGTCGAAATCCTGGGCTAATGCAGTGGCGAGGTGCCCCTGTGTATATGTGTTATCTTAACGAAACCTCATTTGTTTACCATAGCTTGGGATGTTATTAATAATGCTTTTTTATGTTTTGTAAAACAAAAATCTCTATATATAAAAAGCAATATGAGGTGGAACACCACAGTTTGAACAACTGAAAATGTGCATGCCAATTCTGGAACATACAATCCAATTCTACATTAGTTGCCGTGCAACTGCCTGACAGTTAATGTGTCTGCGCGGCATTGACACTCTTCTAACTGCAGTGTCAGCATTGCTTTGACAGATGTTCCCTTCTTTAGCTTAGAGTGTATATCCGCCCACGTTTATTCATAGCGTCCGCGACTTTCAGTGTACGCGAGTAACGGCGGTCGATGCGACGGACCGAGTGCTGCCGATTCGCGTAAAAAACTTTGCACCTCGGGGGCGGGGGTGGGCGGCAGATGCTCGCGAACGAAGTGAACACGCACCGGGAGCAGATCATCGAGCTGGACAAGACGGGCACGCACCTCAAGTACTTCAGCCAGAAGCAGGACGTGGCGCTCATCAAGAACCTGCTGCTGAGCGTGCAGACGCGCTGGGAGCACATCATGCAATCTACGCTGGAGCGTGGCCGCTCACTCGATGACGCTCGCAAGCGAGCTAAGCAGGTTCGCGTCACACGCGGCAGGCAATTCGCGTGGCAGAGCAGCGCAGCAACGCGCGCCTGCTCGTCCTGGACAAAGATGGGTGGGGGGGGGGGGCGGTTGGACTCTTGTGTGTTCTTGGTCCCCTCCTGATGCGCGTGCCACTCCGGCATTTCCAGGGGCGCCGATTTCTGCCGATAATAATGCGGGTTTGATATTTTGATGCCGAGGTAGGCATTTGACTTTGTGCGGCCGTACGGCTCTCCGATGTGTTCATGGCTTGTACCGCGTGTTGTTCTGTGCAATGTCTTGTGTTTTGCCCCACGTGGTGGGAGCTTCTTTATGAAACAGTTCTGCTGCATGTCCGGCCATCATGAACAAAACACGCTTCACAACCGGAAAAGCACATCGGAGAGAAAACTAGATAGTTATTGATGATAGCGAATCCGTTTTCTATCAAAGACATTGCCAAATACCAAAATAAGTAAATAAATCGACATCCATTTTTCTATATTGAAATGAAATGTTATATCGTGTGACAGCCTAGGAGCTTTCTAAACCAATATTGTTCATCAATATTTGTTTCAACAAATAAAATACTGCTCAAATGCAACAAGTTATTGGCAAAAGCACTCTGTGTGCACAACGTTGGCCCTATTCAACACAATTTTCTCAACGATAAATAATAAATACATAATATAGCTTTTAATTGTAGGCCCTGCATCCCTTCTAAGCCCTCTCAATGTTGTCACCTTATTTTGTGTGCAGTGTTTTGAAATAAACTCACATTTGAGCGTTTTAGAAATCCCAAATGTATGTTTCTATGTTCTCACTGTTTTAAGTATTACTGTTGGGTTGTGTTTTTTCAGTTCCACGAGTCCTGGACTAAACTCATGGACTGGCTGGAGGGGGCAGAGAAAGGACTCGACCATGAGCTGGACTGTGGCAACGACCCGGAGCGGATTAAACTCATGCTTGGCCGGCACAAGGCACGTCAATTATTATTTATTGGTTTTTATATATATACAATGGATAGTACCCAGACAATGTTCTGGCCAGGTGGCTCAGCAATTGAGTGAACAACTCGGAAAGTTTACGAGTTATAATCCTGTGTGGAGGTTGACTCAACCCATCATCCCTCCAAGGTCAATAAAATGTAGACCACTTAATGGGGAGGTCAACAGTGGTTGTATAATGGACAGACTCGCACTCACTGAAACATTAGTGGTTAAATAAGTAAATTATTCACATCAATTTATGCCAATATCAAGCAGTCAAAGTGTCAGACACTCAAACACAGGGTGGTGGTTCATTCCAATGCTAGGGGCCAATCTATGCACGTAATTAATGAAATTATATTAATTATTTTAAAAAGTCGAACATTGGGGGATGCTGCTTCGGTAAAATGGTTATCGCACATTCAACTCGCAATACAAAAGGTTGCAGCAGTTGAAACTATGGGAAATGTTCTTAAATGTTTCTTAATTTTTCCCAGCATCATGAATGCGTACACCACAACTAGACGATTGGCAGATCATGTATGGCGTACTCCCACTTCTTCCAAGACACCTTGGCCAGCATGGAAGAGTAGGCCAAATTTCCTGTAGAAACATCGATACGAGGGAGTCAAAGGTGGCCGGGCTTGATTCTGGCCACCCACCCCCTCGTATGCCGTGCCGGCCTTCATAGGTGCTCGCTAACAGCACTTGCTCCTGATGTCTGTTAAGGCTTCATAATAAAGGTTTGTGAGATAGATCGTGTATATTTAAATGTGACGTTAACCTACCACCACCCCACAGCCAATTAGAAAGGTTTGTCGCGTGAACAAAACGTGCCAATAAGCCATTACTTGAGCACATCGGTGTGATGGCGAGTAAACCCACAAACATTTGCAATTTGAGTACGAAGTTTCGCCTGCGTTTACAACCAGCTTCATCAGGCTATTTGCCAGATGATAAAATGTGTTAAATTGACTAACCCCTACAGGGGACGATACTCCTCCGTCAAGGCTATAACATGTGATATTTGTCTTTTGTGGTCCCCCCCCTCCCCCAACTCCCACAGGACATACAAAAATCCCTGGGAGCCAAGCAGCCCATTTACGACTCGACAACGCGCACCGGCCGCACGCTCAAGGAGCGTGCCACGCTGGTGGACGACGACCAGCGGCTCGACAACATGCTGAGCGAGCTGCGCGACAAGTGGGATACTATCTGCGGCAAGTCCGTCGAGAGGTAATGTGGGCAGCGCGGGGATTGCGACGATTCGTACCCCCCCCCCACCCCCACTCGAGATACAGCGAATTATCCTCGGGAGTGGTGTCGTCGTTCGAGTCGAGTCGATTCTATTTTGTTGTTGTCGCTGTGGTGTATGTATGCATTGAACTTTTTTTGCACCGTACGTAGCCAAACTGCTAATCCGATGGTGCGGGGAGTTGGTGTACGTGGATTATCGAGTGGCTGCAGTTGTTATTTAAGCCAGTGGCATGCAATGCATTTTCCAAGTTTGAGGAGTTATACTCTTTGGTATTTCGGTAAAGTCACGTAGGTGAAACAACATTAAAATGCAAGAAAACAACTAAATCAAATCACGACGTTTCGGAGGCAACACAAGCTTCCGTCTTCAGGTGGAACAGTCACAGCAAGATAGCTGCATCCAAAGAGTATGAATCCTTGCAGTCACGAAAGCTTCAAATCTAGAATTTGAGGAGTTAATCGCAAGATACACAATTGAGAAAAAACACAAAATAACACTGCCCCTCGACTAGCAGATGAAAGCCATTTGCAGGCCGGTGCTCCGTGTACCTTGTGCCGCACGGGGACAGCTGCCACTGGGGTTCCCTTAGCTAGACTAAAGCAGGGCACTCGATTGGTCGAGATGAGATGTAGGATAAGTCGCTTTGAGTTGCTCAGGCTTTTAAGCAAGTGCCATATGAATATATAGTCTCTAATAATATAATTGATGTTTAATTGCATCATTTAATACAAGTGTTGTGAGTCTAAGAATTGATTTAAATCGATGAATCTGACATTGCAGCATGCCTGAATAGGTAACATTAACAACCACATCAAGTAAATTTCTAGTGTAACGAACATCAATAACTAGCTTCATCCATCAACAATAATACATGATGTTTACAGTTGTGTTCCTTTTTAATGTAATTTTTGTTACGTGCATATTTAAATCCTGTAATTTAGTTGTTTGTATATTCATCATTTGATTTCTCGATGGGTACAGTCCAACTCCCATATCGATGCAGTCATCGCATTATTCTAAGCACTGGGTTTCAAAAGCGACGCAATAAAACTTTGTTCCTGCAGTTGTCCACCCCTGCATGTTGACACCGGTGGCGATTGGCCTATGCCCGCCTAACGCCCGTTCTGTTTTACTCGCGTGCGTGCGTGTGTGTGTGTGTACGTGCAGGCAGCACAAGCTGGAGGAGGCTCTGCTCTTCTCCGGCCAGTTTGCCGAGGCGCTGCAGGTGCTCATTGACTGGCTGTACAAGGTGGAGCCTCACTTGTCTGAGGACCAGCCGGTGCATGGCGACGTGGCGCTCGTTATGACCCTCATCGACGCCCACAAGGTGCGTGCATTCGGAACGTAACTAAACTAAGGCAAATTGATATCTCAACGAAGTGGCTTGTCACCTGGAAATTTATCGCAGCCAGATACTCCGAGCGCACATTGAGTCTAAATAAGGAAAAGGGAAAAACCTGGAAGACCCGGAGAAAATTTCACACGACCACAGGGAGAACATGCAAACTCCAAATATACAGGCGTCAGAGTTGGGATCGCCCCAGGACCTCCGGCATATCAGACGAGGTAGTTAACATCTCACCACCATGGCACCCCAAAAGGAATGGACCATGCACACGTTCCAATAAAGGCATATTCCCTGTGTAGCCTATGCAGACTGTTGGGATGAGTGCCGTTAGCGAGCAACTATGAAGGCCAGCACAGTGCACAAGTGGGGTGCGGGGGGGGGGGGGAGGCAGTGTGGCCTGCACCAAGCCCGGCTGCCTTTGTCTTTACACGGAACACCATGCTGTACCGGCATGGCGCACGAGTGGGTGGGTGGCCAGCACCATGCCTGACCGCCTTTGTCTCCACAGTGGCGATGTTTACAAAGCGCAGCAGACACTTATTTGAGGCTGAGTCGACCTCGGGGGTGTCCGGGACCGGTTCAGATAATCGCCACTCTTGTTGGCCATGAGAGCGAATCGAACCCGAGCCATCGGTTCCATAGCGCAGCGCGCTAACGCCTGCACCACCGCTCCCGACATACAAATGGGCACGTGCAGGAGTACTTACGTAAATGTGCGCGCGTGTGTGCTTCTCTCTCTCTCTCGCAGGTGTTCCAAAGGGAGCTGGGCAAGCGCGCGAGCAGCGTGAACGCCCTGAAGCGCTCGGCGCGCGACCTCCTGGACAGCAGCAAGAGCGACGCGTCGTGGGTGCGCGCCCAGATGGCGGAGCTGAGCGCGCGCTGGGACACGGTCTGCAAGCTCTCGCTCAGCAAGCAGGCTCGCCTCGACGACGCGCTCAAGCAGGCACGTGACGGGACATGCGGCGCGCGGTCCGCCCCGCCCTCGGGTTCGCGACTCGGTGATTCGACTAGATCATCCGATCGGCATGTTGCAGGTCACGTGTGCTGGGGTAAAGTATGGGCACTTGCACGTTTTTCAAAGATATCTGGCCAGCATAGAAGAGTAGGCCAAAATACCCTCGAGAGAGGGGGGCTCTCTAGAGCTGCCTGTAATGGAAGGCCCGTCCACCGGCAGGGGCAGGCCCTGTGGGCGTGGCATGACGGTAACCAAATGAGCGTGTGTCTGTGTGTTAAGGCGGAGGTGTTCCGGACGCTCGTGCAAAGCATCATGGATGTTCTGGCGGAGGCTGAGAAGACGCTGCGGTTCCACGGGACGCTGCCCGATGACGAGGACTCCCTGAGGCTCCTCATCGCCCAACACAAGGTGCTCATCAACAGCATAGTAGTTTCAATTAACATCACCAAATATTGTTCTCCAGTTGCCTACGTTTACTTTTAACCCCTCACTTGATCTATTATGACGTTCCCGCCAATGCTCGTTTGAGTAGGAGAATGCTTTTGGTTGTTGTAATATTATAGAATGCATGAATAGGATAGGTATAAAGAATACATGAACATGGCCATGATTTAGTAGCAATCGTTACGCATATCAGCTGATTTGTATTGTGTGAAGTATAATTTACAAATCATTACTTGTTTACGGTTATTTGCCAATCCACTGCTTCATGAAGACCTCGCCACACCATGTCAGTGATGGGGGTGGTTTGACCATACTTCACCACACTGGTCAGTGCAAGTTTGTGAAGGGGAGACTGAGGACTGGTTCAAACATCGCTCACCGATGATTGTGGCCTTGGCCAAACATGGAACTCTGCCAACTGGGTTCATAGCACAGTGCACTAGCTACTGCGTTCTAACATCATCTACAAGCAATTATTTAATTTGCTTATATTTGAAAGTTATCTTAATTAAACCTCAGTACACTTTTGCTTGAGAGAAAAAACTACGATGCATTTTCTTTCATGTATACAAACATGTGAGTCTTGGTTGTCCGTGGCGGTCGGGGATTTTTGTAGGAGTTCATGGAGAGGTTGGAAGCTCAGCGCTCGGAGGTGATCAGGGCCGTCTCCATGGGAGAAGCCATCCTGGCAGTCTGCCACCCCGACTCTGCATCCGCCATAAAGCAGTGGATCAACATCATTCGCACCCGCTTTGAGGAGGTGAGACAGTGACTCTATACGGTGCGTGACGATGTGTAGTTCATTGACTTTTATTATCATCAGCGATGAATTTCTCACCCGAATATGTTCCGGGTCGCTGATACGCCGGAGTAAGCACGAGCAGTCGTCACGGCCGCAATGAGACGTATACTGGGTGTGTTGTGCGAGTTGTGGAAATATTTTCTCGAGTTGCTGACCTGAACAGACCCGGTTTAAATTAAGCCCTGGTTATCGTTTCTTTTGAACAGTTTTTAGTGTTTAGTTTGTTGTCCTTCCCCCACACCTCCGATTAGCAAGGTTGGCTACGTACGTTGCGAAATAAGTTAAACATACATACATAGTTCAGCAGTTCCACTGCTGGATTATTTTTTTCCGCCTGAGGACGACCGCTTGTGTTGCGATCGAAACGTCGTGATATATTATTTTTTGTTTTATTTTATTTTTCTACCTACGTGACTTTACCGAAAGAACCAAAGAGTACATACATATTCTTGGTTCTTTTGGTAAAGTCACGTAGAAGGGAAACAATAAAATAATATTGTGTCGTAACCCTCCACCACATATACAAACACAGAGACAATTTCAACCGAGAAGATGGATTCTGGCTTAGCAATCATTGGAAGGATTTGATAAACCATTTCGGGTCTTAATTGATTGTTCACGCTTACGGTGGCTTTCAGACCGCATCCATTATTTTCGTCTCCCCCCTCCTTTTTGCAGTCGAAACGGCGTGAGAATTTTATTTTTTATATTTTTATTATTTTTTTAATTATTTTATTGTTTCCCTTCTACGTGACTTTACCGAAAGAACCAAGAATATGAATCCCTGCAGTCACGAAAGCTTTAAATCAAAATTTAGTACATACATAGTACATTCTCAGACAACATATTCTCTCTGATATTACACACATTCAGGGTTATGAATATGAACGGCTGCCCATGCCATTTTCTGGTCACTGCTGCTTTGCTTGTGATGGTATATCCCCTAATTGGATTGGCTAACAAGCAGCATTTCTTTATTTTAGTCAGTCAGCTTGTCTAATTTGAGTCCATTGAATACAGTTTATTATGAATCCATTGAATACGTAGGCTTTCGCGACCAATATTATTCATAATAAAGGTTTTTGTGTTAGACCGCATAAGTATAAATGTGTCGTAACCCTCCACCACCCGACACAGCCAATTAGTAAGGAATTTGTCACGTAAACAAAACGCCAAATAGTTACTACTTCAGCCCACCTGTGTGTTGGAGAGTAAATCCGCAACATTTACAATTTGAGTATGACAGTCTGGTGGGCAGCCCTGGTCATCATCGTGATCGATAGTTTTCGTCCGCTTGTAGTAATCGTTGACTGTCTGACATAATAATAAAAAAAACTTAAATTGATGAACATTCTCATCGCAAATTTCGTGATTGCGCTGGGTTGTTACTCACTTGGGGTGACGTGGGCCTGCAGGTGATGACGTGGGCCCGGCAGCACCAGACGCGGCTGGAGGCCGCCCTCTCGGAGCTCGTGTCCAACTCGCAGCTCCTCGAGGAGATGCTCGCCTGGCTGCAGAAAGCGCAGGAGATGCTGGCGCAGAGAGACCAGGAGACCCTCCCTGAGCAGATCGAGTCTCTGCACTACCTCATCTCTGAGCACCAGGTCTGCCGCCCGTAACCCATCGCGCGTAGCATTTACTCGCGTGTTCTTCCAGGTGGAAACAGTGATAACAAACAAAAAACTCTGTGATAACGTCGCTGCTGTGAAAATGTTAAATTTGCTTATGCTCATAATCGTTCTTACCGAGAATTCAAGCGGCTGGCACAAGCACTGATGCACCCAGCATGGGGTGTTTGTCCGATAAATTCGAAATGTGAAAGTGGAGGAACCTATGTTGATAGAGGTGTTACTGTCGGCTTGAAAGGGTTGAACTCGGACAAATATCTAAAAAAAAAATTGTTGCAGTGCCATTTCTGTTAATTTATCTAAAAAAATGTTTTGCTCAAGCACCTCTATTTATATCACGTTATAGAAAAAAAATGTTTGCTTGATTGTATGTATCAACGTAAATATAAATACGTTGATTGGTACTTTCTTCTGTAGGGCTTTATGGAGGAGATGATGAGCAAGCAGCCAGAGATGGAACAGATGACAAAGTCTTACAAGCGCAAACCTTCAGAATCTCATGCACTGTTCGACAGAACTCGTGGGAGTACTCGTAAGTACACAACTCACTCAACGCCGGGATTATTCTACTGAGATTCTAACATAAGAAGAAGAAGACTAATTGTGCGTTCACGTGTCGATGACGGGACGGCATGATGCCGGATGCAACACGTTGTTTGTACCCTGCCAAGCCATGCCCTTGCCCCTCCACAGTTGCCAGAACGTTGCTCCCTGGACAGAAGCTCCCTTCACTCTGCTGTACGGATATGGAAACTGACTCCCTGAACATCATTGTCGGCACAATCGCTGATTCTGGTCTATTCTTGCTATTTTGTATATGAATATATAAATATATATCACCCTTTCCAGGGCGCTTTAAGATGCAATCTGACAGCATTCAGCGAGGAAAGTGATGGAACGCATGGAGGGACAGCGGATGGGAAATGGAGCTGCGCCGCTAAAACAGTAGTAAAGAAAATCATAAAACGAAATAAATAAGAATAGAGTTGAAGATGGGAAGAGGGAGAATGGGGGAGGTTGAATGGAGAGGTGAGGAAGGTACGTGGGGTGGTAGTATTTTGGTGACGGTGGGAGCGAGGGGTGTCAGCAGCCATCTGGAGCGGCGCTATCGCCATCTTGGTGATGAAGGTGATCAGCTCCGTAGGAGAGCCGTCCGAGTCCGATGATCCTCAGGCCTTCAAATGCCGAGCACATGGACATTCTCCTTACTTCACCACACGCCTCGTAGGACTGAGACCTTGAGCTGCAACGAACCAACGATTATGCCGATTAGGCGTCCTGACGTCTCATACGGCTGTTGTTTCACAATTGCACCAAAGGATAAGCAAACGCACAAAAAAACGTGCGGTGTACCCGCGAGCACTGAGCACCTCCCCCCGCGTTGTGATCCCTGCAGGAAAGCGTGGAGGGCCCCAGTCGACCGCTCCAGCGTCGCCTTCCCAGCCCCTGGAGACCAAGAACCCCCGCATCACGCTGCTCTTCAACCGTTGGCGGCAGGTCTGGCTCGTGGCGCTGGAGAGGCAGCGAAAGCTGCAGGATGCGCTGGAGAGACTCCAGGAGGTGAGGGCTCCCTTTGATCTTCGCTGGCTTTTGCTGTGGGTGGAACGGTTACGCCCACGAAGATTGGGTTAAGAACGTGGAATAATTGTGTAGGTGATGGTCTCGGCCCCGCTTTGCCAATGACTGCCCCAAAATACTGTCGCTGTGGATTTGGTCAAGCGCTTGCTTGGGCTCAATTCTTGCTCGGTGCAATCAAATACTGCTTTGACTGTTGTGCAGTGCAATGCCCCTCACTCTCGCATGCAGGGCAAGTGGGAAGTGCTGCTGTGTCTGCTAGTGGGACTGAGTCACTTGAAAGGATCTCGGAGTTTGCTCTGCAATATCCATTTCCACTGGCCGTTCTCCAACACAGAGGGTTGCATTGCTCTGTGAGAGATCTAAACGGATACTTTGTATCGTAACGGCACCAACAGCACAATCGGGAAGGCAATGTGAAAATATCGCCAAAAGAAACCAGACATGAATTATTTAAATATGTCTATTTCACGAGTTAAATATGTAAAAAACACATACTTGTACATTGTCGGTGCAATTGCTGGCTCGTTTGATTGTTGAGCCTCGTGTCCCTGTTTTGCATTTCTGACAACAGCTGAAGGAGTTTGAAAACTTTGACTTTGACGTCTGGCGGAAGCGGTACATGCAGTGGATGAACCACAAAAAGTCCCGTGTCATGGACTTTTTCCGGAGAATGGATAAAGATCAAGACGGCAAGATTACCCGACAAGAATTCATCGATGGAATCCTGTCCTCCAGTGAGCATCGTTTGTACTTGTTCAATCTGAAAACATCTTTATTTCTGCGAGAAATTTCATTTAAACTGTATTCGTGGTCTATAAAACTACACAACTCATAATTGACAGCATCTGTGTTTTTTTATATATATTTCTCCAGGGTTTCCAACCAATCGGCTGGAAATGACAGCAGTGGCAGATATATTTGACAGGGATGGCGATGGCTACATCGACTATTACGAGTTCATTGCTGCCTTGCATCCGAACAAAGATGCTTACAGGCCCATCACCGATGCAGACAAGATTGAGGACGAGGTACAATCATGCTGACAAAGCTAAGGCAGTGTCTGTTGCATCTCATTATACTTAATGCAGCTGGGCAGGATTGTGGTTAGCACGCTTGCTATCGGGACAGATTGAATGGGGTTGACATTTAATTTCTTACATCCACCTAGCAATAGAGTGGGCCATGATTTAACGACATTGGTTGCTGTGAAATTAGTATTCTGAAGCCAGTGACATGTCTTGTAAGAATGGGCTGTTGTATACAATATTGAAAATCAAATTGCCAATTGTTATTATTCACTTCACTGTGCAAATGTATAAATGTATCTTACTGAACTTCGATGTAGATTTATGAAAGATGTATTTTAGATGAAAACAACTTTGGACATTTGAATGGGATTGACATACCAGCCCAATAGTTATCACGTCCCACTTTATGATATAGATTGATTTCTTATTGCATGTATGTATGTTGAACGTTTTTCGCATTATAGGTGTGTAACTCACATGTTAGTGTAGAGGGTATTCGTTTATAGAACCAGAGGGCAGGCGTTTATAAGTTTGAAGGCTTGTAATTATTCATCCCCTCATGATTCCATGTGTAGTGTCTCGATATCACTCACACTGACACGGAGTAACAGGTCACCTGCTTACACTTTATTAATCCTACTCTCGCACCCCATTGTAGGCACTCCTATGACTGCTTCCCACTGTCACCACACACTCTGCTTCTCCTACTACCTGCTCTCAAATACTCCTCACCTCACCTACTCTGTACCTCACCTACTCTGTACCTCACCTACTCTGCACCTCACCTACTGTCTCCTATCTCGCCGCTGCCCTCTCCCACACTGCCCCGTACCCACTCACCCGTCTCTCCCGGGCGGGGGGTTCAGCCAACACCCGCCCGGTGACGGCGTGAGGAGCGAGGCCCCGTTGACGGCTCGAGCGGCAGCGGCGAGACGTCTTCTCTCTTGGTCCCCGAACAACTCAACTTTGGTCACGCACACTCCCACTTATATACCCCTCCTCATTCCGAGTCCTCACGTGCTCCCCACTTAATCTGTCGCCTCCACTGCCCCCACCTCCCGTGTCTCCGGCGCTAACCTCCTGCCTGCCCCAAAGCACACCTGCTGGTCCTCAATTGCACCCGCTCAACTGCGCGCACTGCGTACATCTCAACTCTACACGTGTATTGTCATTAGCCAGAATTATTAGTTTGATTGAATAATTGGTTGTTATTTTTACCAACGTCATGGTGAATTTAGCTGCATGTGAACCAATTACAACACGTACGATTGACAATAATGATTCGGTTAAATATGTCGGCTTTTATTCTGGACAACAATGATTATTACAGGCACAATTCGATGAATTATTAGAAGCATAAGAATCTATTATTACTCAGAAATAGTGCGTGATCTGACGTACATCTGTCTTGGCCTTGCAGGTCACCAGACAGGTCGCTGCCTGCAAGTGTACGAGGAGATTCCAGGTGGAGCAGATTGGTGAAAATAAGTACCGAGTGAGTATTGATGTTTTTTATTTAAATATGTTTTCGTGCGAGCCAGAAAATACGTAAATGTTTCCAATCTCTATGGTCGGGCGAATACATTGATTTGCATGGCGGGAATGTATTTCCATCGGCATGCATAATACAAGTAGAATTGTTTCCTAGCTGATTTTTTTTTTCATATGCTATGATCATATATAAACTTTTGCATTGCTTTTGTATAACAAAAACATGATCAAAAGTGAATATCTTTATTTAAACCTTTTTTTACTACAATAGGGGATATCTTTCACAGTTGTTGGCTTAACATTTACATTGCTTTAATTTCTTTATTGCCATCGCCCTCATTAACACGTGAGGCACTCAGGAGTCTGTATTTCATGGTCCATATTTGCAGCTTGCTATTGAATAAGAATGGGCATCTGTCAGGCGGGATGTAACCCAATCCTATATTTTACAGGAATATGTTTTGGCTTATACATGACAGTGATTTCATATCAAAGCTTGTTTGGGAGTGTGGTAATTTTACATTTGCAGCCTCACTTTGAAAGTGTCAGCATATGTATCTTATTTGAACAAACCCAGCGAAACGTCGTATTCAAATTGTAAATGTTGTGGATTTACTAGGTTGTAGTAGTAACTAATTGCAACTTTGTTTACGTGGCAAACCTTACCGGCTGTGTCGGGTGGTGGAGGGTTACGACACCTTTATACTTGTGCAATCTAACCCAATAATATTGGTCGCGAAAGCCTACGTGTCAAACTGAACAAACCCCTTTTGGATTATGTATGGCAACACCATTTGTTGCCTTGGCAATTGGATCGTGAGCGACTGCATTTGGCATTCAAACTCCGTGGCACTGATCTACAAAGCAAAGTCACCTAATCAAACGGCTGTTGCTGAATGCACCCACAGTTTGAGGAGAGAGCCCCTTTGTTGAAAGCTGTCACGGCCGTGTGATGCGCCTGTGGAGGAACAAAATAAAAGCGCTCTCGCTATGCACACGCGGCATGGCTCGAAGTGACACAAAGTGACACAGAGCAGTACTGAGCAACGGCGGGATGAGCGGGGATTTTGTGAAAGGGCCTCTTGTCCTCCAGCTTTCGCCGTTTTGTCGTCTTCGTACCCCCACCTCCCCCCCCCCCCCCACCGCTGTTTTGCCCCCATCAGCCAAATTTTCTCTCTGCTATTTTTTTGTGTGGCTTCTCTCCCCGATTTGCCAAGCCCAGCACCTCCGAGACCCTGACCCCCGTGTGTGTGATGGTGTGCATGCCGGCCAGTGGCCTTCCGCCGTTGAGAGGAAGGTAGAGCGAGGAGGTTTTTATTTGGCCAGTAGGGTGAGCACATCGTAGAGCTCTGTGTTGCCGATGAGACCGTCGTCATATGGAACATTTAGAAGCCCTAGGGTGGTGCCGGTGAACTCTTTCATTAACTCGCGTAGCGACGTGAAAATGCACTTCCTTGTATTTTACCAATACTAAATCTGGCACGTGTTAACATTTTATGCAGCACAGCTCTCTGATTGTTTTCTTTGCCGGTCTGTACCACGTGTTGTTCCCTCCATGTGCTTGGAGTTTTTTTTTCTTAATTCCTGAAGAAGCTCCCTGCACTTGGATCGAAACGTCAGACATCATGCTGAACAGCACGGGGTGTGCAACCCAAAAATATCAGAGAGCCATGTAGCTCGTCCACGAAAATCTTCATCGAATTATATATCGCATTTTTCCATTTATGTGTTACATTTCAAATGGAATTCAATTGAAGAGTACCGTTGTCTTGTTCTACAAAACACAGTATTGGTAAAGTAAAGGTGGCACATTAAAAAGCTTGCTGGGCATTTTGCCCATGCCCTTGTAGCTTTGTGTGTTGCTCTTTTAACAGTTTTTTTTCATTATTTTGTTTTTTTTTCTTCTTCTCTGTGTCTTTCTCTTCTTTCCTTGGTGTGTAGTTCTACCTTGGGAATCAGGTACTGAGGGTTTGTGTTTGGCCATGCGCTGCTTGTGGTGATCATTGCTTCTCATCAATGGGTTTTCTCTAAATATCATTTTTTATATATTTTAATTTCTCCCACTTTTGCTTGTGCATGAATATGGTTCTTTAAAAAGTCTGCAGTTGATGGGGGGGGAGGGGGGGGAGCTGGTTGCAGGAATCACACGATAAAATAATATTATGACAAATTAATGTGAGATTTTTCAAACAAAACAGGAAAAATTGAGATGCAAGATGTTTATCCGCATTTCAAAAGACGTTTCCCATGTGCTGTGGACTTTTTAAAGTTTAACCTCAATTTGTGGTTTGAAAAAAAAAATCTTGTTGTGCTTCGTCCTTCAGAGGAGTTTCAGATTGTACGAATGCACCAAGTGAATTGTGCATGAACAGCGAACCGTGCATATTTTATGTCAGGTCATACTTAACACCAAATTTTAACCTCGGATTGAAATAACATTTATTTACTGACCATTTGTGGCCAATCACTGCTCCGAATCTAAACAAATTTCCGTTTGATTAGTTGAGACTTATCCTCCGGAAACAAATTCTTATAATTCTTGCCTTTTAAAACGCTCTTATTTCTTGTTTTTTACCTTAAAAGTCAGTTGATTTCCGTACAGTGAATCTGCCTATCTTAGCACGTGAGCTCTCTAATTAACCTTTGTAAATATACAAAGAAGCACCCTTTATTTTACTCGTAGAAATGAACGTACCGTGATGGGGGGGGGGGGGGGGGGGGGGGGGGGGGGGTAGATGGACAACACCGTTTGTACTGTGGGATATTAGTACGATTAACAGAGCAGCTTCAGTGTTTTGTCAAAATACATATATGTTTCTTACTCCATATTCTTGGCCTCGTAAAATGCGGCCCAGAGCCCATTGACCGTCGCCCGTGCGGTTGCCTGCTAACGCCTCACCGTGCCCTGCGACAGTTCGGCGACTCGCAGCAGCTGCGCCTGGTGCGCATCTTGCGTAGCACCGTGATGGTGCGCGTCGGTGGAGGCTGGATGGCTCTCGACGAATTTCTGGTGAAGAACGACCCCTGCCGAGGTACGGGTGGTCTCCAACTCCTCCTTCCTTCGTTTTGCCCTCACGACCTCATCACCCACCACCGCTCTTCGCCGATTCCCTTCGCGCTAAATGCGCGGCCAATTCCATTAGGGCCGCGCAGGATTTCCGCGGCCGCGCTACACAGCTCGCCGGCGTGTTTACGTTGGTCGCGCCGCGTTTTTGTTCGGCCCGATGTCCCCGGAGCCGAAGAAGCTTACCGGGCACGTGGAGCGAAACGTCGGGACGCCGCGCCGAACGACGAGCGGTGGAAACCTGAAAGCTCGGCAGAGAATAACTTTATTATATTGAATTGCCAGCCACTAACGTTTTAATAGAATAAAAAAAGATCGAATGTAAAGTATATGGTGTTCTATTGACTAAGCTTTTGCTTTTCGATTTAAAGCTTTCGTGACTGCAGGGATTCATCTTCTTGGTTCTTTCGGTAAAGTCACGTAGAAGGGAAATGATAATATAATAAAAATGAAACATTAAAATAAAATTCTCATGACGTTTCGGCCACAACACAAACAGCCGTCCTCCATTGGAGCGCTGTCTTTCCGACAGTTCTGTTTCTTCACCTGAGGACGGCAGCTTGTGTTGTGGCCGAAATGTCGTGGGAATTTTATAATGTTTTATTTTTATTATTTTATTATTTCCCTTCTACGTGACTTTACCGAAAGAACCAAGAAGATAAGCTTTTACTGTTTTTTTCTTTTAAACATGTAACACGTTTCTGTGACATGCTGGAAAAAAATGTCGTTCGGATGAAAATATGCCAGTGCACTGTTCTTAAGTGGTGTGTTCTGTTCCCTTGTGTGTGTGTGTGCATCTGCCTGTGTGTGTATGTATGTGTGTGCTCTTTCAAATTCTTTTATTTTAATCTTCCTGTTTATTTCACATGGCCAGAGCAAATCAACTGGATGTGGCACTTTATCAAAGGTAGTTTCTGCCCTGCCCATTGGGCTATGGGAAATTAGTATGATTGACAGAGCAGCTTCAGTATATACCTTTCCCTTATTCCACATTTCGGCTTTGTAATATTCGGTCAGAGCTGTTCTTTGTGGTATGTGGATAGGCTCACATCTTAGTATCCACCGCATGTCCCTGAAGTGAGTGCCTCTTTGTCCCAGACTTTCCAGACTACATTTTTACAAATTGAGCGATGATGTTAAGCGCCACCATAATTTGAATTGTAACGTTACAATTTTTTTAAGATTGTTACATTTATCATACTTATTTGCATTTGAATTGAGAGGCAATAAGTGTAAGATCAATTTACATTTACAAAAATAATTGACTCATCTATTTTAAGAATGCACTTCCACCTTCAACAAGACGAATTTTACTCGTTCATAAAAACAAAATTCGGCGTACGCAAGAGATAGCATATATTTGTGAAATCCTGGTCTGGAAACTCATAAGCAGTCAAACCGAACTCAAGCTGGGCAATTATTACACAGCCTTGCAATGCCGAACTCCAAGCTACAACATATGGCATGGCGGGCGTTGGGAACGTTGTGCACGATCCTCAGCATGGTTAATATGGCAGCTGCTTGCTCTGCTTCTCCCCTGCAGCTCTTCCTTCAAGAACGAAACGGCGTTATCTTTGATCCCTACTTCCATCAATCCCATTGTGTCTCAGTCTGCATCTCTGGACCTTGCATAAGTCGATGTTTCTCTTCGTGCTGCCTGTGCGATGTAAATACGGTGCCTGCCACGGAACGCGTTTTTAAGAAACTTGAAAGCACTTTTGTCCGCCTTTCTGTTTTTGCCATTGCCCTTGTTTAAAAATGGACGAAAGCATTCAGACGTTTTACAGAAATCATAGCAATTTGTCCGAGGGGGAAACTAGGACCACGCAAGTTTGCATTTTAACTCGAATTGTTTTGCATTTGAGACCTGTAACTTGGCGCCGTGTGCTCCATATAGCCTTAAGAGAGAGGTACCATTGTGGAAAATCGGGCGCGCGTGCGCGATTTAAAAAAAATGTGTTTTTTTTCTTCTCCTCCTTAAACGAAGCTGTGTCCAGGCCCGGTGCTTGCTCCTCCTCCTCCTGTGTGACACAATTTCTGCCTTTTTCCTCTTGACTCACATTTCTTCTAGTTCACCACCACGGGAATAAAATGCTGCGCTCGGACTCAAACTCTTCAATAACCACTCAGTCTGCCATAGGTTGGCAACGTTTCTCTTCTTGTCTCCTTTCCTTGGTGGTTTGTTTTTTTGCCCCCCCCCCCCCCCTGCTTTAAATAAATGTTTCCACACAGTGGCTTGACTTGTTCAAGCTGCACCGAAGTGTAATGCTCTACTAACCTTTAGTCGGTGTGTGTGTGTGTGTTAACTTTAAGCCTCCCTCCCTCCTGCCTCTGCAGTTATTCCCGCATGTTTTTTGTTCATGGCCGTGCACGTGGCATTGGTTTGTTAATTTTTCAAGGGATGACGCTGCGACCGTAGAGAACCCTATATTTGACACTTTGCGATTTGATTGCGATCTTCAAACAATGTATTTGCAGCTTGTTTGTGCTTTTTTTTGTTATGTTGTTCGAGTGTTTACAACAACAGTTTGCTTTTATAAACTCGGTTTCGTCACGTAAGCTTCATTCATATTTAGAGCAAGGCATGGGAGCTGAAACATTGTTAACCTGCTTTGCAAACAATATTTCCAAGACCCGTTCGCCTGTTTAAGAAGCTGCATGTGTTCTCATCATGAAATCAAATATGTGCTTGTTTTAATTGTAATGAAATTCAGATATTTTGGAACTTTTTTTTTACCAAACGTCTGCATTTGTTTCTTTATATTTCCGCATTCGGATGCTGCCGAGGTCTAATGGTCAGCACACTGGACTTTGCAACCAATTCCATCTCGCGGCAAGGCAGATGCAATGAGCTCCTTAATCCCCCCCCGCCTCTGTCCACCGAGCAGTATAAAATATCGCTTGTGGTGGGGTTAAGTGTGGGTACTCCTACCTCTTCCAATATACGTCTGGCCAGCGTGGAAGAGTAGGTCAAAATAACCTCGTGCTCCCTTCCACCAGCAGTTGATGCGAGCAAGCAATTTGAGGGCTGCAAATTGACTCATGGCTAATGATATATATTCTCATGGCACAGCAGGGGCTGCGAAATGACAGTGCGGGCACATCTGAACTGTGTGTGTTTTTATTTCTCTCTCTCATGACTGCTGTCCGGTTCCCACCGCAGCGAAGGGTCGAACCAACCTGGAGCTTCGTGAGAAGTTCATCCTACCCGAGGGAGCCAGCCAGTCCATGACGCCCTTCAGGATGCGAGGGAAGCGCTCCCGCCCGTCGTCCCGCACGGCCTCGCCGACGCGCGCTGGATTCGCGCACTCTCACGGCGGCCACGGGCACGCCTACACCCCGACGCCCAACAGCGGCGGCTGCGCCACACCGCCCTCCTCAGGCTCCTCCAATACCCCCAGCACGCCCAGGGTGAGTGCCCCAGCCGGGGGGGGGGGCTTCTCTCGCTTTTTGGGGAGAGCGGCCCGGCGGTACCCCGCTCCCCCGCCGCTCCCCCGTCGCCCCCCCGTCGCCCCCCCGCCCCCCCCCCCCCCCCCCCCCCGTTTCCGCAGCGTGAATAAAGCCACCGCCGAGGGAGTGAGAAAGAGTGGCCAGCTGTGTGTGCACTCCTGTGTGTGTGTGTGTTTGTCCCGTACAAGGCGGATTGCATTTGGTTGGAAGCCACCTTCCTGTTATGCTAAATTCTGCCGAGGCGTAATGGTTTTAGAGCTATTTATGCTGCTCTACATTTCCACGCGACGAGCCACTTTGTTGAGCTATCATTTGTGGCCAGGCCGCTTCCCAAAAAGAGCTACGTAGCTCAGTGGGCCTTACCTGGTAAAATTTTAAAAAAAGTTTAGTTCGTAAGCACAGTGGATTTGCAATTCAGAGGTTGCCAGTTTGAACTTCGGCATGGCAAATGACGCCGTTTTCCTAAATTCCCCTGCCGCCTTTGTCCACCCCAGCAGTATAATTGGGTTACGCCACAGTCGGTCAATCGGCAGGTGGCATGCAGTGGGGTAAAGTGTGGGTACTCCCACTTCACCCAAGATGCCTGGCCATTGTGCAAGAGTGGGCCAAAATAGCCCCTGAATGGCATCTCTAGAGCTGCCTGTAGTGGAGGCCTTTCTACCAAGCAATGTAATAAGCAAGCAGTTGCTGGACTGCCTCGATAACCTTTAAAGTTGATCTGATAACTGTTTCTTCCATTGTGCATGATCGTTCTGAAGTTTGATGGAAATTGTCTCGAGTGTGCCTCTTGTATTATTGTTAATTTTCCTACCAAATGATCTTCGTGCAAATACTATTTGTTCATTAGGATCATTGTGTTTATAGTTGTGTATGTGTAATGGGCAGTGATAATGGAGCAGTAACATGGATAAACACAGATGCCCATAACACATACTTGGCAGGTACCTGGCCTACAACTATCTTTGGTAAAAACAGTTGTGCAATTTGCCATGTAGTGTGTGTGTGTGCAGAACCGAATGTAATTTTGCACTGTCTGTTGTCATGTGACAACAGATCTTTTATCACTTTTAAAGACTTGCCTGTTTTGTTGTAAAAATGTACTATTATTTGAATGAACTCTGCTTGCATGGCAATATAATGAAGATCATCTCAGCTAATGTGTTTTCTGTACTGACCTATAGCTCATGAGAATGTATGGCTTATGTAATTTGCAAGTTAATCGACAAAATATATGGAGAATTTTTTTTTTTAGAGTTGGCTGGGTGCAGAGTGAGCACGGCTGAAAATCTGGGTTAAAATCCAATCAATTAACCATGTTTAAATTGGATTCTCCCTCGCAGTGAGTTAATGGTCCCAGCCAAGTCATCGATTACTGTACCAAAGAATATCATATTAAGCATGGTTTTTCCTTTAATTTAACAATATTCAAGTTCTGCTGATAAACAAACATCCCAAGTAATTAACATATCTAGAGCAGGGCATGTTGTTTCGAGGCAATTGAAGGATTCTCAGAAGTAGCTCTGTGATGTCCGCTTCTGGGGGATGGTCTGACATGGAGTTAGAGTTCCGAACGGACATTTCTTGATCTATTTATATAAGCTGAATGGAACATAATTTGGAGAAAAAAATACCAAAAAAGAGTGCATAGCTATACTTTGACAGTTTTATTTTAAATATACATGTCATATATTTTGGCATGTAAGCAATGGTGCAAGTCAGATTGAAATTACTGCAGAGAGCATGAACCTTTATGAAGATTTTGTGCATGCATGAATCTAAACGATTAATGTTACCCTCCTATTATTATGAGATACGTTTTGATCGCATGCATGTTGCTCGAAATTAGATTGTGCGTGTGTTTGCGCGTGCGTTATCATTGCTTGTGGCAATGAAGAATTCTGTGCAAATTTTAGCTTGTAGATGCTAGCGCACACCTTCACACTCTCAGACTTCCAATAGACTGAGGCTGCCCACTACAGTAACAAAAACCTCCAGTCTACGCTACTGCATTCTCATTCTTGGTTTGATTTTGTTAACTCACATGCTTGGTTGATTTCACATAACAACATTTGGTATGCATGCAAATTGGAGTGGTTTTTATCTGTGCGTATACGTATATGTGTATACGTGTGTATATATATGTAATCATATATATAAAAGCTTTGCTTTATTCTTATTTAATTTTGATCTCCCCTTTTACCCCCCCCCCCATGGCATAACCCATCCAATTCCACTTTTTTTCTGTCTTCATTGAATCAAACCCTTCCAAACCTGGCCTCTGCCATGCCTCTTTCCCCTCCCATCCCAACAATGTGTTGTGTCTTCTGTCTCTCCCTCTTCATGGTTTCATCGTTCTCCAGCAACCTTCAGCTTTGAGCCTTAGCCGCAATTATGACAAGCCTTGGCTTGTCAACAGCAAAACCTCCACGCCAGCAAGGCCAATTGGCCAAGACTGTGAGAGTCCACCCTTCGAGGTACGCAAACAATGCCAAGTGTGCCTCGGTACTTTAAGGAAGAGTGTCGATTTGAGTGGCCGTTTCTCTTTCTGCTGCTGGCTTCCACTGGGAAGAGGTTTCCGAGTTCTCGGTGCGCCATCGGAAATTGTTTAACCGTAATCCGGTCACGCTGCTCCATTTTTTTTGTTTGTTGAGTACATGCTTTGATAAACTGCATTGCTGAGGAATGGAACTAGTTTTTTTTATTTTGTTCATTTTACAAACACAAAAGTGTGTCGGGTTTTTTTTTTGGTCTGGATGGCTGAGAAGTACAGGGTGATCCAATTATAGACACCCCACTGTTTTATAACGAGCCGGCTCTCGTGGTTACAAGAGGAAATTGTCTGCCTCCCGCGCCCAACTTTTCACCTTGTGAAAACCCTGTTGGGGGTTTTTGTTTCCTTGTTGGGCTACGTCGAAGACCAACACGTGCGTGACAAAATCACGAGCCACCAGTCGCCTCGACTTACGCATGACTGAATAAGAACAGAAACCTACGTGTGACTAAAGTATACGAAGAGACGACGAAAGTTATGTAATAAATGGATGGAGATCGGTGGGACACGCGTGTAAAGCCCTTGAAATACAATGTTCTATTCCCTCATATTAATTTTATTATAGTGGGATATCTGTACATGAATCACCCTGTATCAACAGCAAGTGCTACTGAAAGGAATAAAAATGCAAGCTCTAACGTTTTGGACATTGAGCTTGTGGACGTCCATTGGTTCGGCTTGCAATTTTATTTTCACTAACTGCATATCTCTTGTATTTTAACAATAATTTTCAGCCATCAACAATCCGCTGCTGAAAGAAGGCATCCCCATGCCATTGCAAGTCATGTGGGGGATTGACCGTAAAGTACTTTGCCACACTAGTTAGTCAGAAGTTGGTGAATGGGGGGAGGGGGGGTGTCCATGATATGTTCAGATGTCGCCACGGGTATTTGCCATGGCCAGGAATTAAACTCAGGTCGTGCTAAGTTCACGGCATTATGTGCTATACAACTATAAGGGTCACCCCTCCCTTGAAATTTTACCAAAGAACACATGCTAAAGTAACCCCTGTCAATATTGGCTGCAAGATTATTTTATCAACTAACTTATAGGAGACTGTATATTGCGTTACGGAAATAACGGAGAGAAGTGATGAACAGCATGGTAGCGAGGCCCTATCGTGTGCCATTGTTCACTGTTCTTCACGTGCCCTGGCAGGTCACTCCTGTGCAGGGCAGCAGACTCCGGCCACCGGGTTACCTGTCTGGCAAAAGCCTTCACACCGGCGACGACAGCCTGACGTCAGACTCTGCCTCTGAAACGCACCCACCGTGCACGCTAGGTGAGTTGCTTGCATTTCTTTGGAAGGTTTTTTTTATTTTTATTTAAAACTCCCTTCCACGCTCGTGCAAACGACTTACTGCTGAGTTTTCAGAATAATAAGTGCGGGGTGGGAGGGGGTGGAAATTATGGCAGTCTCAAATGTCCTCGTTTTTGTGGTGGTTCATTGTAGTGGAAGTGTCGTGTGCTCTTCAAAAAAAATGATTGTATAATTTATTTTTAAATCCCAGGTCTTGCAAAACACTCTTGGTTTCAGTGGGCTGTTACCTAGTCACAAAGGTCTCACCTACTTATATTATCTGTGTGCATACTCATAGAGCAATGAGCTGGCCACAGTAAATAGCTTTAGGTTATTTATGTATTTGTATTGTTTTCAAGACTTGATTACGGTCTCCCTTAAGTAGTATTTGAAAGCTGTACGCACGAATACATCCCAGCAAGTGAAATGTATACCTTTCATAATATTGTTCAGATTTGGCCGTGGTATTTTAATGGTTCAGTGCTGAACATCGCATGGATTCTATGTCTGGCATTTAATGAGTGTAAATATGATTGTAGCTCGAGAGCAATGGTTAGCACGCCGGTCTTTTAATTCAGATGTAGCTGGTGCGACCATTGAAACAATGGAGGTTATTAAATCCCTCCCCCCCCACGTCTCTGTCCACCCAGCAGTATAAATGGTTACACTACAGTTAGTCCATCGGCATGTTACATACGGTGGGGTGAAGTGTTGGTACTCCCAACTCTTCCGAGACATCTGGCCATCGTTGAAGGGTAGGCCGAATATGCTCCAGAGAGGTTCTCTAGACATATAACATGGCGCAAAGGCATGCTAAGAAACACCAGGAAGGCACCGCTCCCATCATAGCTTGTGCATCGTGTCAGTCACCACCACATCGCACGGACAGTTCTCTCAGCCTTGTCTACCACTAACTCATAAGAGATTTGAAAGTGTGGCTGTATTATCGCTTAGGCAACCGACTCAAAAAGGATCGAAAGTGGGGCCATCTATCCAGGCGGCGGTGAAACATTACGGACTCGCCAGTAGCGGTACAGTCATCAGCACCATCTAGGGGAAGGAAGGCCCTTCTCTGCCAGCAGTGGCTTGAGGTTAAGCACTTGTTGCACCGCGCTGTTTATCCTCGTTCTCACACACGCTTTGTGTGTGCGCGTATATGACCTGCAGCCGATTCAAGCCGGTCCCCCAGTCGGACGAGCAGCGCTCTTGGCAGCCGGCCGGGCAGCCGCACCGGCAGCCGTCGCGGCAGCGAGTCGTCGGAGCTGGACGCTTCGGAGCGCTCGATCCTGCAGTCGGACGGCGAGCCGCGGCCCGCCTCGCGCACGGGCGCCCGGCAAACGCCCAAGGGCTCCAAGATCCCCACCACCAACTCGGCCTCCAAACTCGGCGGCCCAGCGTCCTCCTCCGCCTCATCGGCCAGCAAAGGCGCGCGCAGATAGTGACCGGGGCGGCCCCGGGGGCCCCCCCCCCCCCCGCCCACCACCTCCGCCGTCGCTAGACGAGAGCTGAAAGAGATGTAAATTATTTGTGTAAGAATAAAGGAGAAAACAAATAAAATATATAATAATGGAGCTTGCAACGCAGCAGCAGCAAAAGTGACCTTTGTTTTATGCTACGGATGGCCTTACTTATGTAATTTGTGCGTTTTACAAGGAGGTACTTTGTGAACGAATGTCCATAATAATTGTTCATCTTCGTTGTTGTCGCCGTCGTTGATAATGTTTAGAGATAGCTCACCTCTTCACCTCTAATCTTGCTTTGCACGGGAGATGTGTCAGAATGGGATGGCCTGTTTTTGATTGTTTGTAAGGAGGCAAGCTTTCGGGGCTCCATGGAGCTCTATCCATCTTTTGTCACTTTTTTTTAAGTTGTCTTCGGAGCATAAATTATGTGTGACGAAGGCTGCCGAAGAACTTTATATGCACGAACAATGCTATCCATTATTGTCAAACACTTTGAGGATACCTCAGTACAAGGTGAACTGAAACTGCTAAGCATTGCATGGCTCACACTAACGGAACACTAGGTATTAAACGTACACTAGGATATTAAAAGAAAACTGAAATATCTTCAAAGGGATATTTAACATTGAAGACTGGAATTTCGAGAAGCTTGACTTTGTTTAAAATGAGATTAACCGAACTAACTTGGCTGAAAAAGCAAATGCGTATGTAAGCACTTTTTTTCCCCGTTTATATCGGATATACGGAAATTAAATGAACAACAAATCAAGCCATTTCTAGCTTCAAATTAAAAAAATGGATTTCTTTGCCAGATTTTTCTGTTTCAAACAAGGTAAAAACACTACATTAGAAGTTCAACAAATTTTGTTTTGTACAAAAGCAGATGCGCTTGCAATAAAAGAAGCTTGAACAGTTTTCCCGAATATTTTGTATTTGATTTTTTCGTGTTCATGGTCAACAAATATTTGTATTTGGTGTTACAGACGTCAAACACATAGCTATACCATGCTTTGATATATTTCACGAACATTTGCTGCTAAATTCTGATCAACGATAATGGTCACAAATTTGCAATGCTGTATATGTATAATTAATTGAAATACGATGGTATTCTATGGGCACCTGTAAAGGTCTCTAAGTGTGTATGGGTGACATTTTCATTAAGGTTGCGATAGTCATGTTTGCGAGATTTAATTAATTATAACTTTCGTGCTCCATTGATGGCTAACATTGTTATGGCAATGTTTCAAATAAATTGCTTGGTCTACTGCAAGAGTACATGTGCTAAATACTCAACAAAAATTCTGCTATTCTAAAAAGTCACATAAGAGTCATAAGAGTAATTTTTTGCTTTTTTTAAGCAGAAAATCTTTGGATGAAAATACACTCAAAGATCTGTCAATTATGTACTACACTTTTAATTCATTATCCCTTATAACACGTATACATCCAATCAAATGTATGATTTTTTTAGTAGAGAAAAGTCTATAGATCACGTGAACAAGTTCCTTTTTGCTGCTGCCTTACATTTATGCCAGGGCTGTCCAATTTGCCCCGTGGGCCACAATAAATCTCGTCTAATGCAGCCCGCGGCGTTACTCAAATTACAATAAAAATCAGCGCCCGTCACGTGTTATTTAATCACGATGATAACACTTACTGCGCACGACTCTGTGGATCAATTACTTGGGCGGTCTTGGTCAGAATAGAGCAGTGCTTCTTAACCTGGACTACAGCCTTGCACCCCTATGGTTCCCAATCGTACACAAAAATGTGTAATGTTAATAAATACATGGGTGTGATGAAACAAAGTAGTTGTTACGTGGCCGTGCTTAATTTGTGTATCGATGATTTGCCTTCTAAAAAAAAATCTGCCCATGTCTGGCACCCCCCCCATGGGGGTGCACGTGCACCCCAGATTAAGAACCACTGGTGTAGAGGATATGTGGAGTGGGGAAGGGTGCAGAGGGAGGTCATGTGAACCGAGGACCGCATCCTCGCGGTCTAAGTGCTGGGAGCGCGTTCACAATGCATCTCACTTTCATCATTCTCGCTACATCTCTCTCGTATCTCAGTACACAGTATTCACATCTCTCTCATGTCTTCCGTATAGCTCTTCCGAATACTCCTGAAATAAAGTTATAAGTTGTCTCATAATAAGGCTGTGACCTCTGGCTCTGTATGTTAATCAATACAACCGTCAATTCAAAAGGTGTGCACACCTTCTTTACGCCAATGCCATTGCTTAGAAAGAACTTATGTTATAACATCCTGCACTGCCATTCCAAAATTGGCCTATATTTTTTTGTACAGAGTAATTTGCACCAAATGGAGTATCACCTTTTAACTGCACCGTGACCGAAGATTTTATCTGTTCAATTCTATTAATGGAATACAATTTGTGAAAATCACCATTTAGAGCATTGCTTGATACCTGCTACGGATGAAGTGTGTACCCAAAGACTGCTCTGCATTATACTGATCATGAACTGTTAACCTCTTAATGGGACAGTGGACCATCGACTATTAGGTGGCCGTCTTGTCTTATTGTTGTTAAATCATTGTCGTGCGTGTACCCACTGGATCTCGTGAGCTTGATTGGCCATGTGTGTGTGTATATTTATGTTGAACTTCTTTCGCACCATCACTTCCATGTGGACACCGCTCATTTGTGCCTGGACCAAAGCATTTTTGGAGTCATCACATCTATCCTTTAATTTTAAAAAAACCCCAAAGAAGTTGTAATTCGGTAGATCTTACCAGATAGCTTAACGCTTATATACTTATATAGCTGTGCTGCTTCAACGTATGCCAATACAGAAAATATTCAGAATAGGTGTCAAGGCGCGTCTTGTTATAAATACAGCGCAATAGGACTTAAGAGCAGTCCATAACTCAAGCTGCGTGCCTCCAAGCGCTCTCCAATGATGAGCAGGGACACAGAGGGCCACACCTGAAGCAACTGCGTTGGGTGGTTTCAGGGCAATCCAGTTTGGAGACCGTCACTTCAAAAGCCTCACCCAAGTGAATGGTAAATAGCTCACATATACGCATTGCTCTTTTTTTGTAAAAAAAAATGTGCGTTCGTGGTCTGCAGTGATTTTAAACGTGCGTACTATAATCATGCTCTTACACTACGGGCCAATCAACTGTTGTAGTTGAATACCAGCTGTAGGTGTTTATAGTGCTTTGTTTAATACAGGAAGTGTAGATTGTTGTACGTAGATGCATTTTGCTGACGGAGGACACATTTATTGGACCAAGTAGTGTTGACAATTTGAGAGAACATGACGTTACCGCAGTATAGCTTGAAAATGAGTGATAGCATTTAAACGTGCTGTACACACCGTGAAACGTGGTGTGATAAGTTTTAACAAATCCACATTGCAGACGGTGATGTATGCGACTCCATCCAGGATAAATAAAAGGTGCACCATTGAAATCTACTGCAATGCAACATATAATCCAAAATAACCGGTTTTCTATTTGGGGGAGGGGGTGGAAATTGGTAATGGATATTTTGTTGAAATTGGAAAGGGTTGTTTTCTTTACAGAAATAACTTAAACAGTGAAACAGCATACACGTTTAAAACTGTAAAGATGGATCCGTTCGCCCATCCCCCCTTTGTTCAGATTTCACAACTGATAAGTTGGTTTTCACGAGTAACCAAATGAGGTTCCAAAGAGATTGATTGTTGTAAAGAGGGGAGAGGGTTAAGTGAGGGACAATTCGAGTGAAATCATGCATGGACGGGCCCATGGTACAGCCGGCGTGCGGGGGAGCGAGGGGGTTTGGGGCTGAGGACGTGACATTTTTGGAGTTGGCAGGAAAGAGAAAGTAGGTTGGTGGGATTCGGGATTGGTGGAAAATAACGAGATGGAAAATAATGGTGGGGAGGAGGTGAGATAAAAGGGGTGTCACGAGGAGTGGACAGGAGAGTGAGCTTCCACGCTGTGTGTATGCACACACAGCAGAGGGGTACGGTAGACGCGTTCCCAAAAGAAAAAGGGCGCACAAAGGGAAACCGCACGAGACGTCTGTCTGCCCGGTAGCGCACACAGTACATGCACACAGTACATGCGCACAGTACATGCGCACAGTACACGCGCACAGTACACGCGCACAGTACACGCGCACAGTACACGCGCACAGTACACGCGCACAGTACACGCGCACAGTACACGCGCACAGTACATGCGCACAGTACACGCGTAATGACGACTTGACACACTTCTCTTGAGATGGAACTTTATTGAAGACACGTTGACACTCTTGACATCAGGCGGAGACCCCCACTGCAGCAGCCCCGAGTCTCCCGTGCATCTCCCCCTTTTATACCGACACGAGGCCACGCCCCCCCTTCCCGAACTTTCTCGCTGACTCTGGACGCTCGCTCCGCCGGCAGACTCCACCGTCCACTTCCCTCGCCTGACCGCGCTCCCTTATCGAACATTCCCGTAGCCACCAGTCCCTTTGCAGTCACAACTGACTCCCCTGTCATTACCTCCCGTGGCCACCAGTCCCTTCGCACTCACAACTGACTCCCCTGTCATTACCTCCCGTGGCCACCAGTCCCTTCGCACTCACAACTGACTCCCCTGTCATTATCTCCCGTGGCCACCAGTCCCTTCGCACTCACAACTGACTCCCCTGTCATTACCTCCCGTGTCTACCAGTCCCTTCCCACTCACAACTGACTCCCCTGTCATTACCTCCCGTGTCCACCAGTCCCTTCGCACTCACAACTGACTCCCCTGTTATTACCTCCCGTGGCCACCAGTCCCTTCGCACTCACAACTGACTCCCCTGTCATTACCTCCCGTGTCCACCAGTCCCTTCGCACTCACAACTGACTCCCCTGTCATTACCTCCCGTGTCCACCAGTCCCTTCGCACTCACAACTGACTCCCCTGTTATTACCTCCCGTGGCCACCAGTCTCTTCGCACTCACAACTGGCTCCCCTGTCATTACCTCCCGTGGCCACTTGTGCATTCGTAATGTAGGCTGACTTCCCCTGCCATTACCTCCCGTGGCCACTAGGCCCCACACACCACATGCAGGCTCTATGTCATTACACATGCACACAGTCCACACAGTTGTCCCACCTCCGATTACAACATAGCTGCATATGGGTGAATTAAAACGGAATAGAGCGAATTATCGGTAAAAATAGGTTCGCCACACATGAGAAATCGCACAAACCGAACCCGTATAAATCGAGGGACACCTGTATAGCGTGGAACAATAATGTTCAATGACCAATGAGGAATCGCGTGCAATTTGTTTTTGCAAAGCATTGATATTTATTCAACAATATACAAGACAGAACAATTTCAATATGCAAAAGCAATATCGAAAACAAATATAATTGATATGAGATTCAGCAATCAGAAGTTTACTTTCTAGAATATTACCATTCATCCCATACACAGCAAATAACACCTGTCGACATTTTGAGAGGGACCAGTTACTATTTCATGAAATAGCTTAAACATGAAGGTGGCCGAAGGACGTTAAGGAGACTGCTTAATTTATTTATTAACACCAATTTTTCAGTGTGTAAAACACAACATCGAAAGGAAAACATTGATATTCCGATGTTATCGTCGGGATGGATGCAACATCGATGTCCACGCATCAGAACTAAAAACATCGATGTTAACGTTGTTTTGTTTGCCCATGCCTACTCCACCACGAACGCAGCCGAAGGTAACCCGCACAAACGACCCAGGTGAGAACGCTCTCCGCAAGTGCGCGTCACCATGGGACGAAGCGGGCTTCAAAGCATTGAAGACCCAGTTCGACTCCAGGCCACGGTGAAGGTTTCCTAAGGTTTCTGGGAGTTCCTCAAACCACCCCACAGCAATCTTGCCTCTACAGAATATTACTTTACAAAATATTACTTTACAGAATATTACTTTACAGAATATTACTTTACAGAATATTACTTTACAGAATATTATTTTACAGAATATTATTTTACGGATTACTTTACAGAATACTTTACAGAATATTACTTTACCGATTACTTTACAGAATATTACTTTACAGAATACTTTACAGAATATTACTTGACAGAATACAGAATATTACTTATTATCTGCAATATGTACACCTGTTCGCGATGGGCGACAGGAAATTTCGTTTAAAAATTTGACCATCGTTTGTTTGGCGTGAAAAACACAACATCCAAATGGAAACATCAATGTTCCTGATTTATCAGTTTGCGTTGTTCATCCCTCGACTGAATAGCCTTATACGGTAACGTTGGGAGTCTTTGCACGTGTATGTGTGCCCAAGCAGCTTCTGTTTGTTCGGATAGCGGGGGCTAAACGGGCGCGGCACGAGCTACAGAAGAGATGGACTTGATGCGGTACAGGAGGATGTTGGAGCTGAGCGAACTTGCCCAACGACCGGTTTTTCCAGCGGTGTCAAGATCGGCCTCTGTGGAGGAGGCTCGTGAAGGACGCGACTGGGCAGTTGGAGGCAGTCGCCCTCCAACAACAGCAGGGCAGAGGAGCGTCGCTCACAACAATCGGAGCGCGCGCCGGGTGGATTGAAAGCAGCGAGTTGCCACAGGAGGGAGCCTCTGCCAGTCATCTCAGTCAACCCATGGCACCTGGGTTTGTCACTTGGTCTCAAGGTGGACCTAACCTGGCACAAGCACCGTGGTGATGTCACCACCACTTAGTGGCGAATAACGATTTTCGTTGCACATGTGTACATGCCTATAACAGTGGCGAATTTTTGAACCGGTGCTGGGCCTCTCCTAGGTCGACTCAGCCGTAAATGAATACCTGGTGCGGTGTTTAAAACGTCTGCACTCGGGTGACAAAGGCGGCCGGGCGTGGTGCTGGCCACACACCCCCTCGTGTGCCTTGCCGGCCTTCATGTGTGTTCTCTAACAGCACTTGCACCCACCACTGAATGTGTGTGGGTGTTGGTGCGTGCGCACTGTGCTCCGAATCCCAGCGATACGAGTCTGATTAACAGGCTGGCCGGGCGATTCGATTGGCGAGTAATTTTCAGAACCTGTTCTGAGCGTCTTCAAGGTTCAGCTCGGCATTAGATGCGGCCGATCCGGCGTGCAGCACGACGCCTGTAATCCATCGCTTAGGAGGCATGGGTTGGTGGATCACGCGCAGGGGGGGGGAGGGGGGGGTTGAGAAATGTGACGTCACATAAAAATGCGGAAATTTAAATATATTGTAACAATATAATTGTTATAAAAACACTAATTTTGATTAATTTTCATTATTAACTATTTGATTATTTAAATTTACTAAGGTCACCTTTTATTTATTCCATGAAGGAGCCTTTTGCGTCTCCATGGTAGAATGGAGAAGCATACATTTTGAATTTTTTTTGAATGATTGTTATTAAACATTTTCATTTTAATGATTCTACCAGGGCTTTTCATTCTATGCAATGAATATGTGATTGTTATAATTGTACTCTTTATTTTGCTTCGTTCTACTACAAAGTTCCAAGTATTTTTTATCGTTATAATTACTTTTAATATTTGATAATTATGAGAAAATTTCAATGTAATATTCTGAACATCTGCAGTTTTAGTTGAATATTTTCAAGGGAATTTTATGCTAAATTTTAGCTTTCCAACGCCTCCTTTTTAATACGTGTTTCTCCTACAACACCAGAGTGCAGCGCCACATTAAATACGCACTACAATGACAATAGTTTAAAGTGATTTGAAGCATGTTTTATTTTCAAAATGAAAATATGGTTTTGGGGGGGGGGGGGGGCGAGCTTTGTGACGTCATATTTGAGGGGGGGGGTCTGACTTTTTGTGACGCCGTGTGACGAGGGGGGAGGGGGGGTCAAAAATCGGCAAAAAATCCCCCCCCTCCCGCTCTCAACTGCCGAATGGACGCGTCCACTCGCCTGGCTCCGCCCACTCGCCTAGCTCCGCCCACTCACCTGGCTCCGCCCACTCGCCTGGCTCCGCCCACTCGACTATCTCCGCCCACTCGCCTGGCTCCGCCCACTCGCCGGTAGTGACGTCACACACTTCGAGGCGGTCTGGTGAGGTTGACGCTCCACGTTTAAGCTCCCGACAACAACGCTAAGTTTTAGCTCCAGGATATTCACTGAGCTCCACTTACTACAGCTGCTTCGCCATGGAGTTCAAGTTCTTCAAACTGCTCCTTCCGCTACTACTGCTGCTTCTTGCGGGGTTCCATCCTTCGGCTGCAAAGCCCGTGATGTCCAAAAACAGCATCAGTGCGCCTGAGGGTAAGAGTGATGAATAGGGATCCATAGGAATTCCACCAGGAGATCCACTGGGCTCCACTAGGGCTTTACACGTGCGCTGGTGATATTAGTGGCACTGTTGGTGGATGTGGGCAGCAGTGACGCAGTGGTTAGCACGCTGTGATACGAACCCAGCAACCCAAGTTTTGATTTCTACTCACGGCCAACACCAGTGATGATTATCCGAACCGTTCATGGTCCTCCCCGAAGTCGACTCAACCTCACATGTGGACTGTACCTGGTGTGGTGTGCAAACATTGTCGCTGGGGAGACAAGGGTTGTCGGGCATGGTGCTGACCACCCACCCCCTCGTGTACAGTGTTGGCCTTCATAGTTGCTTGCTTACAGCACTTGCCTCAACAATTTGTTAAGACTATATGAGGGGTCTTTGTGTTTTGTTTGTTGGTGGATGTTGTGATGCAGGAGATGGTGTTGAAGGCAATGCTTTGTGGTTGCCTTGTCGTCCTCGTGGTTGGCTTGTGGCGATTGGGATGGTGTTGATGCCCTGGTGGTTGTTTCAATTATGTGTTGTGTTGGTAGTAGTGGTTGTGATGCGATAGTAGCAATGTTGATGCTGGTAAATACGAACGTAAATTGAGGTCCTTCAAATTGGTGAAACAAAAACCTGTTTCACAAAGTTTCCAAGTCACATGTGCATCTCCTGAACCTACAAATTATAAGAATCAGAATATTTACGTATACTGGATGAATCCAATGAGCTATACAGCTGTTTTTCACAGATCTCCAGTTTGGGGGAGGTCAGAACGTTACAACAACAAACAATACAAAAACACGATAGGAGTGCAGAGTATAGGAAATATAACAATTCACTTATAAATATATACAAATAAAACAATTTTTGTTACCTTATCTTGGCAAACAGCACGTGTAACCTCGTGGTCATTTTAGATCCTCATGCTTTTATTCACCGACCAAATGTCGCAAGTCAAAAAGACATTCTATCGATGCCAGTGTTTCATTGCCCGCATATGGAATATTCTGAGACTCTCATCCATGCCTTCATTACTTCTCTGTTGGACTACATTTCAAGTCGCTCCCCTTACGGTTTCCCTGCTGTGGTCATTTCAAGGTTCAAAACGGTCCAGAATTCTGCTGCGAGGCTCTTGGGCCGTACTCCAAAAGCCTTTTGAGTGCAGAGGCTTCGGTGCAATCAATGCCAGTGAAAGGTTTGGTGTCATACACATAGGATGGGTGTGTGATGATTTTGCCATCGTCACACGTTGGTTCCGGTGGTCGGTCGTTCAGGAGTGGAGCCGGCGATGGGAATGTCCGGCTGGATCCAGCGGATGCGCGGCGTGAAAATGACGACAGCCCCCCCTCGGACCAGCGCGACTGCAACCCCTCAAGCACCCGACATTGTCCACAAATCTTCAGGTAATTATCTTATGATTATCCCTCTAGCGGTGTCTAGCCTTAACTCCAAGCCCTATGCGTAATGCTAAACCTAACCCTAACTGTAAACCTAAACTTTGTAACTAGCGATTGAAAAAGGAATGGCTTCACCCTTTCTGGCAATAATATAGAAGGTGTTTAGATTTTCCCACACCAAATACATACCTATTGGAAGGCATCGACTCTGCATTAACCACAAATGTTCGTGGTAAATCATGCAAACAAACATGCTTCGAAAATGAATGTATTGTCCTTGAGACTAATTGACCTCCACCAGAGACAGCCTCCTTTATGGCCTTGTCTCACCAGTGTTAGACTAGAGAATGCAAAAAGGCTAACAACACGAAACGAATACACATATTAAAGCATTAATAACTGAGGTTGAACAGTTATATCACTGTCCCTAACCCTTACTAATTAGGAATGTGAGTCACCCCTGTTGATATTTTGCTGGAGATAACTTAATGAATGTTTGCTCTCCCTTGTGTGTGGACGCAGTCTACAAGACGGTTATGTTGTCCGTCCTAAGTTCCATTGGGCTGATCACCCTGTGTGTTGGTGCAAGGCTTCTATACTGGCGTTACGTGAGGTGAGTGTGATGATGATGAGGGTAAATGCAGGGTCCAGGGAGCACATGTTTCTTAAAATCAACCGCTCTTTGCCATTGGTTCCATTTAAACCGCCTCCCTTCCATGTAAAACACTGCGTATGTTCTTTGTAAAAATATAATTGTAGAATGTTTGGAGTCAAGGGTAAGCCCTTCATCTTAAAGTGACTTGAAGAAAAACGAAAAACAAACAGCTCTTATCTTGTAGCTTCATAACTAATCAGCGAGTCCTTGGCAGTTTAGCACGCGTTTTATTTGATGGTACGATGAACTTCTGTAAAATGAGTATCATGTTTTAAAATGAATAATGCATCCGAAATCACATTCAAGCAAGGCAGCATCACCCCATGTTAGACAATGGTCCATGGAAACATATCACACAATTACTGAACTCACTTCAAGTGGCCTCTCATGTACACCACGGGGCAACAATTCCCCCATCCGCTTTCACAGAGTAACGTCCACCACACAACTCTCAGCGCTCGGATTTAACTGAAATCAATGCACTCCTCAGCAGTAAAAAAAATCTCAGCAGTGCCGGTTCACACGAACATATCTCTACACCAACCAGCCACCAGCAAGCAGTGATGAATAACTAATTAAAGAAGCTTCAAATGCATGTGAAGCTTTGTGAGACAATGTCTATGTGTGTGTGTAGTAGGAGCTAGGATAGGGGTCGGCAACCTGTGACTCCAGAGTAGCGTGCGGCTCTTTAAGGGTTGCTTCGTGACGTTTATTTATTTATTAAGGACTGTCTGGTATTCACCACAGTGCATTACGGCTGTTGAAATATTGAGGGTTTTTTTTTTTACCGAATAAAAAAATGGTTCTTGTTATTTCGATCGCCAACCCCTGATGTAGGAAGATAAGAGCACTGTGCAGGAGTATAGGAACCCATGATGAACACTGTACAAGCCACATGCACTGCATCCTAGCAAGGCAACCTTTCATGTCTAAACAATTTTCTTCCGCTTCTCTTTTGCACTTTTTGTGGTAGCCTTTCAGCACAGCCTGCAGATGATGGTGGCGAAGCCAATGTCATGAACAGTGATGAAGAAGACGCGCCACCATCACTCTGGAGCGATATCTCACGAGTCCTCACGGCAATTCGCCAATACATAATGCCGCAGCCAAGGGCCGTGGATGAAGAAGGTGAAGACGTTGCACCAGGCGGGTGGTTTATGGAGATTCTAACTACCTTGGTGCAAAGCTTGAAGCCTGAGCCAGGGACCAGCAGCAGCACAGATGGCAATGGTGATGCCCACAAAAAGTCGCACCATAAGGCGAAGAACCTGAAGACAGGTGAGAGAAGTGTGTGTGTCTGTGTGCATCTACCAGTCATCTCGCACCTCCGATTAGCACGGCTGGCTATGTGTGGTACAAAGAAGTTCAACTTACCTTCATCTCAGACAAACTGTGGCACCTGGATCTGTTCCATGACCTGCCAGCGAGCCTTCGACATTTCACTTGGCCTCAAAGTGCACGTAGCATGGCACACGTGCCGTAGTGACTTCACCGCCACTTGGTCGCAAACGGGAGTTGTGTTTTACATGTTGCCTTCATGATGGTATACCACTCGTAAAATGTTGGCAGAACATTGAATTGCAATAGTCATGCAATTCTACATTACTAATCTGGCCAGAGTTGAAAACGCTCGATTTTTTTCTTTCATGAACAAATCCTCCGTCACTAGATCTGACAACAGTCGTAAGACTGGGCCAGAGCCTGTGGCTCTTACTTCACCAATATAATTTGACGTAAAGCAGATATCGGTCCATTGATGCTTTTTCTGTTAACTGATTCATTCCAATTACTCACCATTGTTAAGTTGTTTCCCTTCACGTGATCTGTCTCCTTGCAGGCAAAAAGAAGGAAAAGTTCAAGAAATTCCTGGCAAATAAGAGAACGCAAGTGAAGAAACTGCACAGCAAATTCAAGGCGACTTTCAAGAAGAAAATGCCAAAATTTAAATTTAGGAGGAAGCGCAAATAGTCGTGGACAGTGACTACCTTTCCTTGACAACCCCTCCCCGCTCCTCCTCTTCACTCCGAACATTTATGAATTAACATGATCACATCTCTCGTCATATCGCATTGCCTGCTCCCTACTTCAACCCTTCACAAAGTTTAATGATTCCTCGTTTAGCCCAAAACAGATTGTTTGGGCAAGGCCGGCATAGTGGTCACGCCCGGCTGCCTTTGTTTCCCGAGTGACGATCTTTTTGCATTCACCATGTCCTCATTTGAGTTTGAGTCAACCCACAGGAGACCCACCTGTTTTGTTACCAGAACAAAGGGGAAAACACATTTTCATACTTCAACCCACATGCACACATATAACACAGAGATCCCCTGTATAGCCTTAGACTGTTCGGGCAAGTGCTGTTAGCGCCGGTCCCCGACCACCTCTCCTGCCTGTCCCGCGCCATGTGGGCATTTCTACTTGGTGGCCTGGCTGCCGGCGGTTGCCCACCGGGCATCGCCGGCACCGAGCGACTTCCGCGCCATCCCTCGAAACCGTTGGGCCGCTCCGTCACCCGCGTCTGGCGGCTCCTTTTCCGGGCCACTTGGCTGCCAAGGCATCGGCAGCCCCGGGACATCGGGGCTTTGTGCGGTCCGAAGGATGGAAGGTCGAGCTCCGGGCCGGGGGAGTCTTCACCATATCAGCATGCCGGGCACGGAGGGAAGCTTCGCGTCCGTGGAAAGCAAGCCGGGCCGAGGCTGCGGGTTCTTCCTTGTCGCGGGCCCCGGCCAGGACTCCACTGCTGCACTGCGTGGACATTGCGGAACTCGTCGGTGGTGTGGGGGGCTCCATCGCCGTGGGCCCCTTCTCCCTCCTGGCTCCAGCCCCTCGCCCCGCCCCCCTTTGTCTTTCCAATGCAATTTTGGCCAACTACCTTTCAATGTATCTTTTCAAATGATTGTTATGCTAGGTACAATTGTATAATTGCTGTACAGCGCCTTGTTAAAGGCACTATGTAAATATCATTAAGATAAGATGCACACTTGCGCAAATGCTGATATACATGTAACATGAAAAAGCTAATTTTATTTGCAATGTATTTACAATGTCATGTTGCTTCTGTTGAACAATGCAATATTCACATGTACATATATGATTCTGCAGCTTCACACGTGGTCACTCCTGCGAATGATCTGTTTAATTCCCAGCCAGTTCCGTCAACCCAGGCTTGGCTCAGAGCTCACATCCTCCTCACTCGAGCTTTTTTTACTGCTTGTAGTGCATTGCGCATTGGGATCCTAGGATGGAATGCGCATTATAAATTTTAATTATTTTTTTAGATTAGAGGAATCTGATGAGATACGAAGCTCTTTTTCACATGTCCAGTAGGGGTGGGTCAAGGCCCTGGTTTCAATACTGGTAATAGAAAACAGCACTTGAGTTTGTACTTCCTACCTTGGGGCCACTTCTCCTCACCACTGGTTTCTGAGTCATCGAGTGGCCCATCACTACGATGCTGAATTGACACCAAGTGCTCTGATGCTCAATGTTGGCCCCACTCAAGCTATTGGGGCTAACAATCCACCACCCTGGATATTCCATTCACAATAGTAATTTGGGGTTGACAATCCAAGGTTCAATTATTTGTTAAATATTGCCTTGAATGATTTCCGCTCGTGGCTGCAAGTCTAATACCCGTATGACTTGTTTCCATGCATCAGCAATATCACCCTCCATGGTCATTCCACTGCTGGATAAAGACCTCCCGAAGCCATATTAATATTTCATGATCCCCACCGGAGGGCCACTAGAGTGAAGCTGGACCGTACGCTAACATTCCATGACAAACTCAAAAAGGTAGCCTCCAAGACCAAAACAAGGGTCAACCTGGTCCAGAAACTGCCAAGCACACGCTGGGCAGCATCAGCACCAGTGCTGCGGACTATCAGCGATGGCCCTTGTGTGCTCTGTAGCCGAATACTGTTCACCAGTATGGACCAAAAGTAGTCACCACTCGACTTGTTCATGTCAAACTGAACACTGCAATGCAGTGGATCACTGGAACCCTCAAGTCAACACCAACACCCTTGGCTCCCCGTGCTGTTACACATCTCTCCCCCACCCATCCGCTGCAACACTGCAAACCTCTGGGAAGGCCTGCAAATCGAGGAAAACAGTCGCCCATTCATTAGGACCTCAACAACGTCCCTTGTCATCATTTGAAGTCAGGCAAGCTCTTTTGGACCCATGCGCTTAGCCTTAAACAATGCCAATTCAAACCCGATGAAGCTTGGGAAGTTGAATGGAGTTCAAAAGAACGCAACAACATCTTGTGAATGACTCAATGCAGAAGATCCCTGGATTTAATCTTCCACGATGATCATGGTCCACCATAAAACGCATCCACTGCACAAACCATGGTGGATGCGGACCCTTGATGCACAAATGGAAAATAAAAAAAACTCTCCAGTCGTGTGCGACTGTAGTCATCCAGAACAAACCATAGAGCATATAACAATGCAATGCTCGATGCACACACATACGAAGGAGACATCACAACGATACCCTCCACTGCTCCTTACGCGGTTGTCCGCTGGCTTGACAACCTTGAATGTGAAATTGTAGTCGTTGCTCTGCATCTACATCAGCAGCCACACATGACCAGAAGAAGAAGAGACTGCTGCTGCCCGTCTGTCTCACTGCTGCCTGTCCGTCGGTCACATTGGCTCATATTTATTTTGGGTGCTGACCTAAGACAAAAGACGACGCATGAAGCAGTTCTTGAGGTCCCGCTGATGGTTTTTTGACACAATGTACACGACATAGGGGTTTTGTGTGTGCGGGGAGTAGTGGTGTAGTGGTTAGCGCGCTGCGCTACGAACCCGGCGACCCGAGTTCGATTTCCGCTCACGGCCACCAACACCGGTGACGATTATCGTGGGCCTCTCCCCTAGGTCGACTCAGCCTCCAACGAGCACCTGGTACGGTGTGTGCTAGCACACCCACCCCCGTCGTTGTGCCATGCCGGCTTTAATAGGTGCTGCTCACTAATAGCACTTGCCACAACACTCTGTGAAGGCTACACGGTGGGGGATCTTTGTCTTTGTTGTGGAGACGCGGCCAGATTTAAAATAACGCCAATGCCATTCACTCTCAAATATTAACATTATTATTTGAGTGCCTACGTACTAAAACGTATCTAAGTTGCCTTCATGTCGGCTTGTTTTCTTGAGTGTCACACAGAATTGTACGCACGTTAACAATACGTTGAAGAACGACTACTTTAAGGTCTTCCAGAGTCGAGATCTTGTTGGTGTATTGCCCTATAACACACTGCTGAGGCCCCATTATCCGAAACCAGTTGCCAGTCTGGTTTTCAAGAGACCGCCAGTAACACTGAGAAGTAAATCAGTCCTGTGTAATAATATACGTCACTGTTTGATGTTAGAGTTGCCACCTGGTCCACTTAGTGTTGCCAACTCTGGCCGAAGCTGTTACGGGATATTAATTTAAATTTATTTATTTTCTTAAAACATCCTATATTGAACATCTCTTGGATTAATCTTCTTTGGTTCTTTCGGTAAAGTCACGTAGAATGAGAATAAAATAATAAATTGATAAAATAAAATAACGCAATAATATTCTCACGACGTTTCGGCCACAACACAAGCGGCCTTCATCAGGTGAAGGGACGAGACTGTCTGGAGGACAGCGCTGGAGTGAAAAAGCCACGCTCAGATCGCGACCTTTAAGCTGTGTGAGAAGAAACAAAGCGCCTTGACAAAGGAATTAGCATAGAATTTAGCATTGAAATGGCTGAGTGATTAGCTTGTGACTGGTCACAGAAATGGCTATGTTAACGTTAAAGCATACACATCCGCAGAGGCACCCCTTGATTAAAGAATTGGCATAGAATTTAGCATTGAAATAACTAAGGTTAAGCATACACATTCACAGAGGCACCTAGTACAAATCAAACAGGAGAATTTAGCATTGAAATAACTAGGCGAATTTAGCATTGAAATAACTGAGTGATTAGCTTGTGACTGGTCACAGAAATGGCTATGTTGAAGTCAAGGCCTACACATCTGAGCTATTCACAGTAACTGGGTATACACTACAATATATAATGAATACTACATAGTGAACCAATAAAAAACTCAAATATAAATTACCTCAATGTTATCAATAAACTCTATATATTCTCCAATCAGCTAAGCTACCAACAATAAGTCCTTATATATCACAATGCTATATGGCGAAAAAATGGGTGGATTCTTACCCTCAACTTTAGCAACACGGATAGCTACGGGCCCCGTTCAGACGGACGAGTTCATCCATGGTCGGAACAGAGGAGGGGGAGAGAGACAGCTGCGAGGCGCTGTTATACTCCATGTTGTAAACCATACCATTAACCGTGGTGTGAGAGGTATTTAAGAGTCAATGCCAGCGAAAGAGCTGCGGTCTGAAGGTCATCGTAAAATACAATTAATTAAGAACGGAAATGGTTTAAAACATCTTTCCAATGGTTACTAAGCCAGAATCCATCTTCTCGGTTGAAATTGTCTCTGCGCTTGTATATGTGAATGGCCTCATGAACGAATCTCTCATGGTAGCCGGTTGGTTTGCAAAGAACCTCCGTCTTGGAGAAGTCAATGTCATGTGAGCCCACTGAATTATAACAGTGATCTGAATTATAACAGTGATCTGTTATAATTCAGTGGGCACACATGACATTTACTTCTCCAAGACGGAGGTTCTTTGCAAACCAACCGGCTACAGTGATCTGTTATAATTCAGTGGGCTCACATGACATTGACTTCTCCAAGACGGAGGTTCTTTGCAAACCAACCGGCTACCATGAGAGATTCGTTCATGAGGCCATTCACATATACAAGCAAAGAGACAATTTCAACCGAGAAGATGGATTATGGCTTAGTAACCATTGGAAAGATGTTTTAAACCATTTCCGTTCTTAATTAATTGTATTTTACGATTACCTTCAGACCGCAGCTCTTTCGCTGGCATTGACTCTTAAATACCTCTCACACCACGGTTAATGGTATGGTTTACAACATGGAGTATAACAGCGCCTTGCAGCTGTCTCTCTCCCCCTCCTCTGTTCCGACCATGGATGAACTCGTCGGTCTGAACGGGACCCGTAGCTATCCGTGTTGCTAAAGTTGAGGGTAAGAATCCACCCATTTTTTCGCCATATAGCATTGTGATATATAACGACTTATTGTTGGTAGCTTAGCTGATTGGAGAATATATAGAGTTTATTGATAACATTGAGGTAATTTATATTTGAGTTTTTTATTGGTTCACTATGTAGTATTCATTATATAGTGTAGTGTATACCCAGTTACTGTGAATAGCTCAGATGTGTAGGCCTTGACTTCAACATAGCCATTTCTGTGACCAGTCACAAGCTAATCACTCAGTTATTTCAATGCTAAATTCGCCTAGTTATTTCAATGCTAAATTCTCCTGTTTGATTTGTACTAGGTGTCTCTGTGAATGTGTATGCTCTGACTTTAACATAGCTATTTCTGTGAGCAGTTACAAGCTAATCACTCAGCTATTTCAATGCTAAATTCTATGCTAATTCCTTTGTCAAGGGGTGCCTCTGCGGATGTGTATGCTTAACCTTAGTTATTTCAAAGCTAAATTCTATGCCAATTCTTTTATCAAGGGGTCCCTCTGCGGATGTGTATGCTTTATCTTTAACATAGCCATTTCTGTGACCAGTCACAAGCTAATCACTCAGCCATTTCAATGCTAAATTCTATGCTAATTCCTTTGTCAAGGCGCTTTGTTTCTTCTCACACAGCTTAAAGGTCGCGATCTGAGCGTGGCTTTTTCACTCCAGCGCTGTCCTCCAGACAGTCTCGTCCCTTCACCTGATGAAGGCCGCTTGTGTTGTGGCCGAAACGTCGTGAGAATATTATTGCGTTATTTTATTTTATCAATTTATTATTTTATTCTCATTCTACGTGACTTTACCGAAAGAACCAAAGAAGATGAATCCTTGCAGTCACGAAAGCTTTAAATCGAAATCTCTTGGATTGTTCTGCAATCGCCACCGAGAGATCAACACAAATCCCGCGAGATTCCCGGCCAATCTGGAACGGTTGGTAACTCGAGTTCCGCTGTCAACCAAACCGGGTCACGTGGTCTCAACAGTCAGCCCAGGGTGCGTTAGGGGCCGCCCATAAATGACGTCACGCACCTAGGGGGGGAGGGGGTCAGACATTTGTGGCGATGTGTGACGATTGGGGGTGGGGGAGGGGTTGAGAAATGTGACCTCACATCAAAATGCGCAACTTTAAATAAATAGAAACAACACGTTCTACTTATATTCTTGGTTCTTTCGGTAAACTCACGTAGAAGGGAAACAATAAAATAATAAAAAAACAATAAAATTCTCACGACGTTTCTACTTAATAAAATAGACTTTTTTTAATAAAGGTTCTCTCCTACAATATCAGAGTGCAGCGCCACATTAAATACGCACTACAACAGGGGTGTCCAAACTTTTTTTCTCGAGGGCCACATACAGAAAAATATACGAAGGACTGGGCCACTCACTAGACGTGAGGTATACTGCCTCACTTCTCATGCACTAATATTGGAAAAATCAATCAAATGCAGAGACAAGAAGAGAAATAGGGGATGTGGATATTTCAAGCTTATTACACAAATAAATTATTGGGCTTGTTAACACATCAACTAACGTTTGTTAAAAAAATTATCAACTTTAATTGACTGAATTTATAAAGTAATTGGGCTAATTAACAAATGAAAACTGCGTGTATATTTTGAACTCACCTGTAATGGGAAAAATGTTGCGCTCAGTGGGAGCAGTGATGCTGCGCTTTGGTGTGAAGGATAGCTGGCAGGTCAGGAGTAAGTTTGGTGGTTGAGATGCGAAGGACGTCACGGAGATGGCTGTCGGTCGTTCTGGTTCTCAGTCTGCTTTTGTTCAGCGTTAACAGAGAGAATGTCTGCTCACAGATGTATGTTGAGCCGAACAGACTCATCATTCGTTTTGCATGGCGTCTCATCAGAGGCCTTTTCCAAGCTCCGGTAGAAGTCAGGTAGGGAGAGAAGCTGATGCTGATTCTTCAGAGAAACATCGCACTGAATTTCGATCAGTTCTAATTGCAGACTCTCCTCCACTTCTTTTGCATCCATTGAAAACGGAGCCGCAAACAGTGTGATTTCCTTCTCAATGACAGAAAAATCTTGGAAGCGCTGACTGAATTCTGTCATGAGAGATGTGATCACAGACACATATTCTCCCATTTTTGTGCTTTTGGTTTCGGTCAGTGTGGGGAAGTGCGCTACATTGAAGTTGCGCAGTTGAGACTCGAAGAGACGGAGCTTCGCATGGAATGCTTTCATGTGCGCATACAGCTGTGGTACCAGCTGCTCTTTGCCTTGTAGTCTCTTGTTCAGGGTGTTGAGATGATCAGTGAGATCAACTAAAAAAGCCAGGTCTGCCAACCATAAAGGGTCACTGATCTCATGGATAGGTCTGCCCTTTTCTTTAAAAAAAACTTGTCGATATTTGATCTCAGGGAATAAAACCGCTGCAGCACGGAGGCGCGACTGAGCCAGCGCACTTCAGAATGGTAGAGTAGGTCCCTGTATTCAGCATCGACATCAGAGACAAACGCTTGAAATTCTCTGTGGTAAACCCCTCGTGCCCGAATTATTTTGACAGTTTTCACAACTGTGTTCATCACATCGCCAAGCTGGATTATCTTGGCACAGAGGGCTTCTTGGTGGATGATACAGTGCATTTTGACAGGCTCGCCTCCGCTCTCCCACACCTTGGCACTCACCATAGAGGCCGTTCCTTTGCGCTCGCCTGTCATTGCTGGAGCCCCACCCGTTGTAATTCCACACAGCTTGTCCCATTTAAGTCCAGCCTGGTCAATTGCATCTGACACAGCTTCAAACATGTCCTTCCCAGTTGTTGTCCCCTTTAGACTCCGAAGATCGAGGAGTTCCTCCGTAATGCAAAAATAATCATCAACTCCCCGCAAAAAAAATTAACAGCTGTGCAGTGCCCGTGGCATCTGTACTCTTATCACATGCAATCGAGTAAAAATCGAAAGCACAAGCTTTATCTGACACTTGCTGTTTTAAGGTAGCCGATAAGTCTTCAATTTGCCGCGCAACCGTATTTATGGACATACTAACATCGTTGAAATCCTGCATTTTCTCCGGGCACATTATTCCCACGACTTTGGTGAGGCACTGTTTAAAGAAATCACCGTCTGAGAAAGGTTTCCCATGTAGGGCAATGAGTTGAGTTACTTCATAACTGGCTATTGTTGCATTTTCTTGAGCTTTGTTAGCACGGAAAAAAAAACCTGCTGCTGCATTAACAGGCTAGCTGCCATTTGCTTTACCTTCCGCTCGGCGCCAGTGTAGGACGTGAAGGTCTGATGTTTTGTTTCATAATGCCGTCGTACATTGTACTCTTTCATCACGGCAACACTCTCATTACAAATCAAACAAACACACTTCCCCTTGGTTTCTATGCAATCTTGCGTCTCTTCGGTTCCGGCATTTTCTGGTGACCCTGAGCAAATGTTTTCTTCGATTGCTTGCTTTGTGGAGATGTTGCCTTGTTCAAGACAATCGCGCCACCTCGTGTTTAAACTAAGAAGTGCAATACCGTGAGCCATATTGCATTTTATTTTTAGACTTTGATACGGGCCAATTAAGAATGGATGGCGGGCCGCAGTTGGCCCGCGGGCCGTAGTTTGGACACCTCTGCACTACAATGACAATAGTTTCTATCGATTTGAAGCATGTTTATTTTTTGGGAGGGTGGGGGGCAGAGCTTTGTGACGTCATATTTGAGGGGGGTCTGACTTTTTGTCACGCCGTGTGACGAAGGGGGGGGGGGCAAAAATAGTCCACAAGGAGAAGCACATTAAATGAGACTACAAATTTGATGAATTCACAAGCGACACATTAGGGGGCCATCCACTTAGTACGTACGCATGGAGGGGGGAGTGGGGGGGGGTTAACCCAAATGCGTACCCTTGCGTATGGGGGGGGTCTACTGACAATGTGCGTACACATAGGTAACGAAGGGAGGAGGTGAAGCCTCGATAATAATTTGTCTACATTGGCCTTCAAATGAGCCACAGTTCAGTGTCTTCAGCTGTCACACAAGTACTAGCGGGAGAAGCGGGCCTGTGGGAGAGGTGCCACACTTTGTGTGCCACCTGACTGCTCCGCTATCTATCACGCAGCTCAGCAAAATAAGTGGCTAAGGTACACAACTTAATTCTTTAATACAGCCGGCGGTGGACTATCTGTTTGCTTAAACGCGTTAATGTTATTAATCCTTGATCGTTGCTGCGTGGATTAATCATCGGCCGTTCTATCGGATTCGGGTGGAGGGGGGTGCGTCAGGCGAACGTACGCAGGTTGGAGGGGGGGTGTAAAAAGTAAGCGTGGGTACAGGTAGGGGGGGGGGCTAAGTTTTGACAAATTTGTGCGTCCGTATTAAATACAGAGAACCTTATTTGTCAAATTAAATATAAGCGAGGTAAATGCAATTGTTATTACCTGATCCAAAGCCTGGATTACCTTAAATCCCCCCCCTCCCGCTCTCAACTGCCGAATGGACGCGTCCACTCGCCTGTCTCCGCCCACTCGCCTAGCTCCGCCCACTCGCCTGGCTCCGCCCACTCGCCGGTAGTGACGTCACACACTTCGAGGCCGTCTGGTGAGGTTGACGCTCCACGTTTAAGCTCCCGACAACAACGCTAAGTTTTAGCTCCAGGATATTCACTGAGCTCCACTTACTACAGCTGCTTCGCCATGGAGTTCAAGTTCTTCAAACTGCTCCTGCCGCTACTGCTGCTGCTTCTTGCGGGGTTCCATCCTTCGGCTGCAAAGCCCGTGATGTCCAAAAACAGCATCAGTGCGCCCGAGGGTAAGAGGGATAAATAGGGATCCATAGGAATTCCACCAGGAGATCCACTGGGCTCCACTAGGGCTTTACACGTGCGCTGGTGATATTAGTGGCACTGTTGGTGGATGTGGGCAGCAGTGACGCAGTGGTTAGCACGCTGTGATACGAACCCAGCAACCCGAGTTGGATTTCTACTCACGGCCAACACCAGTGATGATTATCCGAACCGTTCATGGTCCTCCCCGAAGTCGACTCAACCTCGCATGGTGACTGTACCTGGTGTGGTGTGCAAACATTGTCGCTGGGGAGACAAGGGTTGTCGGGCATGGTGCTGACCACCCACCCCCTCGTGTACAGTGTTGGCCTTCATAGTTGCTTGCTTACAGCACTTGCCTCAACAATTTGTTAAGGCTATAGGAGGGGTCTTTGTTGGTGGATGTTGTGATGCAGGAGATGGTGTTGAAGGCAATGCTTTGTGGTTGCCTTGTAGTCATCGTGGTTGGCTTGTGGCGATTGGGATGGTGTTGATGTCCTGGTGGTTGTTTCAATTATGTGTTGTGTTGGTAGTAGTGGTTGTGATGCGATAGTAGCAATGTTGATGCTGGTAAATGCAAACGTAAATTGAGGTCCTTCAAATTGGTAAAACATAAGCCTGTTTCACAAAGTTTCCAAGTCACATGTGCATCTCCTGAACCTAAAAATTATAAGAATCAGAATATTTATGTATACTGGATGAATCCAATGAGCTATACAGCTGTTTTTCACAGATCTCCAGTTTGGGGGAGGTCAGGACGTTACAACAACAAACAATACAAAAACACGATAGGAGTGCAGAGTATAGGAAATATAACAATTCACTTATAAATATATACAAATAAAACTATTTTTGTTACCTTATCTTGGCAAACAGCACGTATAACCTCGTGGTCATTTTAGATCCTCATGCTTTTATTCACCGACCAAATGTCGCAAGTCAAAAAGGCATTCTACCGGTGCCAGTGTTTCATTGCTCGCATATGGAATATTCTGAGACTCTCATCCATGCCTTCATTACTTCTCTGTTGGACTACATTTCAACTCGCTCCCCTTACGGTTTCCCTGCTGTGGTCATTTCAAGGTTCAAAACTGTCCAGAATTCTGCTGCGAGGCTCTTGGGCCGTACTCCGAAAGCCTTTTGAGTGCAGAGGCTTCGGTGCAATCAGTGCCAGTGAAAGGTTTGGTGTCATACACATAGGATGGGTGTGTGATGATTTTGCCATCGTCACACGTTGGTTCTGGTGGTCGGTCGTTCAGGAGTGGAGCCGGCGATGGGAATGTCCGGCTGGATCCAGCGGATGCGCGGCGTGAAAATGACGACAGCTCCCCCTCGGACCAGCGCGACTGCAACCCCTCAAGCACTCGACATTGTCCACAAATCTTCAGGTAATTATCTTATGATTATTATCCCTCTAGCGGTGTCTAGCCTTAACTCCAAGCCCTATGCGTAATGCTAAACCTAACCCTAACTGTAAACCCAAACTTTGTAACTAGCGATTGAAAAAGTAATGGCTTCACCCTTTCTGGCAATAATATAGAAGGTGTTTAGATTTTCCCACACCAAATACTTACCTATTGGAAGGCATCGACTCTGCATTAACCACAAATGTTCGTGGTAAATCATGCAAACAAACATGCTTCGATATTTTGCTTGAGATAACTTAATGAATGTTTGCTCTCCCTTGTGTGTGGACGCAGTCTACAAGACGGTTACGTTGTCCGTCCTAAGTTCCATTGGGCTGATCACCCTGTGTGTTGGTGCAAGGCTTCTATACTGGCGTTACATGAGGTGAGTGTGATGATGATGAGGGTAAATGCAGGGTCCAGGGAGCACATGTTTCTTAAAATCAACCACTCTTTGCCATTGGTTCCATTTAAACCGCCTCCCTTCCATGTAAAACACTGCGTATGTTCTTTGTAAAAATATAATTGTAGAATGTTTGGAGTCAAGGGTAAGCCCTTCATCTTAAAGTGACTTGAAGAAAAACGAAAAACAAACAGCTCTTATCTTGTAGCTTCATAACTAATCAGCGAGTCCTTGGCAGTTTAGCACGCGTTTTATTTGATGGTACGATGAACTTCTGTAAAATGAGTATCATGTTTTAAAATGAATAATGCATCTGAAATCACATTCTTGCAAGACAGCATCACCCCATGTTAGACAATGGTCCATGGAAACATCACACAATTACTGAACTCACTTCAAGTGACCTCTCATGTACACCACGGGGCAACAATTCCCCATCCTCTTTCACAGAGTAACGTCCACCACACAACTCTCAGAGCTCGGATTTAACTGAAATCAATGCACTCCTCAGCAGTAAAAAAAATCTCAGCAGTGCCGGTTCACACGAACATATCTCTACACCAACCAGCCACCAGCAAGCAGTGATGAATAACTAATTAAAGAAGCTTCAAATGCATGTGAAGCTTTGTGAGACAATGTCTAGGTGTGTGTGTAGTAGGAGCTAGGATAGGGGTCGGCAACCTGTGACTCCAGAGTAGCGTGCGGCTCATTAAGGGTTGCTTCGTGACGTTTTTTATTTATTAAGGACTGTCTGGTATTCACCACAGTGCATTACGGCTGTTGAAATATTGAGGGGTTTTTTTACCGAATTAAAAAAAAAATGGTTCTTGTTATTTCGATCGCCAACCCCTGATGTAGGAAGATAAGAGCACTGTGCAGGAGTATAGGAACCCATGATGAACACTGTACAAGCCACGTGCACTGCATCCTAGCAAGGCAACCTTTCATGTCTAAACAATTTTCTTCCGCTTCTCTTTTGCACTTTTTGTGGTAGCCTTTCAGCACAGCCTGCAGATGATGGTGGCGAAGCCAATGTCATGAACAGTGATGAAGAAGACGCGCCACCATCACTCTGGAGCGATATCTCACGAGTCCTCACGGCAATTCGCCAATACATAATGCCGCAGCCAAGGGCCGTGGATGAAGAAGGTGAAGACGTTGCACCAGGCGGGTGGTTTATGGAGATTCTAACTACCTTGGTGCAAAGCTTGAAGCCTGAGCCAGGGACCAGCAGCAGCACAGATGGCAATGGTGATGCCCACAAAAAGTCGCACCATAAGGCGAAGAACCTGAAGACAGGTGAGAGAAGTGTGTGTGTCTGTGTGCATCTACCAGTCATCTCGCACCTCCGATTAGCACGGCTGGCTATGTGTGGTACAAAGAAGTTCAACGTACCTTCATCTCAGACAAACTGTGGCACCTGGATCTGTTCCATGACCTCCTGCCAGCGAGCCTTCGACATTTCACTTGGCCTCAAAGTGCACGTAGCATGGCACACGTGCCGTAGTGACTTCACCGCCACTTGGTCGCAAACGGGAGTTGTGTTTTACACGTTGCCTTCATGATGGTATACCACTCGTAAAATGTTGGCAGAACATTGAATTGCAATAGTCATGCAATTCTACATTACTAATCTGGCCAGAGTTGAAAACGCTCGATTATTTTCTTGCATGAACAAATCCTCCGTCACTAGATCTGACAACAGTCGTAAGACTGGGCCAGAGCCTGTGGCTCTTACTTCACCAATATAATTTGACGTAAAGCAGATATCGGTCCATTGATGCTTTTTCTGTTAACTGATTCATTCCAATTACTCACCATTGTTAAGTTGTTTCCCTTCACGTGATCTGTCTCCTTGCAGGCAAAAAGAAGGAAAAGTTCAAGAAATTCCTGGCAAATAAGAGAACGCAAGTGAAGAAACTGCACAGCAAATTCAAGGCGACTTTCAAGAAGAAAATGCCAAAATTTAAATTTAGGAGGAAGCGCAAATAGTCGTGGACAGCGACTACCCTTCCTTGACAACCCCTCCCCGCTCCTCCTCTTCACTCCGAACATTTATGAATTAACATGATCACATCTCTCGTCATATCGCATTGCCTGCTCCCTACTTCAACCCTTCACAAAGTTAATGATTCCTCGTTTAGCCCAAAACAGATTGTTTGGGCAAGGCCGGCATAGTGGTCACGCCCGGCTGCCTTTGTTTCCCGAGTGACGATCTTTTTGCATTCACCATGTCCTCATTTGAGTTTGAGTCAACCCACAGGAGACCCACCTGTTTTGTTACCAGAACAAAGGGGAAAACACATTTTCATACTTCAACCCACATGCACACATATAACACAGAGATCCCCTGTATAGCCTTAGACTGTTCGGGCAAGTGCTGTTAGCGCCGGTCCCCGACCACCTCTCCTGCCTGTCCCGCGCCCTGTGGGCATTTCTACTTGGTGGCCTGGCTGCCGGCGGTTGCCCACCGGGCATCGCCGGCACCGAGCGACTTCCGCGCCATCCCTCGAAACCGTTGGGCCGCTCCGTCACCCGCGTCTGGCGGCTCCTGTTCCGGGCCACTTGGCTGCCAAGGCATCGGCAGCCCCGGGACATCGGGGCTTTGTGCGGTCCGAAGGATGGAAGGTCGAGCTCCGGGCCGGGGGAGTCTTCACCATATCAGCATGCCGGGCACGGAGGGAAGCTTCGCGTCCGTGGAAAGCAAGCCGGGCCGAGGCTGCGGGTTCTTCCTTGTCGCGGGCCCCGGCCAGGACTCCACTGCTGCACTGCGTGGACATTGCGGAACTCGTCGGTGGTGCGGGGGACTCCATCGCCGTGGGCCCCTTCTCCCTCCTGGCTCCAGCCCCTCGCCCCGCCCCCCTTTGTCTTTCCAATGCAATTTTGCCCGACTACCTTTCAATGTATCTTTTCAAATTATTGTTATGCTAGGTACAATTGTATAATTGCTGTGCAGCGCCTTGTTAAAGGCACTATGTAAATATCATTAAGATAAGATGCACACTTGCGCAAATGCTGATATACATGTAACATAAAAAAAACTAATTTTATTTGCAATGTATTTACAATGTCTTGTTGCTTCTGTTGAACAATGCAATATTCACATGTACATATATGATTCTGCAGCTTCACACGTGGTCACTCCTGCGAATGATCTGTTTAATTCCCAGCCAGGTCCATCAACCCAGGCTTGGCTCAGAGCTCACATCCTCCTCACTCGAGCTTTTTTTACTGCTTGTAGTGCATTGCGCATTGGGATCCTAGGATGGAATGCGCATTATAAATTTGAATTTTTTTTTTTAGATTGGAGGAATCTGATGAGATACGAAGCTCTTTTTCACATGTCCAGTAGGGGTGGGTCAAGGCCCTGGTTTCAATACTGGTAATAGAAAACAGCACTTGAGTTTGTACTTCCTACCTTGGGGCCACTTCGCCTCACCCCTGGTTTCTGAGTCATCGAGTGGCCCATCACTACGATGCTGAATTGACACCAAGTGCTCTGATGCTCAATGTTGGCCCCACTCAAGCTATTGGCGCTAACAATCCACCACCCTGGATATTCCATTCCAAATAGTAATTTGGGGTTGACAATCCAAGGTTCAATTATTTGTTAAATATTGCCTTGAATGATTTCCGCTCCTCGTGGCAGCAAGTCTAATACCCGTATGACTTGTTTCCATGCGTCAGCAATATCACCCTCCATGGTCATTCCACTGCTGGATAAAGACCTCCCGAAGCCATATTAATATTTAATGATCCCCACCGGAGGGCCACTAGAGTGAAGCTGGACCGTACGCTAACATTCCATGACAACCTCAAAAAGGTAGCCTCCAAGACCAAAACAAGGGTCAACCTGGTCCAGAAACTGCCAAGCACACGCTGGGCAGCATCAGCACCAGTGCTGCGGACTATCAGCGATGGCCCTTGTGTGCTCTGTAGCCGAATACTGTTCACCAGTATGGACCAGAAGTAGTCACCACTCGACTTGTTCATGTCCAACTGAACACTGCAATGCAGTGGATCACTGGAACCCTCAAGTCAACACCAACACCCTTGGCTCCCCGTGCTGTTACACATCTCTCCCCCACCCATCCGCCGCAACACTGCAAACCTCTGGGAAGGCCTGCAAATCGAGGAAAACAGTCGCCCATTCATTAGGACCTCAACAACGTCCCTTGTCATTTGAAGTTAGGCAAGCTCTTTTGGACCCATGCGCTTAGCCTTAATGCCAATTCAAACCCGATGAAGCTTGGGAAGTTGAATGGAGTTCAAAAGAACGCAACAACATCTTGTGAATGACTCGATGCAGAAGATCCCTGGATTTAATCTTCCACGAAGCTCATGGTCCACCATAAAACGCATCCACTGCACAAACCATGGTGGATGCGGACCCTTGATGCACAAATGGAAAATAAAAAAACTCTCCAGTCGTGTGCGACTGTAGTCATCCAGAACAAACCATAGAGCATATAACAATGCAATGCTCGATGCACACACATACGAAGGAGACATCACAACGATACCCTCCACTGCTCCTTACGCGGTTGTCCGCTGGCTTGACAACCTTGAATGTGAAATTGTAGTCGTTGCGCTGCATCTACATCAGCAGCCACACATGACCAGAAGAAGAAGAGACTGCTGCTGCCCGTCAGTCTCACTGCTGCCTGTCCGTCGGTCACATTGGCTCATTTATTTTGGGTGCTGACCTAAGACAAAAGACGACGCATGAAGCAGTTCTTCAGGTCCCGCTGATGGTTTTTTGACACAATGTACACGACATAGGGGTTTTGTGTGTGCGGGGAGTAGTAGTGTAGTGGTTAGCGCGCTGCGCTACGAACCCGGCGACCCGAGTTCGATTTCCGCTCACGGCCACCAACACCGGTGACGATTATCGTGGGCCTCTCCCCTAGGTCGACTCAGCCTCCAACGTGTACCTGGTACGGTGTGTGCTAGCACACCCACCCCCGTCGTTGTGCCATGCCGGCTTTAATAGGTGCTGCTCACTAACAGCACTTGCCACAACACTCTGTGAAGGCTACACGGTGGGGGATCTTTGTCTTTGTTGTGGAGACGCGGCCAGATTTAAAATAACGCAAATGCCATTCACTCTCAAATATTAACATTATTATTTGAGTGCCTACGTACTAAAACGTATCTAAGTTGCCTTCATGTCGGCTTGTTTTCTTGAGTGTCACACAGAATTGTACACACGTTAACAATACGTTGAAGAACGACTACTTTAAGGTCTTGCAGAGTCGAGATCTTGTTGGTGTATTGCCCTATAACACACTGCTGAGGCCCCATTATCCGAAAGCAGCTGCCAGTCTGGTTTTCAAGAGACCGCCAGTAACACTGAGAAGTAAATCAGTCCTCCTGTGTAATAATATACGTCACTGTTTAATGTTAGAGTTGCCACCTGGTCCACTTAGTGTTGCCAACTCTGGCCGAAGCTGTTTCGCGATATTAATTTAAATTAATTTATTTTCTTAAAACATCCTATATTGAAATCTCTCGGATCGTTCTGCAATTGCCACTGAGAGATCAACACAAACCCCGGGAGATTCCCGGCCAATCCGGAACGGTTGGCAACTCGAGTTCTGCTGTCAACCAAACCGGGTCACGTGGTCTCAACAGTCAGCCCAGGGTGCGTTAGGGGCCGCCCATAAATGATGTCACGCACCTAGGGGGGGAGGGGGTCAGACATTTGTGGCGATGTGTGACGATGAGGGGGGGGGGGGGTTGAGAAATGTGACGTCACATCAAAATGCGCAACTTTAAATAAATAGAAACAACACGTTCTACTTATATTCTTGGTTCTTTCGGTAAACTCACGTAGAAGGGAAACAATAAAATAATAACATTCTCACGACGTTTCTACTTAATAAAATAGACTTTTTTTTAAATAAATGTTCTCTCCTACAACATCAGAGTGCAGCGCCACATTAAATACGCACTACAACAGGGGTGTCCAAACTTTTTTTCTCGAGGGCCACATACAGAAAAATATACGAAGGACTGGGCCACTCACTAGACGTGAGGTATACTGCCTCACTTCTCATGCACTAATATTGGCAAAATCAATCAAATGCAGAAACAAGAAGAGAAATAGGGCATGTGGATATTTCAAGCTTATTACACAAATAAATTATTGGGCTTGTTAACACATCAACTAACGTTTGTTAAAAAAATTATCAACTTTAATTGGCTGAATTTATAAAGTAATTGGGCTAATTAACAAATGAAAACTGTGTGTATATTTTGAACTCACCTGTAATGGGAAGAATGTTGCGCTCAGTGGGAGCTGTGATGCTGCGCTTTGGTGTGAAGGATAGCTGGCAGGTCAGGAGTAAGTTTGGTGGTTGAGATGCGAAGGACGTCACGGAGATGGCTGTCGGTCGTTCTGGTTCTCAGTCTGCTTTTGTTCAGCGTTAACAGAGAGAATGTCTGCTCACAGATGTATGTTGAGCCGAACAGACTCATCATTCGTTTTGCATGGCGTCTCATCAGAGGCCTTTTCCAAGCTCCGGTAGAAGTCAGGTAGGGAGAGAAGCTGATGCTTATTCTTCAGAGAAACATCACACTGAATTTCGATCAGTTCTTATTGCAGACTCTCCTCCACTTCTTTTGCATCCATTGAAAACGGAGCCGCAAACAGTGTGATTTCATTCTCAATAACAGAAAAAATATTGGAAGCGCTGACTGAATTCTGTCATGAGAGATGTGATCACAGACACATATTCTCCCATTTTTGTGCTTTTGATTTCGGTCAGCGTGGGGAAGTGCGCTACATTGAAGTTGCGCAGTTGAGACTCGAAGAGACGGAGCTTCGCACGGAATGCTTTCATGTGCGCATACAGCTGTGGTACTAGCTGCTCTTTGCCTTGTAGTCTCTTGTTCAGGGTGTTGAGATGATCAGTGAGATCAACTAAAAAAGCCAGGTCTGCCAACCATAAAGGGTCACTGATCTCATGGAGAGGTCTGCCCTTTTCTTTAAAAAAAAACTTGTCGATATTTGATCTCAGGGAATAAAACCGCTGCAGCACGGAGGCGCGACTGAGCCAGCGCACTTCAGAATGGTAGAGTAGGTCCCTGTATTCAGCATCGACATCAGAGACGAACGCTTGAAATTCTCTGTGGTAAACCCCTCGTGCCCGAATTATGTTGACAGTTTTCACAACTGTGTTCATCACATCGCCAAGCTGGATTATCTTGGCACAGAGGGCTTCTTGGTGGATGATACAGTGCATTTTGACAGCCTCGCCTCCGCTCTCCCACACCTTGGCACTCACCATAGAGGCCATTCCTTTGCGCTCGCGTGTCATTGCTGGAGCCCCACCCGTTGTAATTCCACACAGCTTGTCCCATTTAAGTCCAGCCTGGTCAATTGCATCTGACACAGCTTCAAACATGTCCTTCCCAGTTGTTGTCCCCTTTAGACTCCGAAGATCGAGGAGTTCCTCCGTAATGCAAAAATAATCATCAACTCCCCGCAAAAAAATTAACAGATGTGCAGTGCCCGTGGCATCTGTGCTCTCATCACATGCAATCGAGTAAAAACCGAAAGCACAAGCTTTATCTGACACTTGCTGTTTTAAGGTAGCCGACAAGTCTTCAATTCGCCGCGCAACCGTATTTATGGACATACTAACATCGTTGAAATCCTGCATTTTCTCCGGGCACATTATTCCCACGACTTTGGTGAGGCACTGTTTAAAGAAATCACCGTCTGAGAAAGGTTTCCCATGTAGGGCAATGAGTTGAGTTACTTCATAACTGGCTATTGTTGCATTTTCTTGAGCTTTGTTAGCACGGAAAAAAACCTGTTGCTGCATTAACAGGCTAGCTGCCATTTGCTTTACCTTCTTCCACTCGGCGCCAGTGTAGGACGTGAAGGTCTGATGTTTTGTTTCATAATGCCGTCGTACATTGTACTCTTTCATCACGGCAACACTCTCATTACAAATCAAACAAACACACTTCCCTTGGTTTCTATGCAATCTTGCGTCTCTTCGGTTCCGGCATTTTCTGGTGACCCTGAGCAAATGTTTTCTTCGATTGCTTGCTTTGTGGAGATGTTGCCTTGTTCAAGACAATACCGCCACCTAGTGTTTAAACTAAGAAGTGCAATACCGTGAGCCATATTCCATTATGTTTTTAGACTTTGATACGGGCCAATTAAAAATGGATGGCGGGCCGCACTTGGCCCGCGGGCCGTAGTTTGGACACCCCTGCACTACAATGACAATAGTTTCTATCGATTTGAAGCATGTTTTATTTTTTGGGAGGGGGGGGCAGAGCTTTGTGACGTCATATTTGAGGGGGGTCTGACTTTTTGTCACGCCGTGTGACTAAGGGGGGGGGGGCAAAAATAGTCCACAAGGAGAAGCACATTAAATGAGACTACAAATTAGATGAATTCACAAGCGACACATTAGGGGGCCATCCACTTAGTACGTACGCATGGAGGGGGGAGTGGGGGAGGGTTAAACCAAATGCGTGCGCTTGCGTATGGGGGGGGTCTACTGACAATGTGCGTACACATAGGTAACGAAGGGAGGAGGTGAAGCCTCGATAATAATTTGTCTACATTGGCCTTCAAATAAGCCACAGTTCAGTGTCTTCAGCTGTCACACAACAAGCACTAGCGGGAGAAGCGGGCCAGTGGGAGAGGTGCCACACTTTGTGTACCACCTGACTGCTCCGCTATCTATCACGCAGCTCAGCAAAATAAGTGGCTAAGGTACACAATTTAATTCTTTAATACAGCCGGCGGTGGACTATCTGTTTGCTTAAACGCGTTAATTTTATTAATCCTTGATCGTTGCTGCGTGGATTAATCATCGGCCGTTCTATTGGATTCGGGTGGAGGGGGGTGCGACAGGCGTACGTACGCAGGTTGGAGGGGGGGTGTAAAAAGTACGCGTGGGTAAAGGTAGGGGGGGAGGGGCTAAGTTTTGACAGATTTGTGCGTCCGTATTAAATTGAGAGAAACTTATTTATCAAATTAAATATAAGCAAGGTAAATACAATTGTTATCTGTTCCAAAGCCTGGATTTACTTAAATCCCCCCCCTCCCGCTCTCAACTGCCGAATGGACGCGTCCACTCGCCTGTCTCCGCCCACTCGCCTAGCTCCGCCCACTTGCCTGGCTCCGCCCACTCGCCGGTAGTGACGTCACACACTTCGAGGCCGTCTGGTGAGGTTGATGCTCCACGTTTAAGCTCCCGACAACAACGCTAAGTTTTAGCTCCAGGATATTCACTGAGCTCCACTTACTACAGCTGCTTCGCCATGGAGTTCAAGTTCTTCA